GAGAGGGGGGGTACCGCGACAGAGACAGGGGGGGTGGTCGTGACGACAGGGGTGGTGGAGGGTTCCAACGCAGGGACCCCGGACGGTGAGTGTTTTTTAAATTTTGTACCCAGTGGGCGGCTGTTTGCTCCCCGTTCTTTTTAAGGATGTGTCGCCTACTGTTGTAGTGCCATAGCTGTTTGATGACGTTGTTTTGTAACTTATCGCTACTTTCGATTGTGTCGGTGATGATGCAACCGTATTTTGGCACCTGAACTACTACAGACGATCACGTGTGAATACATGGATGGCGGTGGGTTCAGAAAGCACGGACGATACAGCATTTGAACGTGCTCTATCGAACGGGGGTTCGGAGCTCCCTCGGTGCGCTTGAAACGGAGAATGAGTGAAGGGCGATAACAGCAGTAGTCGACCGAACGGGGACCTGTGTGCCGGCATGAAAACACCTGGGAGCGATCGCGGAGCTACCATCTACCACTTTTATCATCATACAAGCGCCTGTTTCGCACGTTTAATGCTGTTGCTCGATAGGCAACCGTACTTCACTCAATACACTGTGCGCACTCCTCTCCAATACAATTTCAAAGATACCAAGATTGCTCATGTGAGCTACTTAGCGAGAGCACTGCCTGTTGGTGGTCTGCCCTGCACAAGCAAGACCGTTCGGTGCTATGCCCCTGCTAAAGAGGCGGTGGTCCTAAGGTCACCGTGCTCCCTGTGTTTATCGGGTCGATACGGGAGTCCTTCCTTAGACCACTTCGCCTGTTCCCGGCTGCCGTTTCCTGTCGCTCACCTTACGTTTTGCTTTTTCGTTTGCTCTTCTTTTCCCGTGTTACCTTCCTTCACCGGGGTTCCTAAAATATCGCCGTGTGTGTGTGATCGACCGATACACCCCGGGATGAAAAACCGATTGTTGTTTGCGGGGGGGGGGGGGGGTAATCCTCCACTCTCCGAAAAGCAGTGACAGCGACAGAGGACCCCCTATGCGCGGAGTAGACAGCAGAGGTGGGGGATTTTCCGGTGACAGCCGAAACCCTCCACCCACCGGGGGACGGGGAAGGGGCATGGTCCTTCCAGCATGGCTGGTCGCCCAGCAGAACGCTCAAATGGGTGGACCGGTAAGAGCTTCATCTTCTTCTTCTTCGTGTCAGCCCGGCCGTGGCTGTGGTCGAAGTGCATGGCCACATTGTTACTGCAGAGACGATGATGGATGAGTGAGAGTTTTCATGACTAACGGTGCAACCAGGTAAAAGAGTAAAATGACTCCCACGCTTGGTGCGGGGATGGATGGAGAGGGAATCCAAAATCCAGGTTTCGCGCCGCATCTTCTGGTCATGCTATGTATGCGTTGTTGTCGTGTCTTTTCGTCGGGCTCGATGTGGTAGAGACTGTCGTGCAAGCTGCTGCTGTGTGCTGTGTCTTTATTGTAGAGAGCCGCGGCCGGCGGTATGAAGGAAGATATGAAAAGAGAGAGCGAGCTGCTGTAGATGCGGTTGTTGGTTGACATCGGGTTTCTATGCCTCTCTATGGAGGCATGCTCAACCGGGGAGATATATTGGAGCGAGCCGGAGGCGGCACGTATGCCCCCTTCGACCTCCTCTCTGCACGAAGGAGCCACGCACATACCGGCGAATCCTACGGCAAAGAACGGCGCACTCCTGGATGCTCGTCTGACCCCCTCCGCGTGTACGTACTTGTAGACGAATCATATTCTGGAAAAGGGTTCGGCCAATCCCGTTTTTTCATGTCGTTCTAATGGTGTCTCCCTGCCGTCGCCCCCCCTCGCCGCCCCCCCCCCCCCCTAAACGTTTCGGTGTTGCTCAAATTTCCATTCGCCTATAGCCCGCTGCCGGTGCCCCCGAGGGCCCCTCCCTCGCAGCCCCCCCCCCAGCCACCCTCGTTCGGGGCCCCTCCGCCGACGGCTCTCTCACAACGGCGTGGGTGCTCCTCCCCCCGCGGCCCCCGGCGGCTTCAAGCCGGATGGCAGGAGCCAGGGCGCGCCGCCGACTAGGCCGTCCGGCCAGCAGTCGCGCTTCGGACCGCCCCCCACTGACCCGCAGCAGCAGCAGCAACAACAGCAGCAGTACCAGCCCCAACAAGCTAGTCAGCAGCGGCCACCCATGCCTCCTCACGGACAGCCTCAAGACGGAGGGCGCCCGAACACCCAGGTGCGCGTTGTGCCGTCTTGGCTCAAGACCGTTGTCGTGGTGCTTGAAAGAAGGCTCTTTGTATTTGCGGCGTTTGTGCAGCACACTGAAGGGCATTACACCGGGACGATGCTACCGGTGATTCAACTGACCGTAGGATCACCCGCCGTTTCTTTGGCGATTGGCACGAGAACCATCCTTTCAAACGCAGGATCGTGTCAGATTAATTGCCGTTCACTGCGGATAGCCGTTTCTGTGTTGTTGTAGCGAGTAGCGTGAATTGCTCGCCCAAAATAGTAACAGATCGCTCCCTATTTCGCGCGGCGGCATGATGATTATTTGTCTCAGATGACGCCCGGACAGCAGCAGCAGCAGGGAGGGAGGACCCCACAGGCAGACCAGTTCTCTAACCGCCCCCCTTCGGGCTTTGGCGCGCCCCCGACCCACCAGCCTCCCACGCACCAACCCCCTACTCACCAGCCGCCTGGCTTTGGCGCCACGCCCCCCTCCACGGCGTCACGAAATGGCCCGCCTAGCTTCGGGGCACCGCCATCGTCCGCACCGCCGCAGGTCGGCGGGGGCGGTGCGCCCCCGCAGTCCCCGCAGTTCCCTACCCAGCAGAACCAGGGATTTTCCACTCAGCAGCAGGTCGGTGGACAGCAGCCCAGTCAGGTGAGATAAATCAACCACTAGTTGGTATTTTGTTGAAGGTGGCGAACGGTGGCGAAGTGGGTTGACGTATGCACCATGGTGAAAGGCTTTCTAGCTGCTGTCTCGCGAGAGAATGGTTTTTGTCGTCATCTTCTCCGCGTGACCAGCTTCTGCTGGGTTCGGTGCAATACTTGGTTCGGAATAAATATTCTGTCGCCATGACACATGTGTTGGCTCAAGTGCGTGCGCCATCAGGAGCGGTGACGTTCTTTCTGCGTCCGTCTTTTTGATCCACGCCGTTGCCCTGTTCGCAATTTCAAACCGTTCCCGTTTTCTCAGGCGAACCAGCAAGGCTTCGTACGGGTAGCGGCGCCCGGCCCTGCCGGCGGCCCCGCGGGAGCACCCCAGTTCGTCCCTCAGCAGCAACAACAACACCAGCATCCCCAGTTCCCCCCTCAGCAGCAGCCACCGCAGCAGCAGCCAAGTTCCGCGGCGAGCGCCCCGCAGCAGCCTCCCGTGCAGCCGCAGCCAGGGCATCAGCTCATGACGGCACCGGGGCAGTACACCGGCGGTGCCCAGTACGGCGCTCAGCCTGCTGCGGCGACGTCGTCGACGCCGAAACCTCAGGTTCTTGGGGTGAGCAGCAGCAGCACTCCGGCGCCTGCGGCCGCGTCTCCGGGAGCGCCGCGCTTCGACACGTACGGTCGCCCGATTCCCCAATCGCAGCAGCAGTCTCCCCAACAGCAGCCCCCGCAGCAGCAGCCGCCCCAGCGACCCCCTCTACACCAGCCCCCGCTGCACCAACCGCCTCAGCTGGACCCCTACGGCCGTCCAATCCCCCAGGCCCAGCAACAGGCGCAGCAGCAGAAGCCCCCGCAGCTGGACATGTACGGTCGCCCGATGCCCCAGCAGGCGCAGCAGCAGCAGCAGCCTCCTCAACAGCAACCGCCGCAGCAGCAGGCAGCTTCTCAGCAGCAACAACCTCCTCAGCTGGACATGTACGGTCGACCTCTGCCCCAAGCACAACAGCAGCAGGTGACACAAGCACCGGCACCGTTTGGCCAGTACCCGCCACAATCCCAGGCGCCGACCCCCGCTCCGGCTCCAACGCCGGCACCGGCTCCCACCTCGGCACCGGCACCGTCGCCGGCCCCAGCTCCTACGCCTGCAGCACCAGCAACTCCAGCGTTGCCTCCCGGCTGGCAAGCTGTCCCAGACAAGAGCAGCGGGGATACCTACTACTGGAACAAGGCCACGGGTCAAACAACGTGGGACTTCCCCACCAAGTAGAGGCAGGAAGCTTGGTGGAACGGGGGGGGGGGTTGTGCGGTTTTGGTTTTGCACAGCATTTTCTGTAGCATTTTCTGTAGCATTTTCTGTAGCGGGGATCGAAATGTGAATTTTTCCACGGCTGATTGTCACATGTCCTCGTGATTGTGATGTCCGCTGCACCACCACCGCGCCCTTAACGTGGAGATGGTGTATGGAGTGCGATTCCTTTCGAGAGACGGGATAAAGATCACGCGTGTGGCCGTGCGCGGGATGGTGGTTCCACCTTTGCGACACATGCTCCGCATGCTTGTATTTCGTCGGTTTCGACGCTGGGTGGTGTTCACCGGGGTTGGAAAGGGGGTTGCTCGTTTGGGCAGATATTCATAGTGCACCTGTGACTTGCATCGTCGTTGTTCTCCAGGGAATGGGAACTGTCGAATTTGTTTTGCGTATTCTTTTAAGGCAATCAAATAGGAGAAGCATCGTGAACGCGTTTGTTTGTTGATGTGCGGTGTGCGGTGTGCATGACGTGTTTGCCTGTGCGTGCACATGTGCTCTTTCAACGAGAACGCAACTCCTTCTCTGCTGGATTTGCATGACACACAACGCAGCAGTTGAGGACTACTTGGTTCCTGGGTACCGAACGCCAAGGGCTTGTGTTGCGCGCTCACACCGCCGCAGCAATCGTTCAAAGCACAAGCAGGGAGGATTGCTTGACAACGTGGGGTTGGTACGCGGAATGCTAGCTAGGATATGGGTGGAATCCACCGCTTGGAAACAAGCCCAGGTCAGTGCAGAGTAATGAAAGCAAGGAGGACGAGGTCCACGGGAGATCTTCCACAAGTTGCCGGGGTATGGTTTAAGCTCGGAATGAACTAAAACTTTTTTAACAATGTGTGTGATTCAGGAGTGTGTGCTTTAAAGCTTCGATGATCGTTTTGCCGTGCCACATGGACCTGAGACAAAAGTCCGAAACCTACGACGGCGGCGACCCGGGCAGAAAGCGCCATCCCTTTTTCCCTCCCCCCTCCTCGCACCATGCGTTCCTTTACGCTTGTCAACGCGGTACAAATATCCCACAAAACTGCCCAAGTCCAACTCGCCGAGGGAGGCGGCGACCAGAACTAGTAACTATTGTTTGTTGGAGCCTCTAATTTTTAGCTCTAAACACACAAGACTGTATCTCGTCTGCTTCTATCCCTCCGTTACGGTTTCAAGCTCCTCCACTAATACTTTGGTTCGCGAGAGCACGTTTTTTTTTTTGGGTTTGGGCGCCGCGGTTTCCGGGACTTCGGCCATAAGTCGCTTCATAAATTCGTACACCCTGCATCAACAGTAACGCACACGGACGGGGAGAAACGATTAGGCACGTTGGTCGGGGTGGGGCAGAGGCATGAGATCGTGTTTTTAGCTATCACTCACGACAAGGGGGGGGGGGCATCGCACATCACAGTTCGTGTACCCAACCAGTGTTCCACGGAAGAGAGGGGAACCAGTGGTAGGTTCACTTTTGTCAACGATCGGGAGCAAAAAATTGTTTCGACCATCTTCTTGAGCCCCGGGGGGGGGGGGGGGGAGTCTTTTACCACCTGGATTCCAGAACTCCCTGGTTTCAGCCTACATCATACATCGTACCTCGAGGAATTACACATCGTAGGCGCATGAGCGGTTTCAAAAAGAAATTCATACACGCCATGATCGTCCGCAGAAAACTGCACCGAACACCTTGCCGTGTAGACGTGACCAAACTAGACGCGGAACGGTACTTTGGTAGGCAGCGCAGCATCAAAGAGGAGACTCACAGGTACTGAACGCCGATCATGGGAACGACGCTCACGAGGCGCGGCGATAACGAATTGTAAAAAGAAGTTACGCCCTCCTCCCGCAGCATCCTCGTGAAGCAGTTGAAGATCCCGCTGTACATCACGGTCGATGCGCTCGACTGGGTCACCAGGCGAGTCTGTCGGGTCGAGGGTTGGCATCAGCGAGCGCGGGTGGAGTTGGGCGGGACTGTCAGCATTTCAACGCGCAACGTTCAAGCGTTGGTCTCTGCACGTGAAGTATCCTTCAAACGAAAGCAATGGCGCGGACGAGCGTAGTGGTTGACCGGTACCCTCGGCACTACAGCACCTACGATAGTGAAAACTTCGTGTCCCTTAGAGTCGCGAATCGAAACATGACAACACCATGCATTCGCTTCCGAAATCTGTACATGATTTTTGTGCCCATTCTTAGGGCACGACTTTACCAGCCAAATGGGAACCAAGCACCGCAGCCCGACCAATTCCAAGGTGACTACAGCCAAACGCCATGATCACTGCTGTGATACCGACCCTCCCGCCATTCGAAACAGAGTCGCACAAGCCATACGGCGTACCTTGACCGTGTCCATAGGGATCATGATCGTCACCGATCCCGCCGCTGCGATGCATCTGTTTTCGTTTGCGTTGGGTCGAAGAACGGGCGGCAAGGGTGCACAGGCAGACGGGGTCACAATCTTTGATTGCGCCGGAACCCCCTGTTCACCACGGGCAGGATCCCAACGGGAATTAAAGCGCGGCCGCGAGAGGCCCCACATGTTTCTCGCCCTGGAATGCCTACGCTTCGAACGTAGATCGACATCGGCGGAAACCGCTATGCTACAACGAAACAGTTTCACACGTGGGGACAGAACAGCTTAAGGGGCCAGCCCCTCTCGAGGCAGATCACCCCATGTCTCGACATGTGTGTAGTTATTTTCGAGACGCGTGTCCGATTAAGCCACAGCAGTAAATACCTTTGGTGCAGACACGACAATGGTCCGCACACGTCTACCAGGTGTGGGCTACCTGGAGATCTATCTCGTCAGAAGCTCCGCGTGTGGATCGTTGGGCACCAACGAAAAAAAGGGTACATAGACATACCCATATTACACGGGAATCCGATCGATCATACCATCGCCAGCACCGCAGAAGTCATTGGCAATGCCGGGAACGTCTCTTCGCCGTTCCACGCTGCCTCCGCTTCTAGGGTTCGTGTTCGTACATTCTTGGCAAGATCGAAATGCACCGTCGCCTTCCTTTCTTTGACTCCGTACATGGAGTGAGCGAGAACACCGGCTGACATAACTCGCTACTTCTGACGACATGTCGCCCTGTGAACGGAAAAACACCAAGGCACCAAAGGGTCCTAGCTGGACCCCAAGAAAGGCGGACAACGCCAGCACCGATACCGCACGCACTCACCCGAGCCAGAAGTTCTCCGTGTTGGAGGGCAAGCGCTTCGCCATCCTGTAGTGCAAGTCCTTCACCTGCTGGAACAAAACCCACGTCAACCCGTACGAGGGGATCTTTTGCACGAGCCCCGGCCACCACCCCGCGTAGAAACCCCGCGCCCCCTTCTCCTGGATGATGCTCCGAACTCCTGTCCACAGGTTCGGGTACACCCCCGCCATGATCCTATTGGTCAAAACCATCTGAGTTGCCGGCAGCGAGGGTTTACGAGAGAAACGATGACATACACAGAGGGCGAAACACATGAAAAGTTGCAGGTATGTTGGACGGCCGATATAAGGACGAATGCGACCAACGAGGCGAACCGGAAATGTGTGCACATGTTGCTCACAAATCCAAAATGCGCCCCATGCCATGTGACCCTCTACCGATCCTTGCTGCAGTTGTTGTGCAGCTGCCAACTCGGTGGCATCAACTGCAGTGCGGAAACAAGCTGCAGGGGGAAGATAGATCTGGCGTGTTGGTACTCCGCGACAAGACGAGTCATGCGCCCGCAGCGGCAACCCCACAGCCAGTCAAGTAAGTAGTTCGTTTTACCTGAGGTGTGCTCATGACAGAGCACAGAGCTGTCGCTGCCGAGCAAGAAGCAAAATCCAGCAGGAACGACGCTGTCTTCAGCGGGAACATCTCGGCCATCCTTGATTTGGTATTCTGCACGAAAGAGGAGCGGAGGAAGAGGCAGAGATCGTTCGGAAATTGTGTGGAAAGGCACGGAAGCATACCGAACTTGTCGGTTTTATTACCAGCGAATTCAAGGTTGACTCCATTCAACCTACTTGGTCTTTTCGTACATCATTCCCGGGATCTCCTGCACACGGGCGACGGTTTTCCATATGAGCTGAGAAGGCAAAGAACAGCAACACAACTGCTTGTGCCGGGCTTCCGGAATCCAAAATTGCCAGGATCTAATCGCGTCAGGCAAAGCTCGAACTTGTTCGGACAGCTGACAAAGGCCGTGCCCTCACATGGACTACAAGATAGGATAGCCACCTGAAACAACCAAATGAAGAAGACCGTTCATGCCATGCCTTCGCTGTCACGCCACCTGCACACTAAACTGCGTAAACCTTAGCAACAGGCTGTCACGCCACCGCACACTGTACACTAAACTGCGTAAACCTTAGCAACAGGACGAGGCTCGACGCCAATAGAACGGACTCACCCGCCGGTATCCACAACATCCAGATGTTGACAACTACGACGGTTCCTGGAGGTTGCAAGGTGCGGTGACATTCAGAATGCTGCGCTGCTTGAACGGAGCGTGACTAAATACACTCTGTAGTTCTCACAAAGCTACACAACCGGGTTCGGTCTTCTACAGAAGCGCCATGTCTCATGGAGTAAATGGCCTTGCCCATCACCGCCCGCTACGAACGCGTGTCTCCACACGGCCACCAACCTCCAAAACGGCGAAATGCAAAGCCCCGTTTGGCAGCGACAGCAAGAACTGCGCCCCCGCCCCCCTCGAGAGAGTGGTCCACGTCAGGGGAAGAATCGCCCTGAAAGACCCCTTCGTCTGCAGCAGCGTCTTGATCACGTTTGCCGGGTGGAGCGATGTCTGCGCCACGCTGAGGGGACAGACGGGGAGGGTGTATGCATACGACGACAGGAACAAGACACACGATTCGGTGTGAGGGCTCCCGCGTCACCTCGGACCAGTGATACTTGTTCGCGCCCACAGCGATGCCATCGATCCCATTGGTTCGAGTATTGCCTGGTGTGGTATGGATGGCATGAAGACGCCAGCGGCGACATGTGAACCCAGTTTCTGTCATCATAAGCTACTGCCACGTCCCTCCTGGTGACCCCGCGTCAAACAAGGGTATGGGGTATGCCGTAAGGCATAGACTGGCGGCACCCATTGACGGGACGATACTCACATACTCCACCGCAGCTGAATGGCAAGCCTGAGTTGAACGTTTATTTTCCTCACGTTCCACAGGCTCGTACGTAAAAGTGGTACTGCAGTGCAGCAGTACCACAACACAAGCAGAAACCATCAACTTCGATGCAAAGTTGACCAACAAAGACCAACGGCATGGTCTATGCCCACATAGACATAAGCCGACACACGTGTGTCACAGCTAGGCTACAGCCTGCACATGATGCGTCAGATTTCTCGCCTTCGACTGACCGCCCCCGCCACCATGCAGCCCCAAAACGTCAGCTTGTAATCCGGGCGCACCCCCGCCGCTCTCGCCGCCGCCTGAGCCTTCCGGTTAACGTCCTCATGGGCGAAGAGGCTGCCATGCCGTGCTTTCCATCTTGCGATGGGTTCCTTCGTTGTTTCCCCCCACGACGCTAATAAGCCCCCCAACCCCCCACTGCCGCGCGGCGACCCTTCCACTCCGCCTGTACTTCTTTTATTGCTGCTGTCCCCTCTCGGTCGCGCCCACGCAAACGCGCGGTTGTGTTTGGTGTTACTGTTGCCTGCTGCTGCTACATCTGTTGTTGCTGACCCTGCCGATGCTGCCGCCTCGTACAACGGTCTGTGGCAAGGACACGTTTTGCACAAGGAGGCAGACAGAAAGTCAAACATGTGTGACCGGGAACCAGAGCCCAAGTCATGAGTGCCGTAGCGAAAAAAAAACGACTGAGCAGATGAGTTGCTCCTACTTTTCAGAGCCGTGTGGGCGATGCGTTGTAGTGATCCAACTCTGACCTGGAGTGGGACTGAGCCGAGGCTGAACCACTGCTGCTGCTGTGTCCTGCACCTTTGGCAACGAACGTGTGGGCCCCTGACCCTGACACGACTTCCGAGCAAGCAACCACCCATGCCAACAGCAGGCAACAGCACCCACGGTGGCTCAACACCAAAGACAACGTCGAAGGTCTTCGTGTCATGGCTCCTTGCGGGTGTGGCCTCGATCTCGAGGTCCGAGTTCAACCCTCGCTGCTCCACTTGTGTGCTTTGCGTGCGCTTTCTTTCTTTTTTTTTTGTGGATTCTCCGCCGCACTTGATAAAAGCCTGCTGAACCACATGTATATTGAAACCCCCCCCTGGTACCTATAGCATATGCGTAGGAGGTTTTCTGCTGCGCGGGTGCCCCCCAACCTGGAACATCTTGCTTATGGAAGCAGTGCAGTGGCTAAGCTCCGTGTCACTGCAACAGTTCAGCTCCGCGTGCTGCGCGGTTATAGGTGAGTAGCCGCTATATTGGGGCCTCGTCGTGGTTCATTGCAGTGGCCATAAGCCAGAGGGAGGATCCCAAACGCTGTGAAAAGGTGGCCAAGCAGGACGGAGATACGTAGGAACCCTGCTCAAACTTGCGGCACTGAAATGCACTTTGTGAACTGCCTGTAGAACTACCTGCTTTTTCACGCTCGAATGTCAGCCAGTAGGGCGGAGGGTACTCAGCGCTAGAGATGTGCATGTAGAACGGTTACTGCAACGCGCCGTCTTCAACAAATTGCACCAATCTACTGCAACGATTACTGGACTCCGAGACGTTTTGATGTAAGTGCTTTTGTGTTTTAGTCCTCTGTTGCTATTGTGTACAACAGATGAGTGCGGAGAGAATGTGTGGAACATACTGTAGGAACACGTTAAACACGTGACTTGTAGACTATTAAATAGTTCTCCGTTTGTTCCATCATCTACATTGCAGAGTACATGCAATGCGAACCTATCGGGCGCTGCGCTTGTCTGCTGTTCCCTTCAGGGGACTCGTCCACTCATCATGAGGGCCTTCTCGGATATACTGCTGGGACCCCTCAAGGCGGTGCTAATGCGGGTTCTTCAGCAGCAGCTGTCCAAGTACATCCACAACATCGAGCTGGAGGAGCTGGGGCTCATGGGAGGCGACGTTGTCTTGGAAAACCTTGGTAGGGGATGCGCATAACGCACTGAAAGAGCGCGCCAGATTCATCTTTACGGCTCGCAGCGCACACGCTACTTTCTCTACACACCCAGGGCCGTGTTTTCGTCATGTGAACGAGAACAGATATCTCTGAAATTGTTCAAGGTGTGCTTCATTAAAGGCATAGAAATCAGGTTTTGCCCTTGCAGCGGACGACAAGCGCGCAGAACACCGTCGATTCCTGTGAAAGTTGTTCCCATGAACCAAACCACCCCCCTTATCTTCCCCCGCCTGCCGGTTGGTCAATGGTGTAACAACTAAAGGCATGCAAAACATGAGTACGCCCCCTCCCTGCCCGTTGCATCGCGTGTCCTCTCTGTGGCGGCCTATGCAGAGCTCCGCAAAGACGTTCTCCACGATATCGGAGGCATCAGCACCGACTACGATTTCTCAAGGTGAGCAGGCACGCAGCGGTGTTTCACTGTAGAACTGAGATTGGACCGCATCGCCACGCGCCAGGGTATTTGCCTTGCAACTCTCAGGCAGCGGGACTGATCTTAAGCAGTGAAGTGGAGTTTGCGTCGCACTTTGTAGGACACCGGTGAGTGTGCAAAACCCTTGCAGGTACGACGGCATCAAACACCGTCGCTGAGTTCCGAATTCTCCCGCATCGGCGAGCAGCAAGTTGCCTCCAACAATATCGGCAGCTGTTGACAAGCCCTGGGGTATACGGTGCTCTGGTGTGCCCGGCAGCGCTTGAATTTTGAGCCCAGCCTGTTTGTGCAAGGGCATCTTCCAGCATCAGTACTGTCCCAATACAATTACCACAGCTCCGCGCATGCCAGAATGTGTTGGTGTCGCTTGGTTTCAAAGGAAACGCCGCGTGGGTAACTCTAAGATACACGCTTCTTTTCTTTGGTCTCCTTTTCGGGTGTGGTATCAATTGTACGCGCTCCGCCATGCTTGCCCGCTGCCTGCAACAGGGGTTTTATCAAAGAGCTACGGATTCACATCCCTTGGACTCGGCTCCAGTCGCGGCCCATCGAAATCAAGGTCAAGACCGTCGAGATCATCATAACCCCTATCACGCATGCGGCCTCGCACCGCCCGAGTACTCGGCGATCCAGAACTGGGCCACACTCGAGACACGGGTGCGTCTGGAAGCGCGTTGTTGTCTGAAACACGCAAGGCAGAGTGTGGAATGGGTCTTAGCCGAAGTTAAGCGAAGCGGTTGGTGAAGCTCGGGCTGATCACTGCGATTCCCACGGGTAGGTTTCTGGTAGTGCTGATTTGCGCTCGTGTGCAATTCTTCTCCAAGTAGGCAAAGTGGACACATATTTTTGCTGTTGGCCTTGTTGCGAGCTGTGTGGGATATGTAGCAGCACCCCGTGATGTATGATCGGAGGGGGCTTGGAATGGTGCATCGGCTGACTTTCTAGCCAAGACAAGCTGAATCCGCAATATGTAGTTCAGGCACAACGGAAAAGAAGTCGGTATCCAAAGCTGCTGTAACCTTCACCCAGTCGTTGATGCCCTGTGGTTGATGCCCAGTGGTTGATGCCACTTCTGATGCTGGGCCCTTCGTTTTCGTCTTGATTTCAGCGGCAGGTCGACAGACGAGCAGGCTGCTCCGGCGGGGGTCAGCGGGTGGATGCAGCAGCTCTTGACCAAGGTCCTTGCGAACATGTCCATCGAGGTAAATCCTTCACACTTGGTGTTGCTACCGCCACGCGCACTTTTACAACTTGTTAAGTTTTGCGTTGGCCGTGGTATCGTGGTGGGTGGGAAAAAAAACACTCGTTCGTTAATACGATACCTTTTGTTGTGCCGGCTCGTCAAAAACGTGGTAAAATAGAACTTTGGGGACGAGGTCTTCTGTTTGCGTCCCTGCGCTTTCGCACACGCGCGCTTATCGCACACTGTACAAACCAAGCTGACAGAGGGCTTTGTTCCCTATACTATTACAGTGTAACAGCTGCCAGAACAAGAGTGCTCATGTTTTCCACAGCCGATCCATGCTGGACTCCCCCACATCACCAACCACTACCGACTGACCGGTCACTACCCACCGCCACCCCTCGGATATCGTTGTACGCTATATGTGCTGGTTAGGTGTCTAACCTGGTGCTCAAGTACGAAGATGCGGATGTTGTGCTTTCTGCTGCTCTAAAGGTAACTCTATCCGCGTTTCCAAGCTGAGGGGCACCACAGCTGATAGCTTAGTCCCACGAGCTGCATCGTGCAACAATGTTGCTGTCCTGCTTGCACCACGTGCACCATGCCTTACCGTGCGCTTCCGACGAACACCCTCCGACGAGATATTGTTAGGAGGCAGGGGAGGAGGATGGAGGAGAGTCGCCGGTTTTGTTTTTATCGATGGCCGGAGGCAACACAGCAACGCCCAAGTTGGTAGTAGTATCACAACGCTACAGCAGTGTTGTAGAGTCACACCGCCTGCCTCCTGCCGCGTCTTGTCCCGCTCCTGCGCGTCCAACCTTAACAGTCCTTGGTTTGTTTCTCGGCGGATCCCGACCGAGAGTGGACACCGGCGTTCGCCAGCCTCGACGACCCGTTCGGCTTCTTGCATAAGCTTGTACACGCCAGCGACTTGACCGTGTGTCTTGACCGCTACTGCGCTCCAGACTCCTCGAGGAGAAGACAAGTCCAGGCCTTCGAGGTGCTCCGGCCGGCTTCAGCGCCGATTAGTCTTGGTCGTCGCTGCAGTAGCGTACAAGTACCTCGTATGAATTGATATGTTGTGGTTGTTTTTTACGTATGTCGAAAGGTGTGTCGATGGTGAGGTTTCAGCAGGCAAGCATATGCCATGGACACAACGGTCGATGCTTCACGTACAGATTTGCTCCTCACGCTTGTAGGATACGGGTTGCACCTCGCTCCCTTCCACCTTGCTTCCCGTACAGTACAATCGTCGGTACTACATCTAGGTTCTGTGGAGAGGTTGTACAGAACCTTTTCTTAACACTTGGCCAAGAACAAACGTCAGCTGCTGCGCAAAATAGAAACCGGCCTATCGTCTAGCCAATGTTCCTCTCTCTCTCGTAACATCTGGTCGATCTTCTCGGGGACCGGGGGACCGTTGGTATCTGAAGTACCAAGCGTCCCAGAAGCCCCCACCCGCAACAAAACGTGCCTTCCGGGAACCCCACGTGATGTTCTTAGAACATGTTCTTTTTGCTGCCCGTGCGGCGTTTTTTTCTCCCCGCAGGTACCCATCCTCAACCGCGCATCCTTTGAAGTGCAGCTTCTAGCCTGCGTATGGCTCGTCGCGCCGGGCCCGCCGGAGTCCTCGTTTGCTGCGTGGGAAGACCAGCAAACGCAGCAAGGGGAAAGGCTGGAGGATACTGACTATGGCGCTGCGGGGGTACCGCCGTCGCCGGGCAGGGCGGGGGCGCGATGGGGTTTGCAGTGGGGGGCAGGGGAGGGCCCCAGGTCACCACCAGTGCCGGTAAGGTTGGTTCCCATGTCCGGGGTTGGTTGAGGCGGTGACATGGTGCAACCCTGGAGCACAAATTGAGCGTGCCGCTCTAGCGCGCTCAGAGACAAGTGTTCTTGGTTGTCCAGGCTGAGCAAAAAATGTTGGCGGTCTGCTATGTGGATAGACCTATGGGGGAGTGGAACAGCGAGCAGGGCGCTTGTTGGCAAAGGTTTCTTATCCAGGTACTCCAATTGTAGTGCTAGATTGTATCCACACCGGCACCCATTCCTGGGCCGTCATTTCGGTCTGTTTGAAACACAATCTGCAGGGATATCTCGTCTTATGTCGCGTTGTACTCCCCAGTAGTACGTTTCTGATGTAAATATAGCCTTCGGCCAAAAACAACGCCTTCAGTTGCGGTGCACAGGTCTGCTGTCCAAGCGTGTCCCATTCGCGCAAACCTCACGATGGCTTAGTACCCAGCCCTTCTTCGCCCGACCGCACTCCATCAGAGGACTGCCCGACCGCCGGTCACCGTGCTGGGGCGGCTTGTCGGGGGCGGAACCGGGGGGGCCGACGATTCGACAAGCGTCGTCGATCGCGCGGGGTCTGGGGCGACGCCCACGTCGGCGGAACCGGAAGGAGAGATCGACGAGCTGCCCATCCCGACCGTGTGTCGGCTGCTGGGGGACGGGTGGTCTCGCAGGCCTTCCTCTTTGTACTCCCCATTTTTCGACGGGGAGGGCGCCTGGAGCCGAAACGAGGCCTCCGAGGTTTCCTCGGAGGGGGTGCGTCCGTCCATCCCGCGGGACGGCGAGGACCGGGGCGGGGAGGAAGAGGATGGGGCGGGCGTGGGCGTCGGGGGCGGTCACGGTGAAGGCAGGACGATGCCAATCCCGATCATCACGGCGAACGTCTTGATCGCGGACCTCTCGTTCTCGCTTAGGTAGGCGCCTGCTACATAAGGCACACCACGGTGGTGGTCAAGGAATTTGCACGCCGGGCGCCTGATCACGCGACGGGACAGGCGGCATGCTTGGGATTTGAAGCCTCGGCAGATTGATCAACACGTCCACGGAGCGGGGTCATACAGCAGTGTGTGAATTGCCTCCCAGTCGGAGAGTAGTAGCCCATGTTAACGTAGAGGTGACGTTTTCGTTGTCAAGAATTTTGAGCATGGTGAGTATTTATTCACACACTGAGAGTCAGCTTGGGGTAAACCGTGTCCTATCAGAGCACATTTCCGCGCGAACACACCATGTTGCTCAAAAACATGTATTCTGGATGATCTCGTGTTTCGCCCCGGGCGCGCCCGACTTTCGTCCGCCCTTGGCCTTTCCCAGCGATCTACAGGTGCGAATGATGAAGGAGCTCATCGACAGAGCAGTTGCTCATGTCGCCCTCAACGCCCGTCGAAACACTCACGCCGAGTCTCCCATCCAAGGAGCTCCCCCTAGTGCAGCGGTCGAAGGAGAAGCACCAGTCGCGTCAAGCTGGTGGCCTTCTTTCTGGCGGGTGAGATGGTCGGCTTGTGTCACGAGTCGCTCGAGGCACAACCACATGCCCACAAACCAGAGAGTCATGCACAACGCTTGCGAGTGGAACGCGTAAAACGATATATAGACGAGTCGATAGGTGCTCGGGGGGCGTAGTTCGACAGCTTTTGACCTCGGATGAACTTGCTATAGGCTCACAACGAGATTCGACCAGTCCTGCGGTGCGTTGAAGAAACTCATGCCTCGGCGTGTTGCTCTTGCCCAGGGAACTGCGCCCGAAGGCATCGACGAAGGCCTGCCGGAAGGGGGCACAGAGACGACCAGCACTGATATGAATCATGGAACGCTCGGCACGAGCAGTCCAGGTGAGCGTGCAACCACCCCGTCTTGTTAAAGTTTTCAGCGCCATGTGGGCAGACTACGGCAGTTCGTTTCGCTGCTGTGCCGTCCCCGTCGATGACTTCGTCAGCTGAGCCCTTCTTCCATGTTTTGCTGCTTCTCCTTGTCTTTGCTGCTGGGGGGCCCGTCACCCAGCGCCTTTCGAGTCGCGCGAGGACCACACCAAGTTTGTCGTGGCGTCGGCGTCAGTCGGTAGCGTTTCGCTTCGTTTGTTGGAGCACCAGGAGCAACCGGCCCACGCGAAGCCAAAAGAGAGGGAGGAGGAGGAGGAATGCAACTCGCCGGAGGATGAGGAACCTCTGTCGATATCTGTTCCGGTGCACGGGCTGGGCACCGTCAGTGTCTTCTCTACCCCAGTCAGCGCAAGGTGGGAAGATGAGCGGGTATGTAACTTCCGCTAGGTTACTGTGCAACAAGAAGGCGGTCTATGTCTGGCGTGCCGCTTTTGACATGATGCGTTGAGCCCAAGCCCAGGCCCGGGCAAAGTAGTTCGGAACATAGCACACCTTGACTGGCAGTCACGTTGCCAAGGTGTTGGATGAATCACTTGTGTGTGCTGTGTTTTCTTGGGGTTGATTCGAGTCGAAAACGTCACTTCCTGTGGTGTCATGGCCGGTGATACATATACCCTGACAGCCTACCAACATCCGTCATCGCGTTCCCTTTCGCAGAAAACAAACCCTACGGCCGCCAGTCGTCTTCGTGGTGGCGGAAATGAAAGGTCTTGCGCTAGACGCTCACGTCCTGCCAAGTGAGTCACAGCAGGGTAGTGCGACGCTGCTCTATGTAGGATGATTTTTCCCCGCCTCGCTCCGTGATCCTCCTGGCACACGTGTTTTTCGTTTTTTCCCAACAATTGTCAAATTTCGAGTGAGATTGGGATTAGGTGAAAGCGCCTACGGAGCTGTTGTTCCGTCCTACGCTTTGGCCGTCTAACACAAGTTTTCGCGCTCTCTGTTCTGTATCTGTGCATGCCAACAGTTTGCTTTGCATAGACGATGCAGGCCCGAGAGTAAGCGTAGCGTGTGCCGCCGCTCGGTAGTGTATGCCATTAATGTTTGACAAATCTCCTCCTTGCTGGTGATCCATTTCCTTCTGTACCGCACGTCCTTCGCCACCTTGTACGATGTCTGCAGGCGACAATGAGCTCTCGACGGACGTGAAGGTGGACGTTTCGTCCATCGTTGTGCGACACGCTCGCCTCTTTGAGGACGCTGCCACCCCTGCTGCCGACAAGCCTCCTGACCAGGCGGACAAAGGGCTAGACTATCTTGAGCCCGTCGTGTCGTGGGGCGCCGCGGTCATGCCCGACGCTCCTCCTACTTCCCACGAAGGAGATCTCCGTAGCGGAAGGACGGATGGTTTAGCGGACCTCAGGACGGCGAAGATCGTTCAGCGGTGCTTGATCGAGCTTGCGCAAGGCTCGCCCGAATTGGGAGCCGCCGACGGCGAGTCTATCGACGGTGAGAGAAATTCGTCGCGACAGAGCGCCCGAGCTCCTGCGCCAGACGTCCCGGCGCCGGCTCCGGCGCCGTGGGCGCCGGTCTTCCCTTCGGCAGCGCCGCGGCCCGTGCCAAAGGATAGCAGCGCCTTGCAGTATAGGTTGCTAAAGCGGAAGGGCGGCGGCACCTCGACTGATGGGTCTCCTGATGGTGGCGGCGTCGCTATCACCGGCACCGTGTCGACCCTGGCGTGCCATGACCTGGCCGTGGGTGCCCTCCGAGTGCAGCTCGCGGAGATGTTGCTGGAAAAGCTCTTGAAGTTTTCCGGGGTCGTTGGCGGGGAAGCCGGGGGGACGGAGCCGGTGGGAGGAGACCCGGGCGGCGAGGACGAAGCCACCGCGCCACCGCTCACCATCGCGCCCGTTGCCTTGGCTTCGGTGCACGGAAGACCGCCGCCCAGAGCAAGTCGCCTGTCGCCACGGGCCTCAGATGCAGGCTCGGGCTCGGCGCTGTCGAGTCCTAGGACATTGCCTCCTTGCCCTGTCACTTCTTCCTCGGAAACGTCGTTGCACTTCGCGTTGCGGTCTGTCGAGGTGGCTTTGGGCTTCGCTGGGGGGGCTCATGAAGCGGACGAGAATGGAGGCGATCGTTCACGTGACCAGCCCACCTTTTGCGTGCTATCGCTGAGCCAGCTCGAGATCAGCGGTTCTGAGTCGGCGTCGTATGTTGGTGAAGGCGGTGAGCAGCACTTTGTGGCAACCGCCCCACAGCGCCAGCGCGACGAGGAGAGTCAGAGGTTGTGCTCGCTGGTGCTCGGCAACCTGTCCATCGTACTTATTGATGTGTCAGTCCAATCTGCCGACGAGAGCGCACCCCTGGGGCGACAAGGATCTCCGCCACTGATGTCGCGTTCACTAGCACAGGAAGTGTTCCTAGCTGGCGGTAACCCGGCCGGCATACGGCGTCTCCTACGGCTAGGCGGTGCCCGCGTGACGGCCGAGATTTTGAGTAAGCTCGTCGGAGACACAGAACCGACGGCGGTGGGTACGTATAGCGCGCCTGACTTTCTCTTCAATGCGTCCCTCGAGTCCGGGGAGGTGTGTGTCAGCGTTGGAGCTGCCCTGCTGGTCCTGGAAGCATATGTGCTGGCAAGGAAAATGGGCGGGGTCTACCCGGACGCGCTATCTATTAGTGTCGGCGGGATTAGCGCGCCTAGAGTCCACCGGAATCGCGGCTGGTCCCGCGGTGTAGGAGCCGTACTTGAAGGTGTAAGCGTTGGCGGGGTGGTGAAAAGCGGCGGCTGCCAGTTGACCGGGAACATGCGTCGTCTAAGCGTTGGTCGCGTGGGCGGCGGAGTGCCGCTGCAAGGGGAATCCTTCGTGATGCCATCCGACGTGGTGGTGCTCGAAGCACTGCGGGGTGAAGGCAGCGACGAAGGGTTGTCCTGGACCTTGGAGGTCTCCAGTGATAGCGCGGGGGGCGGCGGCGTGAAGCTGGCGACCGTGTTCAAGTCGGCCAAGCTGCACTACACGAACGCGAAGAAGGTCGTGGAGGAGATCATGCTGGTCTCGAAAGAGTGGACGGCTAGAGCCGCTCGTCGCGTGCCGAGTGCTACCGCCGCCGCACGGAGACGGAGCCAGCCCTTCGAGTTCGACATCCGCGGGTCGGCGGTGACACTCCACCTTCCGTTTGAGCTGGAGCTGGAAGTCGAAGACGTCCACCTGGGTACGCCTGGGTTCAACCAGGCGGTGGAACCCGAAGGCGAGAGGGCCGACGGGGACTTAGATCTAGACATAGTCGCTGGCGATGTACGGGTGTTTCACAAGCCGCATGGGTCTGGTTTTTCTTCCTCGGAGGATGCGGGGCCGCCTGCGATTCGGTGCGCGGCCCGGGGGGTTGTGGCGGTCCGGCCTACGGCGAACGCCACCGCCGTCTCGCTCGAGAGCGAGCACGTCCGGGTGCGCCTCACGCCCGCGTTCTGCTCGTCGTTCGGGCTGTTCGTGCGTCTCATGGTGGGGCCGCCGCCGAGACCTCTCGCCGCCGACGCAGCGGCGGCGGCCTTGATGAGAGAGGGTCGACCACCGACCAGCTTCACGTTCGAGCTGAAGGTGCGCACGGTAGACGTCGACTTCTTCACTGGCCCGTGCTGCCCCTCGGCGGTCAGCGCCGCCTTCGTCGTGGGCGGGTTGTCGATGAAACAGCACGCAACAGCTGCCGGCGCGCCGGGGGCCGGCAGCCGAGCCTCGTTCCAAATGAGCTTCGAGGCAGTCGAGGCGACGCAGCGGCGAGATCCCTCGCGAAACGCGCCTGCTCTGCCGTACGAAGCGGCGCAACTGATCGGAGCCTTCGTCGGCCATGGCGGTGCGCCTGGTGTGTTCTCGGCTTGGCTGTCAGCGCGGAAGAGACCGGGCGGAAGCAGCCAGGCTGGACCCACGTACGTCCAGCCGTTTCTAGTCGCGCTCGGACCGAGCAGCGCCACTGCGCAGGTGTTTTCGGTGGTGTCCACGAGCTCGGGGCCGCGGCATCGGCTCGTCAACAGCCTGTCCTTGCGGCTGGCCCCGATGATGCTCGCCTGGTACCCCCCGACCTTCCGCATCCTGATGGGGCACTACAACCGGTTCGCGGCGAACGCCTTCCGGTCGTTTCGTTCGAGAGCCGACATGCCGCGCAGACGGATCGCCGTCCTGTCGTACGACATCGACATCCAGGGCTGCAGCGCCGTGCTGCTGGCCTCGCTCGCGGACGGCGCCCGTGGGGTTCACCTGTCCGCCGGGAAGGTGACGTTCAAGGAGGACACCGCGGCTGCCGCCGCCGCGGCGTCGCCTGCGGGAATGGGCGGGTCGCACGCATCCTCTTCGGCGTTAGCGGTAGATGCACCCATCGCGCCCGACACTACGCTCGCGATGTCCGGATTTGTGGGGCCGGTCGGGATGGCGTTCTTGCAAGACTGGCGGTCGATTTTGCCGACGTCGGTGGCGCCTAGCGCGGGGGGGCGACTGGACGGGGACGCGGCGGCGGCACCCGTGCAGCTGTGCGCGCCTATCGACCTGCGGTGGGCGATGTTCTACGACGAATTGGACCGGTGCCGCCAGGACGTCTCGCTCTCCTCCGTGCAGTTCTGCCTGGAACAGCCGCACTTCGATCTCTGCGTGCGTGTGGCGCAGATTTTCGTCGCCGCTGACTACCCGGGGGCCCTCCCGCCTGCAGTCGTCGCGCCACAGATCGCTGGGCACCCGCAGGATCCTGTGCGCGGGGCCCCCGTGGGGGGCGTCACGAACAACGCACAGGTTGACAGCTTCCTTGCGACATCGCTACGGCTTCCCCTCCTGCAGTTCGTGCTGGCGAACGGCAAGAGGAGCGGCTCTTTCCCGCCGGTCTTGGAGATCGATGTGGCTTCGGTTCGCCTTGCCAGGGGGGGTGTCCTCACCGTGAGGCACCTGTCGGTGAACAGCTGGTCTCAGGATGCGGACAGCCCGGCGCGGTCTGAGGCGGCTGCTGGCGAGATCGGAAACGAGAACGATGGGAGCGGGTGCGGGTACCGGGTGCTTGGGCGCTCCGGGCAGTCGGAAGAATCCGGCAAGGATTTCCTGCGGATGGAAGTGCGGGTGCCGGAGGTCCGATCGGGGAAGCTTGGTCCGAGGCAAGCTCAGCTCGACGTTGTGCTCCAGGTGAGAGGGGAATATTGGCAGCGTGCACGGTGTGCCATTTCGCCCCACTCGTTGAACGGTTTCGTGTGGCGCCCGCACCGCTGGTAGCAGCGTGAAAGTATTGGTTGTTTCTTGTGGTACGTCCCGGTGTTGATAGTGGTGTTAGGAGGCTTTGATGAAAGACACCTTGCTGTACAACTATTTATTATAGATCGTCTTGCGACGGTCTCAGCCCTTTTTGTCCATATACCGCCGTTTTTCGGCGATGATTGAGTCAAGTTCAGGTGTCGTTTTTGTTCTGTCACCCGCCTCTCCATCCCCTCCGTGCTTCGCCAAGTATTGTGGTCCAATAATCACGCCCCCGTTCCAACAACGCCCTTTTCCTGTATGCAAACCCTGGGCGGTTTCGATCCTTCTCCAGGTGCAGCCCTTTGACATCCACGTGAACCCAAGCATCCTGCGGTCGTTCACGGCGTACATCGCGCCCGTCCCGTTCGTGGAGGGTTCCCCGGAAGAAGAAGAGGTGCCGTTCCCTCAGCGCCAACCGCTGCTCACCATATCCTGCCATTCGAGCAGCAGCAACCCGCATACGTCGGCTACCCGCGATGGCGACGGCGCGGCCGGCGATAGGGCCGCCGGCGGCATCGAGCGCGCCAGCTCGTCGGGACAGAGAGTCTCGACGAACTTCGAGAAGTCCGCCCTGACCGCGTCTGGCAGCGTGAGGGTGCTCGCGTCCCAGGTTACTCTGGAGCTGTCCTCCTACCCCGGCGGGCCCGCGTTCATGGCGAGCACCTCTCACGTGTTCCTGAGGGCGATCACCTGGCCTTCCGACGCGGCGGCGAGAGGGAGCAGCGGCGAGGGAGGGGTGCAGGCGGGTCCCGAGGTGTTCGCGCGGTTGTCCCGGGTCGAGTGCAGGGTGAAGTGCGGCCAAGAGTCTGGGGGTTCTGCTGCTACCGTGCAGAACAGGGCGAGGGTTGGCCCTTCTTCTCAACCCGACGACCAGCTGGGCGACACCGTGCTCAAGCCCTTCGACGTCGACGTCCACCTGACTCGGCCCGGGGCTAGTAGCGCCGGGGGCGTCGCCGCCCTCGCCGCTGGCGTCACGGCCGCCACCTCGGAGCACCCCGTGACGCAGGGCTGGCACGCCGGCGTCTACGTGGACGAGCTCTACCTGAGGTGTGCCCCCTTGCACGTGCGCAGCCTCGAGCTCCTCTCCGACCTCTTCCTGCCGGCGGTGACCGCCGCGGAGCTCACGGCGGTGGAGCTGGGCCGCGGTGGACGCGCTCGCGGGACGGCCTCCGACTTGCAGGGCCTGGCCGGAGGAAGGCGGATCGACGACCTCGCCGCCTTGGATCGCGTTGAGTGTCAGGAGCCCGCCGGGCATGCCGACGCCGTGAAGCCGGGACCCGGACAAGCTGTGTTTTACGGGGTCGGGACGACGCCACAAGGGGGCCGTCCGCGGCAAGGGGTTGGCTCTTCGAGCGACGGCGCAGGCGCGAGCGGCGTGGCGGGGGAAGAGAAGGAGGCGGGGAGGCGTAAGGAGGGCGAGGAGGAGGGTCGTGGTGGCTGGGTGCACTGCTGCGAGTGGCGGTACTGGGGGCTCAGGCGGGTGGCCCAGGTCGCGCTCCCGCGCTTGCCGCTGTGCGGGAGCGTGCCGTTGTTGGAAGGGCTGGCTGTTACTTCTTTGGAGGTGGAGCTCAGCTTCGTGGATCCGTTGACGGAAACCGTCAAGGTGATCTGTTATTGACCGTTTGGGATTGTTGCTTACGGGGGGATGCGTGACATACGGGGCCTGTTCGTTTGCGCCAGCAATAACGAATCATGCCGTTGGCGTTGTTGGGGTGTTGAGTGATGACGACTTTGCCCAGTCGTCGATTTTCTGGGCCCTTGGATCAGGGTGTTGTTTTCTAGGAATGCCAACATTTTGTTTTTTATGTCGCTGTCTCTTGCGATCCTTCTGAGGAAACCTTGCGAGTGTGTGTACGACAGTGCATGGTTCTGGGCTGCCTTTCTTCCCTTCTTCATGTCGTACCTCGCCGGTGCGCCTAAGTATACCTCTACCTCCGTCGTCCCTCGTGCAACCCTTTGCTTTTCGTGCTAGGCGGCAACCCGATTCAACGTACCGTGTCAGGCACCGAACGGGTCTTCGGACGACTTCGTTCTCGCCGGCGGTTCGCGCGTTACGATAGAGCCGTCCCAGCCCATCCTCGCCCGCACGTGGCGCCTCTCTTGGCGCGTTCCTACCTGGCTCAGGTTCAAGGCGGCGGGCGCTGGCGGCGCCCCCAAGCCTCCCGCTATCTCCGCCTGGAGCTCTGCCCTCCTTCGGACCTTGTCGATCCGGTCCTCGCCCGCGGGTCCCGTCGTCGGCCCGTCGTACGTGTCAGCGACTCTTGTCGCGCAGCGGCTGACGCTTGCGTTGTTGACCGAGGGCGGCCCGATCTCGCGCTCGTCTTCGGCAGCGGCGGCGGCGGCGGTGGCGCCGCCCGTGTCGCCGTCTAGACGCCGAGAAGGACTGGGCCTGTTCGTGCAGCCGGAAGAGATCGTCCGCGTCGTGGTCGCCGACGTCAACTTCTTCGCCGAGGCGAGCTTGGCGGGGAGGTGGCTGAGCGTGGCCGCTAGGGGCAGCGCCGTGGTGGCGGCGGACGTGCAAGACTTCTCGAACTTCCTGCGCCTCCCCCTCCTGTCGCACGCCGCGGTGAAGCTCGACGTCTCGACCTCCAGCGGCCGAGGCGGGACCGGTCGCATGGTGGGCGAGGGGGAAAGCTTGCTGTCTCCGTTCAGACCCATCGCGTCGGGCGCGGTTGACGTTAGCGGTGCCGTTGTCAGCGTGTCGGTGACGGCGATGCAGTGCATAGAGCAGTGCATCGCGGAGCTGACTCGACGGCCCTCGGACGAACCGGCAACTCGACCAAGCACGACGACGGCAGAGGCGAAGCCGTCGGCGGTTGCGGTGCCCGCACCCGTGCCGCCTCCACGCCAACCACGGCAGCGCAGCAAGCGCTACATCATCACCAACCACACCGACCGAAACCTGTGGTTCGGCCAAGTCTCCACGACGGAAACTCTCTTCCTTCGAGCGGGGGAGGAAACCTTGTACCGCTGGAGGACCATCCCCCACACGCTGGCGGCTGGCGCCGCAGGGCGCAAGGGCGATGACGCGTCACGACTCGTTCTTATGCTACGGCTTGCGCTGCACCGCGTCTCCGGTAGCGGAGGTGGATACGCTGGCGCCGGTTCGGAGCATGGGGGTGGGTACGGAACGTGGACAGAACCTTTTCCTGTGGATCACGTGGGCACTTTTAAGGTGGGTTTGTCGTACGAAGGCAGCCGGATTTCTTTTCCGGGAGTCGTCAAGACCGCGTGTTAGCGGACGGGATGCCAATGGTTCTAATCGGTACGAGACGATTCGTACTCCCGCAGAAACTATTCACCTCTCGCGACTGATTTGACCGTTAGTTCTAGCTGACGTCGAACCTTCTTCGCAATAACTCCGTCCGTTCCGGCTGATTGTCCCGCAGCGTTTGTTACGAGGAGCCGAAGCAGAAGGGCAAGTGGGTGCGGATGCGAGTGCACGCGGCGCCGGTCATCAAGAGAGTGACTTCGTGACGCTCCCCTTGTGGGTGGAAGTGGTCAAGAATGGCCTGGAAACGCGCATCGCGTTCCACGGAGAGTGGGTGTTTACCAACTACCTACCGCAGGAGATTCAGGTGAGGAGGGAAGAGGCTTGGTATGTGTTTTGCGCGCGGGGGCTTTGTGGTGTTACCCTTGTGTTATGGTTTCGCGAACGACACAGCAGTATTTTCGTGCGTATATCCGTGGTGCAGCCTTAGATTTTAACGCTCGTCTCATTAACTCATCAATCGTGCGGCTGTGTGAAACGACTTTGTACGCATCCCGTGGTTAAGATGGTGCTGCGAGTGTTTTTTTGTGGAGACAAGACGGCACTTTCACAAACAATGTGTTTAATTGCACCTCTTGCCGTTGTGAGCCAGGTGGCTTGGGTGACGTCCGCAGGAGTGGGCAACGCCGGCCGGTGTCTCGTCGAGCCTGCAGGAACACGGGGAGGCCTCAGCCTCGAAGCGTGTGCTACCTCCGGACGGGCTGGCGGATCCAATCACCCAGTATCCTGTTCGGCACTCACCGCCTCCTCCTCTTCCCCGGGGGCGGGACAAGCGCACGGGGAGCGCCTCTCCGAGCTCATGTTGGAGTTCCGGTTATCCACTCCCGACGCCGCCGCGTTTGTCGGGTCGGTGGGTCCACCCCCGGTAGCTACCGAGCATTCGGCGGGGCACCCGGCGGCGGCGCGAGACGCTGGTGGTTTTGCCGACGGGGGTAGCTTCGATAGTCGCGGGCTTGACGATGAGCTGCTCCAGGGGCGCGAGGAGATAGAGGTGGACTCGAGCGGTAGCCCCTGGGAGGTCACCCGTCAGTCCGAGTGGGTCCAGGCGAGGCCGTTCGTTTTCCTGGCTCTGATCTCTTGCGCCAGCACAGACCCCGGGATCTCGGGGTTCGCCTTCTGGTGCGTGGCCTCCAGGCAAGCCTCGCGCGCGGCCAATGGCCACCGCGGTAACCTGGGTCAGATGAGAATCGACCTGCACCCGATGGCGCTCGTGTGGAACGGCTCCTCGATACCGATGCGGGCCGTGCTGAAGCACAGGAGCGGCGGTGGCGGGTGGCCGGAGCAGCCGCCTGCTACGCTTGCCGAAGCGGTGGACGAACAAGGTGGGGCTGGGGGTGGGCACGCTGCTGATCGCAACGACGACCCCCGGGCCAACTACAGCCTGTCGCGCACGACCTCCGCGATACGGCCCGGAGGGCGCACGGCGGTTTGTCAGCGGCCCTTCGTGGATTACGACTTGGCGGTGGCATCGACGGGGACGGCGGCACGCCAGGCCTCACCATTCCTCGTTTCCGTCCCGGCGGAGCTCCTGTCCCGCAGGTGCGAGTCCACCTGGCTGCCTCTCCACAGCCGGGCCCTGTCGGACAACGTCTTGAGCCCCCTGGTGGTGGTGGCGTCGCGCCTCCTGGACGCGAACTGGCCGTCGCTGTCGCTCCGCGTGTACTCGGGCCTCAGCGTGGAGAATCACCTCTCGGTGCCGTTGTCCCTGCGGGCGGACTTCATCAGGCCGCTGCTTGGCTCCGACGGGGAGCCATCCGCGCAGCAGCCAGCAGAGGCTCCCGTGACGGAGCGGGGCGAGCCGGAGCGTGCGCAGACCGAGGAGGAGGAAGAGCAAGCGACGGCGCCGCTCCTTCGCCGTAGAGGAAGCGAGTCGTTGTCGGTCGACGACGGTGGCGAGGCCGGAAGCGGCCGTCGCGCTGTCGCCCGCGTTTCCCGCGTCTTCCGCGCCGGGGCCGAGAGCTGCCACAGCGCGTGGGACATGTTTCACGGCAGCGAAGGGTTCTCCATCCCATTCCTTCTGCCCCACGTATCGCTAGATATCGGCCTGGATTCGCCCGAGGAAGTCTCTCCGTCGCCGGCCACTGCGTCGGCGTGTGCAGGGTGGTCATCTCTTGTTCCTCCGGGACGAAGCGCCGAAGAAGTTCCCGGGGGGCCCACGCCGCCAACTCCGGCCGAAAGGCGTTCCCGAAAGCTCAAGGTCAGCCTGGCGGAAGAGTTGAACGAGCTCCTTCTCGTCCCGTGGGAGGCGAGCAGCGGCGTGGTGCTCCCTGTGTTGGCGACCCTCGAGAGGGAAGTCGTCCTGGGAGGGGTGGAGCTGATCCGACTGGCCTTGTACCCGCGGGTGGTGGTTCACAACGCCACGGGCGTGCCGGTCTCGCTCTCGTTGCTTGGCGGCGCCCACGCAGCAGCCGAGGACGACAAGCCCGGAGGTGGGGCACGGAATGAGGCCCTCCCCATGTGCCGCGTGCGCCTCACGCCCGAGGGGAGCGGGAGCCGCATGAACCTGCTCGCCATCCCCGGCGAGCGAGCACTGCACGGACTGGACACCAGCCTCCACGGTTCCCCGCGATCAGCCGCGGGAGGAGGAGAAGGAGGGAGGGCGGGGGAGGGAAGAGGCTTCCCTCTCGAGAACAATCCCCCGCCCGGACTTCTGGGCAAACTCTCACGGATACTGTCTAGCGGGAGCTACAAGGCGTCTTCGGCACACCCCGCCGGCTTCTCCGCCGACCTAGAGATGGCGTTTGGGTGGGACGACCGCGCGGACCAAGCTTCCGCCGACGGCAGTGGTGCGGTCGACGGCCGGGGTGCTCCTCCGACCGCTAGGCCGGCCGGCGAAGAAGCGGCGAGCACGGGAGCAACGAAGTGGAGCCAGGAAGGCTGTGGCGTGAACGAGCTCCCCGTCTTTTCTCTGTGCGAGCCGTCCGCCGGCTCGGCCCTCGCCTCCCACCCGTCCTCGCTCACGGTGCCGGGCGGCGGGCAACGCGCGGTACGCGTCTACGTCGCGGTGGAACCTCCCGGCGCCGAGCCGACGTCGGCGGCGTCCCTCACCCGCCACGTTCTAATCTACCGGGACCCCCAGCCCGACCTCACCATCTGCAACAGGTCGACGGACACCGTGACCCTCCTGCTCGACTGCGGCGCGTTGGTGGAAGTGGCTCCGGGCGGCACGGTGGAGCACTCGTGGCGGAAAGAGCCCACCACAAGAGACGCGAACGGCAGCAACGGCGGCGGCGGGGGCGGGGGCGGTGGCAGTGCGTCAGCAGCGCCGCGATCGTCGCGCAACCATCATCCTCCTCCTCCTCCGGCGAGCATGAAGGGCCGGCACAGCCGGCGATGGTCTGAAGACTCTCGAGGCGTCGTCGACACCCCGACGCCGATGTCGTCGGCGCCGAGCTCTCCCGTGCAGGCAAGGCAAGGCACACCAGCAGCAGCAGCAGCAGCAGCAGCAGCAGCAGCAGCAGCAGCAGGTGCAGCGCTGGACGCGCGGAGGAGCTGCGTGTCGGGACCCGGCGGCAGCCCGGCGCTGCGCAAGGCGGCGCGCGCCCCCGGCAAGCTGGGCGGCGACGCGACGCTGCAGCACTGGTTCCAGTGCAAGGGCGGCGCCAAGGGTGACGTGTTCTTGTCGTGGTCGGACCCGCTCTGGGTGGCTCGCGGCGTGCAGGTTCTGCGCTTCGACGGCCAAATCGGAATCAACGAGGAGAGCTGGGGGCACCGTGGGATCGCGGAAGGTGGCGGCGGCGAAGATGGCGGCGGTGGCGACGACGAGCGCGAGGGCTTTGGGACTAGGTCAGCTCGTGAGGTTCAGGTCCATGTCGTGGAGCGTGCCGGCGGTTTCGTGATGTCCTTCGCGGAGGGAGGGTTCGAGGGGGCGGCCGCCGACGGCGTAGGTGTCGTAGACAGCGGCGCTCGAGACAACCATCATCTCGAAAGCAGGTGGGACGTCTACAACCCCGCGTGTTTTTTTGTGTGATCTCGTCGACGAGAAGACTGCGGGCTCGTTCTGGAGCGCTGGGCTTTTAGGTTTGAAAGAGAGACAACTTTATGCCTTGAAACAGGAAGCTTCTCGTGGAGCATCTATAGTACGCGCACTTTTTGGTTGGCCATTCGTCGCCCCCGTTGAAGCACCATGCTTTGTTTTTTTACCGGCAGCTAAAGATGCCTTTTTTTGTTTCCTCTCGTAAAGTCGCGTGCTAACGTTCGCCCCTCCTGCGCCCGGAAAATCCAAATCTCCGCATATTTACGCGCGCAGAGGGGTCCTCGGGCGATGGGCCTCGACTCTGGAGCAGCACGTGGTGGTCACTTTGTCCGGGGTGTCCCTTCAGCTCTTGGACGATTCCAACCTTCAGGCAGTTGCCGCGAACGGCCAGGGAGGAAAATCGACGGCGGCGGCCGCAAGGGCAGCGTCGGAGAGACTTGGCGGGATGGACGGCTGGGTCGGCGGGACGTGGGTGCGTCAAGCTCTCCATGGCATTTCAAGTCGCGGGTTTTTGTTTTTCTGCTGGTTGGGATGAATGTATACTTCATCTTCGGGGGGGGGGGGGTGTACTCATAGTCGTGCATGCCGTAGTCGTTAGACCATTGACCTCGCATCCCTACAAAGCCGGGACGGAGCACGCCGGGTTCTCACCGGACCAGGCTCTCACATCACCAAGCGCGAAGCGAGGGGGGGGGGGTGCGTTCCATTCACAAGTGCAGGTAGCTTGTCCTGCAGGATTCGGAAACACGCCCTATGGTTTGCTCGGGTCTCAACCTACCGCGGCACGTGCCGAAGCGGCGGTGCAGTAATCGCGAGAGAGGTGCACCGCGTTAAACAGCCAGCCAGTATTGTGCGGCACGCGAGCAAGAGAAGGACGATTTGTGAAAGCGGCCGACCAGAACTCTTGCCAACCTCCATTGCCTGGGACCCATCCTTTCTAAGTTACGACCTTGCACACATTACGGCAGCTCCTTGATTTTCAGCAGGCGTAAGGTTTCCCAGCACGGTTTCGTCCACTAGTGCCACCCAACCCTGTAGTCTACGCAGGTGTTTCTAAGTAAGCAGACACACTGGATAAAGTATGAAACCGGCCAAGTTGGGGTTAGGGTTGAGATTCATCTGCGTGCCCCCTCCCTGGTATTTTTCGTAATAACGCTTTACTTTCTTCTTGGCGTAGGCAGTCCACCCAAGCGAACACTCTTCCTGCGTTCCGATCGCCCGTTTCTCTTGCGCCCGTCCCAGGCGGAGCCTGGCGGTCTCCCGTCAGACGGCGCGTCGGCCCACCTCCCGGCGGCGGCGATACCCGCGATCGTCAGCGTGTTCGTCGACGCGAGCTCGACGCGGCTCTGGCGAGCTGCTCCGGCGGTGCGGCCCGGAATGTCGTCGCTTGACCTGGAGCGGTCGTGGCATCTCAAGGACCGGGTCGGCATCGACGTCTGCCTGGGCACTCTTCAGGTTGGTATATATGTTCCGCCGCACAACTGACGTTCCTTTTGGCAGGAAGAAAGAGGAGTGTATCTCAATTTTTCCTCCCGTCTTGCGTGGTTGTGGCTGGAGTGTTAACCGAGGCTTGCGTACCTGCCATGGTCATCAAGCTGCCATGGTCATCAAGGCCGTTTGGGGCGGGGCTGGGTTTGGCCAAGATGATTATTTATCGGCGAACGAACACTTCTCGCGGTCCCTCGCCGCCCACCAAACCGCCTCGCTTGCGTCTGTGTGTCTGTCCGTCTGTCTGTCGTGCGGCACTCAGATCGATAGTCACGTGGCCGGCCATAGGCTTCCGGTGATCTTCTGCTTCCGGAAGGGAGGCCGTCTAGTTCAGGTCAACGAAATTGGCATGGGCATGCCTGGAGATGACCAGGTCAAGGGAGACTGCCGCCTCGCAATGTCCCTCGTAAGTGTTGGGCAGTTTCGTAGCTAGCGTTGGCCGGACGACCGTTTTTCGGTCATCCGCGGACAAGACCATCTGTTGATTGTGTGCCTCTCGCTCGTGAGGCTGTAGGCATCGTTTGGCCAGAGGGAGGTATGATTACCAGCATGTCGTGTTTGTGCGATGGGGATTGATCTTGTTGTTGTAGTGCTTCATGGGCTTTGGTTTGCCATTCGTCGTTGTCCTCTTCCGTTGTCAGGGCGTCGCGAACGACGGGAATGCGGGCTGCATCGGATGCTCCTGTTGCGAGTGACCGACACCGACATGCCCCAGAACTATTTGTATCCTGCGATAAGCACATCTTTTCTTTCGTAACGCGTGTTTTCGCAGGTTCTCGCTGAGTCTTGGGAAGACAGCCGAGTGCCGTCGTACTTAGAGAAGGTGTCCATCCACTCCGCTCCGATCGACGTCTGCTTCGAGGATTCGCTGCTACCGCCGCTGCTGTTGTTGCTGGAGAGGTCGGGGTGAGCGGAAACGGGGTGTTCTGTGGTAGTCAGTTTCATGGTTAAGCTGTTTTTGTCCTTGAAAGCTGTTGGCTGACTTGCTTGCGGTAGCCGCAGTTCGGTCGCCCACTCCCTACCCCGTGCTTCCACCATCACGAGTGCTACCCTTGTACTCACACGAAAAAATTCTGAAGCAAGCACCTGCTAGTACCAAGCGCTCTATCTACTCTGTTCCCAGAATAACGGCGCCGCGTGCGACTCAAACATGCTCTCCTCTACACCGCCATCGATAAATAAAATGTGCACCCACCGATCAGCATCGGAGCAGCAAGTCCTGGCGACCGTTCATCACCGTACCCGTTCGCGGCGTCGGCAAACGATCGAGGACCCGGCTCTTCGGCGGCGCAGGGAGGCCTTCCGTCCAAGAGGAGCCCCCAGCTGCTACCCCCGGCGCTGGGCGCAAGCGTGGTCCCGCGGCTGTTCATCCAGCGAGTGGATATCGGCGCGCTGGTCGTGAGGGCCACCGTGCAGGGCTATATACCGGGGAAACAGGTGACCGCTCCGTTTGAAGTCGTTCGTATTTAGTAAAATGACGTCAGGTGGAGATGAACATTTTGTTGGAGGTTCAGGTCTCACCAACGGGCCGCCGAGGACGCATTCCATTTTTTTCTTCTTTTTCACAGTCGGGTGGTTCCCTCGTGTTCTTGATTTCTGGGAACAGCCACTCAGCAGCGGCATGGCAGTCAATCTGTCCTTATTTTTTTTTTACAGAAGTTAGGGGACCGGGGGCGGGACCGTTGCGGGAATCTTGTTAGTGTATGAGTGGCTACTTCGTGTGGCGTCAATCAACGTTGGGCAGGCTCCGACGGTCGCGATGACCCACATGTACACCTTTATTTTATCACTTTTTCTCAACACTTCGTGACGGCAGCCGCAATAAACATTTTTTGTTTCAGGGGATTGAACTTCGTTCCACGTGCAAAGAACGCTTGGTCCTGGGCCAATGTTGCTTGGCGGGACCAGCAGCAACCGAACCATTACCGTGGCCCCTTCCCTCGTACCGCGGGCACAGGTGTTTTTGGCCCTGGACAAGTCGCCGTTGCTGTTCAGACCTGTTTCGCTGCGCGGGGTGCTCGCGCGGCCGGACGAGATAGCGGAGCAGATTGCCTCCAACTACGCGGTTGACGCGCTGCTGCGGTCGCTGGCGGTGGTTGGGTCGCTGGAGGCGCTCGGGAGCCCGACAACGCTGCTGTCCGAGTGGGGCAAGGGGGTGTACGACCTGTTCGCGATGCCCATCAAAGCGATGCCCCAGGTGCGCCATGTTACATCCGGACACACAGCTGCATACTCACCCCTTCTGCCGAAGAGACCTCAGCTAGATAGGATTTTTCTGCCTTCAAACCACAAGGGAAGTAGGCAAACGAAACCATCGGCGTCGGCGGCGTACCTCTTCAGTTAGTGAACTACGGATGGCGATGGAGGGCGCAGAACCCGTACTACTGCTGTACTGCAGTTCACGAAGTTGTAGCTTTCCCCCGCCGTCTCGTCTCTTGCTGCGTCCCATCCTTGGCCGCACCACGTCTTTGCCCGAACGCTTGCTTTCTCGTCACACGTAGGGCCCTTCCTCCACCTTCAGAGCTACCTTTCGAGGGGTCAGCTCCCTGCTCAGACACGCTTCGGCTGGAACTCTGTCGTCGGTCTCGGGCGTTTCGAACGCCCTGTCCCGCAACCTCGGGGGTCGGGGCGGGGTCGTTCGCCCGATCGCCGGGACCATGGGGCTGGTGAGGAGAACAGCAGTGGGCATGGCTGTTTCGGCGTTTGTGTCGTGTTGATGACGGTGTCGCAGTGGGGTAGTTCCCGATGAGATAAGAGACGAGTGCTTGCATGGCAGATGCAGGCTGGTTTCTTCTTGGTGAGGGCATGAGGGGTAGTGCCGTGCAATCCTCGTTTCTAAGCGCACGTGCTGACGTACGTATCAACCGTGGCGTGTCATAACAGACTCGCCCTCTCTGCCAGCCTTCACTGATAAGTGTCGTTGTCGCAATCGTTATCCTTCCCGCGCGATACATATTTGTACCGCGCAGGTCCATCGGACATCCAAGTCGCTCATCGCCAGCACTGGCGTGGACAGCGAATGGACTCACGCCGAGGCGAACACGGCGGCCAACCCGGCGACGGCCTACCTCAACGCCGACCTGTGGTACCGCTGCTGCCTGCTGCCCGCGGGGCACGAGTTCCTCTACCGGACCCCGGCGCTGTGCAGCAACGCCTCCTACAGCCAGGCGAACGTGCCCGTAACGATCGTGCTCTCCAGCAAGGTGGGAGGCCCCGTTTTATTTGTTTTGGTTCAGATTTTATTTTTTTGGTCTGGATAATACCTCTAGACTCGATGAGCTGGCTATCGGCCGGCCTCTTGGCCTTTTTCGCGCCTAGGCCCATGTGCTTCACCACGATGGGCCCGTGTTTGGCAGCAGGTGTTCCGCTCTGGTGGTGTTGACAGTGTTGGTGGCGGTGGGACGGGTAGCCCTTTTTAGCCGGCGGCGTTTGTCAGGCGACCGATTGACAGAACGCGAGAGCCGCAAATTATTCGAACACGTATTGTATTTTGGTCACACGACACTGCTGTCTGCAGTGGTACCGTTGGTAACCTCGCAACCTTCCGACGCTTAGGACCGGAGGTTCGAGTCTCTGCTCAGCCACGCGAACTGTTTTTTTTCTCACATATGTATATATGCCCAAAAACTGTGTGGATGGAAAGCGATTGCTTTGTGTGTACGCATCAATTCAGAATTTACGGTGTTCGAAGGAGACCGGACACTCTGAATATATATTGCGACAGAACCCCCCCTCCCCCCCCCCCCCCGCCCCCCCCCGCCCCCTCCTCCTATTCCAAACCCCAACTCAGGCTGTCTTCCTGTACCGGGGAGGCAGCGGCTGCGAGACGCTGTGGAAACAGATCGACCACCAGGACATAACCCTCGTCGAGCAGAGCGCCGAACATGCCCCGGCAGAGCTCATCCTCAACGCCAGGGGTTATCGCCGCCCGAAGAGCGCCACCAGCCCTTTGGGGGCTGCGCGCGTTGCTTCGGCGGCGGCAACTGTAACCGGTGCTCCTTCTCCCCGAACCCGTGCTCCTCCTGTAACCCCCCCCGAAAAGGCAGCAGCAGCAGCTGCCGCAGCAGCAGCAGCAGCAGCAAGAGCTGTCGCTGATGCTGCTGCTGCTGCCGCCGCCGGAGGCCCCGGCCGTAGGACCGCAGTAGTAGTAGCATCCAGGCTGGAGGCGGAGGAGGTGGCGGTCGGGGGCTTGCTGATGAAGCTGTCTCTGCCCAGCAGCGCTTGTTGCCGCGAACTGGCCCAGCTTCTCCACGGGCTTTCTGACAAGGCCTGAGCGAGTGGATCTTGTTCTTCGAAGATGAAAGTCCGTCGGGTTCCCCCAAGAATAGATACTAGGCGAGCGTAATTTTAATTGAGTAGGGCCGCGGCAGAAGATAATTTGGTACGCCGCCCATCTCGAGTTTTGATAGAGGATTAAGTCCAACCGTGGACAGTTTGCCACATGTCAACTCCAGAGCGCTCCGGAACGTGCGTCGTTTTGCGTGGCGGGAGGTACCAATGTGCACGCGCAAGAAATTGAGGTTCCTCCCCCGTTCCTCCTCTCTGTTGCCCGAAGATAGTTGTCTGTGTAAGTCAGGTGTTTGGGGTTTTGATATGTAGGCTTGGGCTATTTGCTTCGAGTTCACCGAGGATCGAGTTTTTTTTTTGTTCGTACTTCACGTAAGTTTGTCTTTGGCCACAGGTGAGGCTTGGCTCTGCACAGTGTACAACCCGCATGCATGCAGTGCCTTTGTGGTTTAATGGTATTTTGGAGTGGGCGGTGGGTACTACCGTGACGATTAGTCTGTATCGCTGGGTTGTAAATATGATGTGCTTGCGCTTCTCGTAACCGAATTCATGTGGCTGTTGGTGGCCGGCTGACAGGCCCAATAATTTTAGACGCTTCCTTTTGCGAGGTTGCGAAATCCGATTGTTTTCCGGAGCGACTCATCGGTTACTTCGTTTTTTCCTGCTTGTGTGCTCGGTACCCGCAGGTAGGAACTCTACGTGAGAGCTCTGAAAACAAAGAAACCACCGACCGATTAGAAAAAGTTTGTTTTACCCCCCTGTGCCACGTTATGTAGCGAGGTTGGGGGTCAGGGCATTGCATTCAGCATCCGTCGGCCGAAGAATGCTTGAAGTGCGATTGGCAAGCGCTATTATCCCAGAGTGAGCGCACGTCGTTGCGGTTTTCTCCGGCAAATCTACGCGTGTCTGTGGCTTATTGTAACCTGCTGAGGCCAAGACACACATATGCCCCCTCCCTCACCCCCCTCCCCCTGTTTCACTCAATTCCAAGTCACCTGTTTTTCCTTTTGGGGTCTAGAGGTTAACCCCTCAAACCTAACAAATTGCCCCAATCAATAGACACCGGCGCTGCAATTGTGAGTATTATTTGTAGTGCCAAAGCCGGCAAGAGGATTTTGGTCCCTCACTCAATATTGCCTGCCATGGCTCTTACGGAAATGTATTGTACGGTCAATGTTATTGAGAGTGCCTTGCGCGATGCGGAAGGTTTGTGCGGTGACGCAAACGCTCCTCGTCAAGATCATGGTAAATACTTTCGCCGGACGCACACGTTGAACATGGTTCATCAATCACAACAGCCCGTTGCTTCTGTATCGTGCGTAAATGCGATGTTTGCCGCATTCAACCGCACTCTCGACACGACACAGGCACAGCGCTCTGTCCATTTTCGCGGTGAAATTAATATCGTTGCCTCGACGGTACTAGAGCAGAACAGCATGAAGCATGTCGACCAAGCATCGAAATCCTTGCAGCCTACAGCCTATTGTACTGCTGTGTCCCAGAAGAACACCCGGACAACACAACCAAGACGCACACGAACCCTTGAAGGCAACAGCAGCATACCAGTACATAAAGAGTAGCAACACAGACAGACCCCACAACACGGAGTGAGCAGCGCACGTGTCCCTCAACCTCTGCTCCTCCTTCAATCCATCACGGGGTTAGACCAACACCAACCAAACACACACTCAAACACACTTCCACCAAACAACAGTCCGATGTACAGAGCAGAGGCCGTGCCGATTGGGGCAACACACCCTGCAGTATACGAGCACCGGGGAATCCATCAGTACTACACGGTTTCGATGCACCCCCCACTAACAATTCCCTTCCAATCTGCCTGTCGCGCTGGCTTCGCGGAATGCGCTACGATCCTCGATCGCCATCCTGGCTTTTTCCAGGGAGAGTCCGGCCTCTCCATTGCCCCTTTTCCGCAGATAGATGCCTTCTCTAGGACGCCAAAATGCGGCGAAAGTTCAGCGTAGGAAAGTGAAGCATGCCCCCCTGGCCTCGTGCCCTCACCACCCTCGGCCTCCCCCAGCTCCTCCCAGCTCACTCCCTCGTTCACACCCTCTCGGAACTGATGTGTCTTCAGAGGTACGCGTGTTTGTGACGGAGACAAGAGACTCATGACGTACCCGAACCCTCACGTATCGACAGCATCCCGAACAAGTGCCGGTACCGGCAAAACTGCGGGTTGATCGTGCATTTTTTTTTTACCGGCACTACTGTTGTTGTACAGGGTATTGGTTGGCACTAACATCGTCTATAGGAGATCGTCCTCCACTCGCAAGTACTCCCCTACATCCGCCTGGTGCAGCACGACGACGGCGGTGGGATCGAGGTCCTTGCAGAACTCGGTCGGCTGGGCCGCCACGCCGAAACCCAAGGGGACGTCGCTCATGCTGTACACCACGGCACCCCCGTACTTGGGGGTGTTTTCCGTTATTCGACCCAGCCCGGACTTCTGCACGTGGTTGCCGTACAAGAAGGACATCTCGGCGCTCGGTTTTACCCACACTTTGTACTGCAGGGGGAATTGACGTGTTTGCCGTGCCGGGCGTATAAGGGAGGCGGGACGAAACGGAAGGGGTGGGAGGTAACCAGTGAGGCATTTATCAGCACGGGTTGCGAGGTGGAGACGGAGAGACTAAATAAAATACACATGCCTGCATGTACATACGTGAGGGCAATGACGGCACGAAATGACGTGGACGGGTCGCACGCAACACGGCGAGCGGGTCGCCTCCATTTTGATCCAGGACAACTGTACTACACGTGTAGTTAGATTTGAGCATTTCGTGCCAATGCGTGCGTTAAAATGGAGCGACAGCGCCGCTATCTTCCCGCATGTTCAAGCAGGAACACTCATTCATGCGCGTCACGTCTTCGAACAGCAAGTTTACCACAGATAGAGCTGTGCTCAATACAAATGTCTACCGGACAAACGTTCTCGATGTCCACCACGTCCATAAAGTGAAAGCCCAGGTTGGGCATGAATAGAGAGTATTTGATATCTACTTAGAACTGCTACAACAACTGGCGTGGAACTGACTTGTCAGGCACAAACGTTAGCATTGGCACCTGCTGTGCGCTGGCGCTGCTGTACAACAGGGCGAGCAACGACACCAGCGTCTTCATGTCATACCTTGGCGTACTGCGAGATATAGTCGAGAGCCGTGATGTGCAGGCGAAACTTTCCCGACTTGGTGAACTTTCCGAAGCACGTGCCCAGCGACAGTAGTGTGTCACGGCTGACGCTAGTTGCTTGCCGCATTAGTCGCTCGCTGCGGGGGAGGGGAAGGCAATATCCAACCAAACGCGCGTGGTGCCTTCTCGTTAGCTGCATCCATCATTCATCAACAAAAGAGCCTACATTGGTAACGCCACAACCTGCAGCATTATCTAATCGCCTGATGTGTTGACCATGCGACAGCACACCCACAAAAACCTCTTGTCTCGTTGCAACTACAGGTAGGCTACTGCCGAAAATAGAGCTCTACACGGGCTTTTGGGCCAAATGGGTGAGCAAGGAAGGCTAATCGGCGAGTATGGCGGTGGTTCTGGCATCCACGCTGTGCCCACCAGGTGGATCTACGAGAGCATTTGCCCACTATAATAGGGAGGGACACAGCGTGTGCCGCATTGCTTTTTTACACTGGTCGGTGCAGCTTCTCCCAAAAGGACAACCTTAACCTTTCCAGCACGAGCAATCCAATACAAACGTTTCAACAGCAGCGGTGGTACGCTGACAGCAGTACAACGCGGACGAAATCTTCATCATGGTGCTTAGCATACATATCCCACTATTAAGGGCGTGTGCTGAAAGGTGTGTGTATTGATATCCCGCGTATTTTGGAAGTGGCAATATGAAGAGCGTGGAGTGTTATATATGTACCGTCATCAGAGCATCGCCGCGAGAGCAGTGGCTCAGGCCAAGGACATGGGAGAGAAAAACATGCGAGTGGCTTCGGTGGACAACAGCAGGGGTTTGGCGGCTTTGAACAACACAACATCCATTCGGTTTGAGGAAGGGGACAACACACCTGACGTAGTACACTCGGTCTTTGTGCAATCGAAAGCAGCACTTCTCGTCCGGACGGTTGATGAGCTGCTCGATGTTCTTGCCGATGTAGTTGGCCAGCTTTTCAAAGAGCACCTTTGTCTCGTCGTCGGTGAGTGGTCTCATGATAGCCCAAACTCGTGTCCACTGCCACGAAAACCCGGTAGAGTAGCCTGTTCTCTGCAGCTGTTACTCCAGCTAGAACTGCTCTAACGGTCCTCGCCTCTAGATCTTGTAGTCCGGGTAGCTTGGAAGCTGTGTGTGGAGACGAGTAGGGAGTCGTGTGTCGGCACAGGCAGCTCACAGGGCAGCCGCGCAGCCGCCGGGCGCGGAGCAAGCGCGGCGCAATAACGAGGGGTTTGATGAAAAAGTTGTCTTTATTAAAAAGGGGTGGGGGAAGGCTTGTACACCAACCAAACCGACAACTTGCCGAAAAAAAAAAGTTCGTTGTGGGCTGGTATCACTTCTCTCAATGCAAGCAACTCAATAAGTCCAGTATCCAGCACGTGTCCTCCAAGTCCTCATTGTAGACACTTCAACACATCCCTTCGAGTTTCGAACCGGTGATTTTCTCGAGCGGGTATGTTTCTTTGCGTGATCGGTACATGTGTTTGAGAGTGTACCTGTTACCCGTTAGTGCAGGAGATCTCCACATCCTCCCCACCCCTCTTTCGAGTCTTCTTGGTCGCTAGGCAAGAAGACTTCTAGGGGGGTAACCGGAACCCGACCGGTTGGTGGCGAGTCGATTCAAATCTTTTGCGATGCCAGCGCGTGACATAACGTGTTGCTTGCTGGCGGTGGCGGTGACCGGATGTGCTTTCGCCTTGCCGGCGTATCCATACGTTTACTTGGCGTCACCGGGGTTCCCTCGTCTTTGGGTTTGAAAGCGCCGGTGGTGGACCGTGGCTCTTGCCCGGGTGCCCCGGAGGGGCAACAGCAGAAGGCAAAGACTCGCCGCCAACCGGTTGGGTCGGTTACCCCTAGCCTTAGACCACGTATGTACCAGGTTTGTTTTTGTTTTACATTTTTCTACTCCGAACGTCAACTTTCAATCATCCAGCGGACGTAGTATCCGAACGCCAAAGAACAAAGTGTAACCGCTACATATTTTCTACTGCTTTCCTCTGCCACTGCATGCAAGCTGCGCCCAAGGCCCCAGGTTGGCACGCTTGGTACGCCCGCACTACAAACCTTTCGAACATTCACACAGCAAGCGGCGTTGTCCTCAACAACCTTCGAGCAGCCCTCCTTGCTGGCGGGGCGCAATTAACAAAAAGAAGCATTTGAGCTCATGACAATCAACCAAAACCCTACCACTAATTTATGTGGCATGTACAACGTTGGCGTAAAAGGACATCGGCATGTACGTATCCCCCCCGGCTTCACATTGTATTCTCTCCACGGCGAGCATCAGCCCCTATATCAAGGGCGCCTCAGTACCTCTGAGCCGTCAACACCTCATTCGCTCAGGGGGCATACATACGTGGGCTCTCACACGTCTCTTGTTTCTCCAACCAAAAGCGTTGTAATCTCCGCGAGAGGCGGTACAGAAGGACAAATCCCGCATAACCCCAATGTTCACCGATATCTTCAGTACCAACTTATCCACGGTAAGGATACATGTGTACCGAACCCAACCACAACAAAAAGTCACCACTCGCCGTTATCCAACCGCAATATCGTAGTCGCATCAATATCCCCCTCATGCTCGCTACACAGCAAAGGACAGCAGTTACCCACGTACAGTAGTACCCCTTTCGCGAGTTGACCTCATTTTCTTAAACTGATTGAATCAAAATAGGCAACCAACACCCCAACGACGGGAGCATGGAACGAACCCACGTATCGTGTGGCATAGACTACACAAACCACACCAAAATCCCTCACAGCGTTGGGTCATCCCGCCAATTCACAACGCCGCAACACCCCAACACACCTACCCGTTTTTTCTGTCACAAAATGGCAAACGGGAACAGAGTGTGATAATTTTTTTTAGTCTTGTTTTACCTTGACTCTATTACGGCAACATCAAAACGGAACACATAAAACTCAAATACTCTACCTCCTGCATTCCTCATATCTAATTAGGGATGAAACTCTATATTACCGGGCCAAGATAAACATACAGAAACGATTTTCTGGCGTAGCCTACACTCCGTACCAGTATGCACGCACCATAGCATTCTTGCGACAAGTCACTACCAAAACACTCGAGGAAAGTCATGGAGCTAAACATCGAGAGTAGTCAGGCCAAACGGGCACGACACCAGTGACATCCTCGGCACAATCTGCGTTTCTACACATCGCGCGCCCACTGAGTCCTGCACATTGCGTGTTGCCGGGGGGCTCAAACGGACAGTATGCCCGCTTCAATCATGAGGTATGCATGAAACGCAACCCCGGCGCACTACAACCCGGCCGTAGATGGCGCCAGCATCTCGGGCGAATACTTTTCCTCGTGCCGCCTCCTGTAGTCCTCGCCATACTTGTCACACCACACGCCTCCTGCACGGAGTAGTAGGCGAGAAACATAAAAAATCCCCCGCGGTAAAGGTGTCGATGAGCATGGCTTAACTAACTGGTGACGACAGTCGTGAATATACGCGCAAGCGAGGCCTGTTATCGAGTGTACGAGACGTATGCATAGGCTCAAACGCCCAACCTACATGCTGGCAAAGCGCAACGCGCAAACGGGTGGGAATGCTCCTTTCCGCACCCTCAAACGAATCACAAAGGCGTACAAGCGACACACTGAGTGGCTAACAGCGAAACTCGCAGTTGCCTCCGCGTAGCTGGTTTTTCCTTTTCTTCGTTCGCTTCTTGCACGCCAGGTGACCTAGGTTTTCAGGGGAAAAATGCCATTGGTTGGCAAGACAATCGCAGAGCTACGCGGAATCGAGGATAACAATGTTATGGTTCGCTCACCGGATTCGAAGCCAGCGTTGAAAAGCTCTTCTTGGACAAAATCGTTGCCGGGGTTTAGCGCGTAATTCAGAAGCTCCATGAAACGTCCGCTCTGGTACCTGCATATGGTAGTTGGGGGGGGCGAAACCATAATGTGCGGCAAGGCATTCATCATTACGACGTGACACCCTCATCCTGTCACCCGATGGTGGAGGGTTCCAAGACAACACAACAAATGTGGCGCAACGCCGACATACTTACAGGCAAAGTGGTTTCATTTCCCAAGTACTTGTGTCACAAGTATATACGTTTCTTAAACAAGACGGCGAGGCAACAAAATAAAACCTCCGAACGCATCTGCCAACGCAAGTATGTACGAAGTTTCGTAGCCCAATCCCTTCTTTGCTCAAGTTCAAGGGTAAACGAACCAACGTCCAAAACGCCCACCGGCACATTGACCCACCTGTCAAGCAGATCCGGCGAGATCAAGTCACCGGGCTTGTCTGACTGCATCGGGACCGACGTGGTTGGAAACACGGTGATGCGTACAACTTCGTCCGCGGTGGGGATGTCCGGAGCACCGAACTGTGCCCTCGGCATCGCGAAGAAACCGTCTACCGTGGGTTGACCCCTTACCTGCATGTACGGTTGCTGAAGAACGGAAGCGAGATCAGAAAGGAGTTTCAGCCAGAAATAGGGTGAACGCATCAATCGTACAGTGAGGCAGTTATAAGGCCAGTACGTGACGCACAAAAGGTACACTCACTCGTCGAGGAGTAAGGAACGAAGGGTCCATTGTCCAATCCAGCCAAAAACGTGCACTCATACAACATCACCGACATCAACTGCAATTTCCGCTGGGGGACGAGGCGCCCAACAGCGTCAAAACAAGAAGCGACGACGGTCGCGTGATCGGCCCAAGTAAAGCCAGCACAAGGAGAGAATGCCAAACACTCTCGTAGTACCCTCTGCTGTGTTGTGCTTGAAACTGCTAGCCTGTGCGGGTAAGAAGTGGGCTGCAACAGCGCGAGCGCGCGACAATCGGACATTATTCCCAGGAAGTGTGCTCGGCCGCGATTGATCAAAACTATTACACAAGAATTGGAACGTCGCAGGTAACGCCTCGCTCTTGGACTCATGGACGTGCTTCCGCGTTTCGTTTCCATCAGTACCCCTCGACGGGCGCAAATTGCTTGAGACTTAGCTGTATCAACTCACCCCGCTGAACCAAAACGGCACATGGCTGGACCCGCAGAACAAGATTCGGCAGCAGAACCGCCGTATCGTTCGCACGGCGTGGTGACGGAGTAGTAGACACCGGGCCGGGCAGAGAGGGCATGGGAACACATGGGAACACATCCGTGAGAGGAGCACCCACACAGCTAGTGTCAGCGACGAGGGCCCAGAGTCAAAGTTTTGCAAACAAGCTGGGTGGTGATAACAATTAAGGCGATAATGAGTCCAGTCAAGCCCCCAGAGCAAAAAATCTGAAGGTAGAATATCGTGTCTCCAATTTCGGCGGGGTGTGTGGAAGAGGGGGTCCCTTTGCGAGGAACTCTCTCAACCTTTCGTTCACCGAGTCCGATGCTGCACACGTCATCCGAACGTGGATGTTTTCCAGAACTGGAGCCCGGTCAGAGAGATGCCGATCGTAAGTGCAGTGTGCGCCTCAACACCATGTATACCACAACTGTAATACCTGTCGACGCTCCATTGAGATACAAGTTGAAAAATCCAACAACAGGCCTTTGTGATTTGTCCTCATTTGGGAAAGCAGGCGGGTGCGGTGGGTCGTTCCACACAACAAGCGAGCGCGTTTCACGGTTGCCTATCACAGTACAGTACACTTGGGGAGTATGGGCCGTGGGCACTCACCAAGAACCTAGCAGGACTTCGATGAGGTCGGCCCTCGATTCGAAGTTGCTGACGAACACGCTTTTTTTCAGTGACGGGAACCCAAGCTGGGTAATGCCCACGGTAACTGCGCCCTCCCTGTTGTTAAGGATCTCGTGCGCGTCCTCCGGTAGCGCACCATCCAGACCTTTCTGTACGATGTTCCTTGAGTACCGAAGGGGTTCAAGGGCCGACAGAATAGTGAGACAGAAAGGGTTTGGAGAGCAAGGAGAACACAGACATTTGTTGTCTCCCGAGTTCCGGAACTCTTCTTATGATCGGTTATTTCCTGTGCATTGATAGCACACGCACGCGGATTCTATCTAGGCTTTCAAGGTACCTGCACCGACTGTGCTGCCTGCATTTCTAGAATCGTGCGTTGTAAAGCAGTCGGTATCACTGCATGTCAAGCGATCAGATGTGTTGTACCACAAGAACCATGACCTATGGCAACTCCACTCTGCCCCGTAGTAACGGAGCACACCCTTTGGCGGCGGCCGAGCCTAATCCTCCTGCTACTTTCTGCATATCTAATCAAAGTCAGCCATGTGTCCGCCGTCTTAAGGGATTGAAGAAAAGCTATTTTTGACGCTGGCTCAATTTTATTGCATAAATCCAATACATGAAAGAAAATCAACACTCCCGCCGTTTAGGTTCTATGCATTCTACCATTTTCAGTGGAGGACACTCCATTATGACTTCTACTATGTTTTACGTTGGGTGGGACTCCCACAACGCAAAGAATCTTTTCGAGCACCCGCCGTGTTGCCTGTGTTGTCTTGATTGTAGACTGACGGAACTTTTGTCATGGTTAGGAGAACAAGTGTGTGGAGGCAGACCACGCGATACGCAGGTGGAGACCATCCCCAACCGCTGCTCTGTACGACACCAGCCTATTGCGCAGTATTTTCCACTAGATCTTGCGTGTCTCGTGTGTGATGGCTACATGGAGTGTGTCATATTCCTTCCAAATTAAGATTGACCGGCATGAACTCCTTAGACCCTGGCATGGCACACGCCACAAGTGCTAACCAGTACACGACTGGCGTGGATGCTGGTACAAATTTCTGGAGGTACGTCCTCATCCTCACCTTAATCTGAAAGCTGCGCCGCCGTCGCTGCAGTCATCGAAGACTCGCCCTGACAGCTCGGCGGCCGTGTCGATGCTCAAGCCACATCCTACTACAACTGCCGCCAGCGCCCTTGACCGACAGCGGCATACACAAAACAGCGGGCATAAATACGAAGGTGTTCATTCCAAAGTTTCAAGTACCAAGTGAGCACCGGTGTGCCCTGTGAGGTGTAAATGCAAGGTTTGTGGTTCGGACCATTTGCTCTCGTTTCGGGTCTCCCGGACTACATGACAGCTGTAGCAGTCTAACATCGCTGTGTGTATACCCGATGTCCTCCTCGCATCTCTCTCACCCTGCCGAAGACCCAGCTAGTGGGGTGTCGTTGGAAAGGAACCCCTCCATCTCCAGGCATTTCGCCACCCCGAGGTGGTAAGGAAAGAGCAGGCCGCCTGTACAACGGCAACGCACGAAACACACACCAACACGCTAACCGGCTGACCATTGAAAAGACGTCACACCAACACAGCAAGCAGTTTTGACAGCTGTTCTCAAAGACAGCCGGGAGTTGCTACCCTGCATAGCAGATCAACAGCGTTGTCCATGGGAGATATTTGAGTTCCACAGCAGTGTTGCCAGTCTCCGTCATCGGCATTAAACATGATCAAGCAGATCGATCTCTCCTCAACGGCCTAGACTACACCCGTAGACCTCATAGTAGTCCGCGGAGAAGACATGCACACGTAGACCTCATGGTAAATAGTCCGAGGAGAAGACATGCACACGGAAATTGAGGACGGCGCAACAACTTCAACTTCTGCGCTACAAATTGGAGACTTTCGAGTTTCGCAGCTGGAATGTTGTAGGCAGACAATACCAATGTCCATCAAAGAACGACCGCCCGTTGGAGATAGCAATAACCCTAACCGTTCGAAGGGATGTGTTGAAGTGTTTACAGTCAGGAGGGACACGTGCGAAGACACGGAGCGAGAACGGAGGCCGAAAAGCCGGAACAAAAACTGGTACACACCTGGAGTGAAGGAGAACCCGATTTGGGAACTCAAGGTTGGCGGTGGTGGTTGTGGTGGTGGTGGGTGAGAAGACACGAACCCAGCGGTGCTGAACGCGTGGCATTTGCGAGCTGCTCCTGCCCCGAAGAGTAGGGGGTACATCCGCATCATCTCGCACACCACCACGAACCTACACTTCCGTAAGTGTGACCAGCTCAGTGGGACACACGCACCGGGGCGCTCGGCGCTCAACGCATCGGGAATCAGGAAATAATAAGCTGGTTCTTTCGCGAAAAAAGGTTCTGTTCGGGAGGGCAACATAATCCCCCCGCTCGTGTTCTGCGAGACCAGACACGAGGAACGGGAAATCCAGCTATGCATCCATACAATGTACGTGTTGTATGAATACTTGTAGCGTAGGGAAGCACAGGATGCCTTAAGCGAGTACGACCGTCCCCATATTCAAGATGACAATGTACCATAAAGGCGCCATGATGTACGGTGAGTACAGGTGACGCCGCCCATCATTGCAGGTGTATTCGAGTTTCCCTGCACCCCACCCACGTGGAGGCAGGCATTCAGAGCATCTAGGCAGGCACCCTGCTAGCGTTTCAATTTTCCCTTCAGACAAACTGTTTTTCGAATAAGCTATATTCACCTGATGCGGTCACTTGCACCTATAGAATATTGAGCTTACGAAGGCATCGCAAAACAGGATTGGGATCAATTTGTTCTTTGGAAATGTTGAGTGTAGAAGACCGTTCATCTATTCCAGAGGAGCCACATGTCGGTTAGACAGGCTGGCTATCTGCTGTTGTTTCATCAACCGCTCACCAGTTGCAGATTGTTGCGTGACAGCAAGTCGACGAAATGCTTCAGAGGCATCATCAATAAGATGCAATATCTTCGTCAGCGCCAGGAGTGTGGTCTCCGTTGGCGCCCTCCCGTACCCTCCCTACTGCTGTATACCTACGTCGCACGTTGTCGTGCAAAAACGGAAAATACGACAATACATTTGCTAGCTGAACAAGCTTAAAGTACCTCCGGCCACTATGCTCTTCCTCCCTTCTGGTAAAACGTGGGGGCAACCTGGCGAACGGGCTACACCGAGAAAAACACAGCATGGCCACAGTTTCTATGCAACGGCACCGAACTACCGTACTCTCTTATTACCACTCCCCCCGAGAGACCACAACCCCAGGGATAGCCGGCAGCGGAGTGTCAAATGGAAGGTGTAGGGTCAGATGCTTCAGCGACGGCGGAAGAATAATCTCCTGGTCGAATTTGCAGTCCAAGACTAGCTCGTGAAGACGAAGCGGCCAGGCAGTGCGATCTATCCGCTGATTGAATCGAAAGCCGAAGATGATCTTCTGCAGCGACGGTGGCCATTTGACCTTGTCAATGCACATGTTGAACTTGACTCCCAAATCGAGTTCTTGAAGGTCCCTGGGCCACGAGACCTGCTCTATCTCCTGGTTGAAGTAGCCCTTGAAGGTGATATGTTGTAGCGATGTCGGAAAAGGGACCCTGCCAATGGGCTTATTAAAACTTGTGCCAAACGTCACGCGTTGCAACGACTGTGGCCACGAGAAAGTGTCTATGCGCTGGTTGAACTTCCTCCCAAACGTCAGCTCTTGCAGTGACGTCGGCAGTGAGCTGTTCTTCATGGAGCGGTTGAACGAATGGCCGAAATTGAGAACTTTCAGATTGGGTGGGTAAACCGCACCTATCACGGCTCGGTTTTGTTCGTCGTCGATGGTCAAGCTTCTCACGTGCTCAAGAACTTCCCCACCTGTCTTCAAGAACTCGGGCGACATCATCCACGTCATAGTGTTCAGGGCATGGTACTGGACAGATGGAACGCGCGACCTGTTGGGCTCCTTCGAATGCCAGTAGCGCTTAAGCGTGACGCTATCTATCAACAGGCGGATTGGGACGTCATCATTCACAATCACGCGTAACGTCGGTGCGCTTCGACACGCCAAGCAGAACTGCAGCGAAGCAAGTTGGAGCTCCTTTGTCGATGTGTACCACGGCTTGCCAAGACAAGCGCGACCGAGAGCCACGATAAAGGCGTCGATTCGCCTGTCTCGCGATTGGGTGGCCTGAATACCCTGGTGTGCAGCCCGCCTCCTGTCACCCTGCAGGTTTTGCAGAGACCAGAAAAGGACGGAACATACACGTCGTAGTTCCGCGAACTAACCCTAACCCTATACCTAACCCTAAGAAGTCTGAGCATGTGAAATGGGTTGCGAGACTGACAGGAACCCCCAGCGTACAAACAACGACCTTGTCGGCGGATCGACTGGCTTCACCGCCTACCCTTAAACGCGTTGTCTTCACCGTCTTCTCCACGATTCTAGTGACGACTCAGAAACCGCATGGGAAATGTTGAATTCCCAGCTTTCCTCTCTCACTGATTGGGCACAGAGTTTGGGTTTCAAAGCCTTGATGGGGTGCGAACTCTGCGGTGAACGACGGTGTCGAGGGTCTCTCAGGTGCATGTATTGTAGAGCACACTTGTTCAAGATTGTACAGGTTATTGCATACCACGTTCCATGTTAGGAATGCACAACACAACAGCTGGCGAAGTTCCTTCGATGTCGACGGCGTTACCGTTCTTGCATCAATGAACTACCACCTTCCACACAAAGTTTTGGCCGAGTGCTTGCAGGCTTTCACATGCGTCATTTGTCCGGAGTTATTACCGGTGCTGTCTCGGCTTACCTCGAGCAACATCTCAGATGAAGGTTTCCCACGACCTGAAGAATCCACGATGTCTGAAGCAGCACCGGCAACAACTCCGAACAAATGACGCAAGTGGGAAGCCTGCAAAGGGTAAATTCGTACGTTGGTTGAGAGGGAGGTATGAACTCGCTGTAACGAACGATTCGGTGACCTGGCGGCCAGTCCACAAATTCATGCGGCCAAGTCCAAAGGCCAACGATTGCACAGCTTCTCATCCCGGACGGGTGATCCCGGTGACCCAAACATGTCCAGCTGTGTGCTACAGGCCCAAGGATTCAACTTGCAAGGCGGTTCATACGTAAATAGACGCTTACTGTGTCGTGCAAGAGACTCTCGTCACCTCGACATTGTCAGAGCTCTGCGTAATAAGCCCATTGCGTGCTAGGTCACGCCCTTGCGTACCCACAGAAGCGTTGATTTCGGCACCATGTATGATTGCCGACTGAGGGGGAGCTCCCACGTTGCCGTCAATGGGTGCGGGCTTTGGGACCCGCGTTCTGTGAATCGGCAGTACAGCAAGTCGGTGTCCCCAGTCAGCCTGCATCTACCAGCCGTGTTACCTCTCTTGGCTTAATGATAGGAGTTCGTTCCACAAAACGCTTGACGGCGCCGACTTCAAATCCGCACAGTCTACCTATAGAGTTTTCGATTCAACGACCTCAGCGTATTGTAACCTCCCGTGAGACCCTTCCGTTGAAACCTGGCGTTCGTTTTTTCTGACATCGCCATCTCCCCATGGAAAGGCTACAGCTGCAGTAGCTGACGTTGAACTCCTACTGATGTTTTGTTGACAATAGTTATATTTCAGTGGTAGTCTTGAAATTTTCAAGGTCGGAATAATATGGTCGTCTTTCTAGGCTACCCTGAACACTGACTGGTGCATGGACCTACGTACATTTTCTGTACGAACTGTTTAATGCGCGAACCTCGCAGTACGAGTCGGCCCAACACTCAGATTGCTGGGGCCCAAAGAGCTGCGAGATTCATGCACATAACCAAACGCAGATATCGAGCAACTAAACACAAATCTTAATATGCGCATTTGTTCATTGCGAGATACAACTCATGCTTTGGGGCCGACAACATGCACACAACCTCACCGGCGGGCACTCAAGTTGGGACGGAAACGGGGGTGTTCCCCTGCTCGGTATGCACTGTCTTCTTGAAGAAAAGGCCTGGTGGATCTGAACATGGCGACAACAGAAAACAAAAAACAACCGCAAAATATGGGGTCAAAAACGGTATTCTGTGTTGGTGAACGTCCAGCGACTTCGGGGAAGATTTTCTCTCATTCGGAGCATTTTACCTAATGGATAGACTTTTGCGCAAAGTGCTGTTATGACATGGGTATAGTCCAATGTTTATGCTTCGCTAGAAACAAAGGGCGGAGACGGGCTTGAAAAAGGTAGCCTCACTTGATGGAATACTCCCGTGGCAAGCGTTGTCTGAGAGAGACAGACCTTGCCACTATCGCCCCAAGGCACAAACACAATCACAAACCATCGGCCTAAAGCTTTGGAGAAGAGATGCCCAAATTTTTCATAAACAACAATATGTCCAGTGCTGCATCTCTTCACGGCAAATCGCACATGGTTCTGTACGAACGGAGTGGTAGACCCCAGACCTCCCCACACTGACGCCTTGAGTGGAAGTGTCCGAGGCGGGTGTCTAGTTAATATATCAATGTTCCCGATACCAAGGTCTGGACAAAAGGGTCCCGGGTGCGCTGCCCTTGGAGCTCTACGGACTTCTGACATCCATTAGACATCCTGGACCTAAACCTCGCAACCCACAACGGGTCGAAACGCTGGTGTAGTCCCAGCATGCCGCATGCACAATGCTGCGCTTCAGCAATGAAGAACAATCTGTTGGTGGAGAGAGTATGACGAGCTGAACACAACGTTATCCAGTCCTAAGGAGGACCACAAAGTATCAAACGTACAAGAATCAAACTCGGTACATGAGTGTTACGGTCGCAGATTCCGACCCCTTCCAAAGCTAAGAGACAAAAAAAAAATCATGCGCTCGAAGTCCCTCTGAAGGACACCACGATAGCCTCATCTTGTGTTACTGGAAGGAGCACGCACCGCCGGCACATACGGTTCCTTCCACACATGCAGCGCGACAGGTTGTACTCCACGGGGGGAATCAAGGCTGGCGTGGTTGACTTTATGTGAGCGGATCGTGCGGGTCCACCTCCATCAAGTTTACGCGAATCGGTTGTGATGCGAAGCCCCCAACCATTGATGTGCTCGTCCTAATGACTGTTGGAGGGTTGGAAACACAGAGTGGGTACATGGGCGGGGGCGAGCAGCATCGCCAACACGCACCGAACGGTAAAACACGCCAAAAGACGGAACTCAAAACGAAAGCCTACAGGAGAAGAGCAAGCACTATTACCGTATATGACACAAGATACCACACCCCGGTGATAACATTTTAGAGTTCAGAATTATTATCACCGGGTGTGGTATCCTGTGGGGGGTGTGGTATCTTGTGTACCCCCGGTGATAAAGTGCAGCTCGCAGGGGCTCCTATGGGGGTGTGATAAACCAGGGGGTGTGATAGCGCGTCCGAACACCCGCAGGGTCTGTTTGGGGGTGTGATAAATGAGGGGGTGTGATAACAGGGGGTGTGATAGCGCGTCCGAACACCCGCAGGGTCTGTTTGGGGGTGTGATAAATGAGGGGGGGTGATAAAAGGGGGGGTGATAGCACGTCAGAACAGCCACAGCGTGTGCTTTGGGGTGTGATAAATGAGGGTGTGATACACTGCTGCCACACAAGTGAGGGGTGTAGTATTACGGGGGAGTGATAGCAACGCCTGCCCAAACACGTGCAGCTACCCCGCACTGCTGTAAGGACCTACCTCAAGTGCTGCGGGGCGTGGAAAAATAAAGGCGCCGAGGTGAAGAAACTCCTGAGCACACGACCTCGGCGATACCTCAACCCCCTCAACGCCTAAGAACACCATAAAGCAAAATACTGGCTTGAATGTAGCATTAAGAAAAACTACAGATCGAAGGAACCTCGCCCGATACAATCATTGACGGTGGCCACATAGTGCGCCATCCGTCCTGCCCCCGTCACAAAAAAGTTGGCTGCTACATGCCTTGATTTGAGTACGACCAAGGAGAGTTCCACAAAGACACCACCCCCAAAAGTCGAAGACACACAAACCCACAAATCTACACTACGAAACGCAACCACGTTGCACTCCACGCGGCGAAGAACACAGCCGACAGTTTCTCCACACTCGTACGAAGACGCCCAAGGAAGAGAAACGCACGCCAGGAAATGTATGTGAGGAAAAACATAAGAAGGACGCCACAAGTCATTTATCAAAACCGGCATCGCTGCCGATGCCTCACAGCTCCACGCCCTCGTCGTCGCTCACCTCCACCACCACCACGCCCGTGTCGTCGTCATCTTCGATGTCAAACGCCTCCAGCAAGTTCTCGGCTTCCGAGGGCGAGTCAGCCTTGTCCGCAGCGGCCAATGGCCCGCCGATAGGCTCCCCCTGGGTGTTGGAGCCGAGCTCCTTGTTGGCCCAGGCCTCGTCTTCCGACCCGCCGAAGGGAAGGAGCAGGCCGGCCTTCCTCCAGCTCGAGCGGATTTCATCCGGGGTCAAGGCATCCCACGCCTTCTTGACCCACTGTGCGACCAACCCCCGCGAAGGGGGCTCCGGGTAGCCCCTGTCGTTGCGCGTGACGTTGTTGGAAGCCATGTGGTCGTCGTAGAGCCTGGACATGTTGGCCTTGAAGATCTTGTTGACCAGGCCATCGCACGGCTGGAGCTTTGGAGTCAGACCTCCGGGGATGTTGAACAGCGTGGTGTTGGACTCCGTCATCTTCTTGACAGACGCGTCCGTCTTGTGGACGGTGTAGTCGTCCCACGCCAGAAGCGTGTCAGGCTGACGGTAGCCGCCGAGGCGGCCCAGCCGCCCCGGGCGCCGGTTCCACACCTGCGGCACCCACACGTCGTCGAACACTCGTTGGGAGTGCCATCCCTTCGGGTCCACGGCGTAGACCATACCTCGGGGGCACGCGATGCCCTTCTTGTCCTTGTAGTCCTTGAACTCGCGCTCGATGCTGTTGGGGGCGGGGGACTTCCCGTTCGGAGTGGGCTGGCCCTTGAAGATGAGGAGGGGCTGGAGCTTGCTGCCGTCGGCGAACACCGTCAGGACCGAAGTGATGCGCATCTTCTCCTTGCCGCCGGTTTTGACGGCAATCTCCTTGTCGCCCACGGCCTGCGAGATTTCGTGGAGCAGCGAAAACCGACGGCAACGTGGGGTGAGTAGTCGTATCAATTTTTAAGATTCTGAGAGAGGCGTCCGTGGTCGCAAAAAATATCACCACAAGCAGAGAACAGAAAAATAAGGAAAATACGCAAACTACACTTTTTATGTAGATGGCTAGTCACAAAAAAAAGGGGTAGTCCAATAGAATCGTTGACGGAGGCAAGGACAGGATTGGTACATCCAACGTAGTACGAGCGAAAACTAGGGCAAAACAAATACTCACGTTCACGGTGTTTTTCCCCGGGCTCTCGAACCACGTAGGGGTTTCATCCATGTTGCCGATCTGCGCCAAGGCGAACTTGAGACGCGGCCCCGAAGGAACTCCAGCGCCACTCCCACCCCCACCGCCGCTTGCGCTGCCTCCCGCCCCTGCCGCAACCCCCAGGCATTCGACCCCGTCCGCAAGTTCGAGCGCAGAAGGCACGTCGTATTTCAGCCTCCTCCACTCCTTGATCAACTGCATGGCGATCAAGGGCCAGCCGGACGGAAGCTTCTGGCCTTGCCGGGTGACAGCTCGCACAGAAAAGCGGTAGACCCTGAGAAACCTTCTGCACCACTGGTTCTGCCTGTTCTTGTACTTGAGGCAGCCCTGGAGGTCGGATGGCGCCGGCCTCTCCCCGAAGAAGTTCGGGTTGAGTTCGATGGCCTTGTTCTTGATCATATTCGTCGAAACGCGGGCGGAGATGCCCGTCAGAACGCAGCTCATTGATCCAGTCCACGACCTCACGCTCGGCCGCCGTGTGCGTCCTGGCCCGTCCGACGTTCAGCGACATGCGGTTCTTGGTTTTCTTCTTGCGCTTGGCTCCTCCCTTGTACGTTTCCGCTTCCGCAAGCGCGGCTTCGTACTTGCCGACCTTCTTGACCCACTCCGCCAACGTCGCCTTGTCGGGAATGTTGAGGATCCTGCTGGCGTAGGTTATCCCAACAGTCCCGTTCGGCCCTCGCGCCCCCTTGATCCTTCTCTGTGAGTACCTCACCGCGTCCACCTTGAACTGCAGAGGATAGCGCTTCCTTTGGCTTCCACCACCAAGCTCGGGGATCGGGAAGTTCGGCGGCTCCAACTCCAGCTGCCCTTTCTTCCTCTTGCCCTTGTTCTGTGCCGGTGTATCGAAGAGAACGCCGCCCAACCCATCTCCCCATTCTGTCTCTCCGGGAAACATCATGTCGCCGGATGCACCATCGTTGGCCACCGGCGCTCCTCCCGCTGCCGGCGTTGCTGCTGCCTTTGCTCCTTCTCCTTCTGGTGCTGGCGCCGGTGCTGGAGCGGGCGCCGTTGCTGGAGCTGGCGCCGGTGTTGGAGCGGGCGCCGATGCTGGAGCGGGCCCCGGTGCTGGAGCGGGCGCCGTTGCTGGGGCTGGCGCCGATGCTGGAGCAGGCCCCGGTGCTGGAGCGGGCGCCGGTGCTGGGGGCTGGCGCCGATGCTGGAGCTGGCGCCGGTGCTGGAGCTGGCGCCGGTGCTGGGGCTCCGCTCACCCTAGAGAAGACAAACGGAAAAAATCATGTGCGGGATGGCACGAAGCGGTCAATGTTGGGACGCACCGAAACATGTGTGGGCAGAAACATAGAGGGGTGAAAAAAAAATGTGCAAAGCAGGTACCATTGAATTTCCTGTGTGGTATGGATGACAGCTGCAACACAAGCTGCTGCCTTTCCGCGACACACACCGCCATGCAGGAAAAAAACTCACACAAAATACAACTGAAAATGTATACAATGCCGCGAACGTATGGCTAAAAATATACTCCGTACAAGTACTACACGCGTCACAAGTCACAACACGGGCACATAAATTAACACAAACATTTACCGGGGACGTGTGGGGGAAAGCTACGCGCATGCACCCAAAAAATATCTTGCAAAAAATGTGGGGTGCAAACAAAAAAACACCTATTTAGGTAAATTACACAGGCCTACCACAGAACAGTTTACAAATTAATTTACAAAATGTATACTTGTACCGAACGTGTGGCGGGCGCCATTTTTTTTTTGAAAAAATGTGAAAAAAATACACGAACCCTGGAGTGTGCGGGTGGCGTAAAAGCCAAGCCCAAACTGCACGCTTCGAGACCACACGCGGACTGATACTAAGCCAAATTCACGAAGCGCATTTACACTCACTTGGATCGTTCTTCCGTGCCGACGGAGGTGCTGGGCTCCTCGTCCACCATGTCCACCACCACCTGAGATGCTTGGCTGGTGCGCGTTGACTCGTCTGCTGCGGTGCTCGTACGTGCTGCTGAGAGCGAGCCCGCAACTGGCTGCTGCTGAGGCGATGCAGGGTGTGACATGTTGGCGTTTGCTGCTGCGCCAGCTGCTCCTGCTGCTGTTAGATCAACAGCAGCAGGCGCAGGAGCAGCAGCCTCTTGCGCAGAAGAAGTGTGCGCGCGTCCAAAGAAGGAGGTGATCTGCTGAGGCGCCTGTGCTGCTGCAGTCGAAGCAGTTGTCGAAGGAGCGGAGGCGCTTGCGGCTGCATTCTGTTCTGCCTGCACGTTCATGTTGTTGGGGGTCTCCATGCGGGGTGTTTCCCCGCACACAGATGCCGTGGCTGTGTGTGTGATGCCCAGGGGCAGATGCTGTATCACCCGGGTGATAAGAAGGGAGGGCCCCCGGTGAATGTATGCGGCGCAACCAAAAATATCACCGGGGTGTGTTATCTTATGTACCCCCGGTGATAAATCGATGGTTTGTCAGAAACGCCCAAAATTACCACCGGGGTGTGGTATTCTGTGGGGGGTGTGGTATCTTATGTACCGGTGGTATCTTGTGTCATATACGGTACTGCTCGCGGCCGCGGTCGCCGTCCGTGATTAGATCGACGCGGAACCAACGACCTTTTTACGAGCTCTAGCGCCGTTCCACTGCCGGAAGTAGCTTTGCTCCATGTTGAAGACGCGCTGTCATCTCACGACCCAACACCGAGCAATACACCACCACCACCGACGGTAACCAGCGCTAAATAGTGTATCAGAGGGAACTTTTCTCCAGTCGTTGTCATAAATGTCCGTCAGTCAAGTTGGACTTCTTTGGGGCGAATGGAGTCGTAGCATCTGAAACATGCTACAGCTTAGACGTAGTCGAGGGTTTGTGTTGACTCACGGTCTCCACCCTTTTCTTTCTTGTGGAACCCAACATGTCGATCTATTCCATCCATGATCCATCCGTCGATCCATCAACTGGAGGACCTCGTGCTCCTTCAATCTACAATGGCCCAGTGAAGTTCCCTCTGAGGAAACTCCGTGGTTCCACCCATTTCATCCATCAATCCATCCATCGATCCATTCAGAGGAGGGTCCATCGCTCTGGTCAACCCATCATCCGTTAATATAATGTGGTCGATTGGGTTCCCTTGAAGGGCGTCAGCAAATTGAAGCATTTCATCCGTCAATCCATCCGCCAATCCGTGCACGGTGAGAACCTCCGTTGCCTCTATCCACAGCCATTTCATCCTTTCAAAACTTGATGGATTGAAGTTACCTCGACGAAAGCCCACAACCGATCAATTTCATTCGTCAGTTTCATCCATCCGTGGATCTGTTCATGGAAACCCCTGTCGTTGCACCAGTCCATCATCTGCCTCATCCTCTTGTTCGAATAAAGTTCTTCAGACGGAAGCCAACAAATCGACCCATGTCACCCATCAATTTTTCCGTGGACCCCTTCATGGGAAGACCCATCTTTCACCAAGCCCTAATCCGTTAAATTCAGTTTTGTCGGTAATCATGTCCTCCGAAACAAAGACGTGGTCTTACCCGCACAATCGACATGGAACACGATTGATATGTCAAAGATGGCCGATACCATAAAACCGGCAGCCCTCGCGGAGTTTTTGTTGTTAAGAAAGCTTTACCCCAACCTTTATATAGATGCTGGATGATCACAAACGCCTTCACCTTACGAACCTCGTACACAGTCTGCTTCTAGCCACTAGGGTAGCGCCGAGGATACTTTGTCAGCGTTTGTCAGGTGTGGGTTTCCGTTGTACTGGTATCGGCCAAGCTGCAAACCTGCAAACCTTCATTTTTCTTTTGCAGTGTTGGGCTATGAATTTGTCTGTTAAAGCACCCGACAGAGGAGCCACACCGACGCAGTACCTTGATGTAGAATGCTTCATTTCTATACATTCGATATCATTTCCTCATGCTACCACCGTAGCAAACACGAATGCTATGGTGCAGAGAAAAATGCTTTCGTGCGCAAGGGCTTCATATCTAATTCCCCGGATAGAATATCACTCCAAACCAGTTCGGACGCCTTTTCCCTATCGCATTGGAAGCTAGCCAATGTACACCACTCATTCAGTTCGAATGCCTGTTCTTGCCCCACTTGCCTCGATATTTCGCCTGAACGAGCAGGGGAGACGTCCCTCTTGGAAGATGTAGATTCTTGGTTCACGGTGGGTGTCGTGGTGGACGCTTCGTTCCCTCTGGAGGATTCGCTGATTCTGGGCAAAAGGTACGATAGAGAGATGGCTGGTTAGTTTTTCACGAACGATGCGATACCCTTGGAGTAAAAAGTACATCTGCCCGGGCGGGAATACCGCTGCCCAGCAGAGTATTTTTTTTTATTTTTTGTCTTCGTAACACTTCCCCGGTCATGCCTAGACAAGCGCGTGTGTATATACATGAAATTGTTCAAAATCATTCACCCGCATGGCATGGAACACTCCGAATAAACTGATGGAAGAAGGGTCTACAGTAATATTCAAGGTGAGCTGTATTAATCAGCGAGCGTTGCATTTACTCCTACTGCTGTATACCTATCCTTTAACGCGTGTGGATATAGCTGGAGAAAAAACGACACCGGCCGTAATACCATATTACCTGCTGCCAACCTCATGTCCTTCCTTCCTTGTCCCTTTCGAGGTTTTATCCATGGCTGGCTATGGCTCTCGGGGGCACTTCGCACGAGAAATACATCATCATAAATTCAACGTGTAGAAAACACAAACGAGCGGCGGTGGGAGGGTGGCGGGAGGGTTAAAGGTTGGCGTGCCGTAGACTGATGTATAATAATGTTTTCTCGGCGAATGGAGAGTACAAAGCTCTGAGTATGCACTGTACAGCACAGTTGGCACTTTCCGCGAAATGTGTGGGTGAGGGACCTTTCTCGTGCATGATGAACCTACAGCAGCGGTAGTTTAGTCATGTTTGCAAGCTCGTGTGCGTTTCTGTACTCGGCGGGTGACTACACGTTAACACCCTAGCAGCAGACTGGTAAATATATATATAAAGACTTGCTTCCGTTCATGTCATCAAGCAGTCAATGTCGACGTTCATGGCGCCCATGCAGAGGTGAGCAAGAGAGCCCAAGGGAGAGCAGATCACATTTTATTAAAAAGGTCCGTGCACAAAACGGGCGTTTTAGGTGATAACTGTTGAAAGAACTCGATTCAGCCGGAGTTTCAGCCATGCCTGCTTGTGATTCCCACGTCAAGGCGAGAAAAATGGTTTGGGCACCAAAATAATGCAATACTAGTCTAACATCAGTAAATATTGAGCACTCCATCCCGAATATTTGTCGAAAAAATCTGGGTTTTGAACCAAACTGTGAATATCTCGGCAAATATCGTTTTACTTGATAAAAAGAGAAAAAAATACCCCTGGGTATGGAGGAGAGGAATCCTTCGCCGCACCCTATTTAGAGATCGTAGGATCAGTTATCTCATATAAAACGAAACCGTGTTGGTGCTCCAGATCCAGATGTTGGGCGATACCTCCCTCAAAATCGACAGTTTAAAAAACACAATTTGTTCAAATCCGTCGAGATATTTGAAATGGACAAACACCATCTCCTCTAAGGAAAAACGAATCATCAAGCTTTCTCGATTTTTCTCTGATACAAAGTCAAGGAACATGAAAAAATAAAAATATCTCCCTCAGTGGATGCGCCTGGGGACGAAGCGTTTGCCGGTACTTTCAGATGTCGGGACAACCCCCCGCCCCCCCGAGAAAGTGTACCTCGGTGCTGGGGCAATGGTGCTGGGGCAATTTCGGACAAATTGTCGTGCAGGGGCTTCGGCGAACTGCTGTGTGTGTGAGACCTTTTTCGTGCATGATGAAGCTACAGCACCAGTAGTCATGTTTGCAAGGTGTGCATTTCTGTACTCGGCGGGTAACCAGACGTTAACATCCTACCAGGCCTAGCAGCCCATTCGTAGAGACATATATAAGACGTGCTTCCATACAAGCGTCAATGTGACACTCATTCATGGAGCCCACGCAGAGGTGAGCAAGCCCAAGGAAGAGGGGACTCCGTCGCTTACTAAATAATCAGATCACATACCAACCAGAGGCTTCCGTGTTTCATACCCACAGCCGAGTACCCCAAAAGTGTGCTTGCAGTACCTAAACATAGGGAGGGTGCGTTTATTTCAGAGGCTGATTTCGTGCTTACCAACACCTCCTACTATGATGGCTGTAGACTACATACCGTATCAGAGGTTTATACAGCATGGGGTGAACGCCCGCCGGCGTGATCATGCAGGTGGGAATGCACCGCGTGGCGGGGGGAGCGGGGTGGAGCAAGGTATACAGGAGTCTGGCCAAAGATGCAATATGACTCCCCATTGGTTTTCGGGCTGCCAGCAATCCCCGCATCTCGTCACACACCACCAACATTAGAGACCGACCTACAGCTAGTTGCGACCCGCAAGTAAGAAAAACAAACGTAGTTATGTGAAAAGAGGCAGTCGTCCTCGACAGACGTTGGGGAGATTGTACCGTTCTTTATGAAGGTGTTCTCCACAGTTTTGAGAATGAGGCTGGGACTTTCGGGAAACGTAAGAAAAATCGAAGAAACACACCTCAGGCGTAGATCCTACACTAAACTCAATATATTGACCTATGCTCGACGGCGGTGACAAAAGAAGAATTTGAGCCTCGACCCCAAATTGGCGTTTCTTATTCGCGGGCCGCAACTGTAGTACATTTGGCCCGTGTGGTGACAATCATTCCATATCTTTGAGCCTGGCCAGTTGGCTTGCAACACGGACAGGCCAGCGCCTCGTTCAGACAAGAGGGAAGGAGGCCCATCTCAAAGATAAATGGATACAGCAGTTCAAAGGGACTGCCTGTTTGTACACCCTGTGGCGGGTTGCCGATCTTCATATAACTTAGTCTTACTTCGAAGTATTACGTACACAGTGAATCACCGTCTTACCCCCTGCGAGGATATTTTCGACTTCTTCATGTGCTGTGCACGCAAAACTCGAAAGAGGAGGAGGAGGACAGGGGCAATTGCTAAGGACACACACGCAGGGAGCGGACAGTAAGATACGGACACGTTCACCCACCGGAGAGGAAAGTGAATTGCAGTACTACTGTAGATTTGCGTCCCCTCACGGAAGCGGATTGAAATACACTGCTGCTGCACTCTACAGCAGTAGGTTGCTGGTTGTTTCCCAGCAAGACACACACTACACACACGCGGCGAGATTGACAATGGTCGTGCTCTCGCTGGTTCATGGCAACCACAAGAGCACCTCAATCGGGCGCATCCATGCCAATCCAAGCGGGGTACCCAAACCAGGACCGGCTGTAGAGGTGGTCAGTAATAATATCGCCTAGGGGACTACAGAAACAGCATGTGGGAGACATGAAGATACCGCAACCAAGCCTCTCGACCGGCTCTCTCCTCAATCTTCCCGTAAAAGTAGAGAACGGATGTATGTATGTTGTCTATCTGCCCCTACTTCTACGAACTGGTGCCTACGCACCTACTGCTGCAGGTGCGCCCGGAGTGACGACCGCCAGGAGTTGGTGGCACTGCCCTCCGCTCCTGCAGGGGGCGTTCACCGGGTGGTGTGTGCGAAAGAGACGCAATGACAAATCTTGCAATCTTGAGGGAAGTATTAGAGGCCCGCTGGCGACCGACACACCCTCCCTCCTCTCTCCACTGCTGTGCCCCCCACGCCCCCCCTCCCCGTACCAGTACCACGTCCTTACTTGTCGTTTTTCTGCTGTAGGAACCCCCTATCTATTATCTATCTGATTTATTTTCTCGGTATTGCTGTAACATGTGGTGGGCATCCATGTTGATAACAGCACTCTTTTCTTCAACCCTCACCACGCTGTTGTGTTGATGCTGTGCTGTTGAATCGCTCCTCCGCTCGTCAAAGATTCCACCAGCTGTGATTCTGTCTCCTTCAGAAGTAATCCATACGTATGCATTACACCGCTGGATAATAAAAAACACACACAGAAAGACTACCCATTCGAGATATACCCACAGCAGTCGAACGGGATGTGGTGGAGTCTTTTCAGTGAGTGGAGGGAAACTGGCTGGGTACTGGACTTATTTCGAGTCTTTTTAAGTCTACACTGATGATTTATACCAGTGATGCCAGCTGGTACTATGCATATGTGAACATACACGTCCCTCAACGCGTCCCAGGATGATCTATATCTGCGTAAATGTATCTACTTGATTGCACCTCAAACCAATGTCCGCGCTTTGATAGACGCCTTCTATTGCAGTATGTACCTTACCACGGGGCGACTCCCCATGGAGAAAAAAAGCACGGCATACATCATGGGGTGCATCAATTACCAACATTAACTTGATGTGTTTTCTGCCGCTCGCTGTAGAATCAGTCTCTTGCTTGTGTAACCACCGCACAGACAGCAGGCTCGGCGGGCGGACTGTAATATGTAACACCGCCTCTTTCCGTTTTTTCTTTTTTTTTCTTTTTTCTGGCCACGTGTGTCAGGTTTGTCCGCGTGTCTCGTTGAATGGAGTAATTCAGAACCGTAGACTCGACTCTTTGAAGGCCCACTACTGGAGCACACGTTTTCACTGCCGAGTGAGTTCGACCCCGAATCTATACGTACGTCCCGCAACCACAGCAGTGTACTTATAATTTACATGTTCGCCGAGGACTCCTACAGTGTAGATACCGAGGGCGACGATATTTTTTGCCTACGGTAGAGATGACGAAGATACTTACTGTAGATATCTGCACACGAGGACGGAGATAAGTCTACAGAGTGTGTGCGTGAGAGATAGCGCAGCCCAGTCAAGTCTTACTTACAGTAGACTACACGTGTGAGGGGTGATTTTTATATATAGTAATTAATTACAGTTCGAGCACTGCTTTGACAACGGAGTTATACATACATAGTCTACATGTAGTTTTTTTTAACGATCGCATGCGGTACGTGCGGCGCCTGATCCCGTTGGAAAAGCACGGACGTTCTGTCGAGAGGGTACAGCTGAGACACATGTCCGTCCGTACTGGTTTCTCTGGTGGCATTCGGTGTGTGGCGACTCTTTGTTCGTGGTAAGTATGCATGTGATGATGATCAGCACACTCACGGTGCGCGCATGATAAACATGGGTAAAATTGTGGGAGATTGGAACATGAAGGCGAGAGGGGTGGAGGTAACACCCGAACATGGACTCGAGCCTCCAAAACAAAATTGAGCTGCACCCATGAACCAAGTTGTTGCAATATGTGCGTACTGCACGGATGTTGTGTCGAATGCCTGACCCTCCTTCAGCACATGCATGCATGATGATGCTGGCTACAAATTTGTTTATCTCCTGTACAAGTGGTAGCAGCAAGCGCTACAAGAAGACAAGAAGAGTACAACCTCCAGCACAAGGTCTACCCTGTCAAAAGCAATGGGCCTACGCGGGGTTATTCGTTGCTTCTGTTAGGCCTTGAAGTGTTTTTTAGCGTTGATTTTGTCAACGTACGGATCAGGGTTCTCGTGTGAGATACGTATGTATGTATGTATATATATGACATGTACGTGGTGGGTGTTCTGGCCGGATAGACACTACGACCCGCGTGCGAATGGACGGCGGGGTGCCTAGTTCTCTCTGGTACCCCTCGACAAACAGTCACACGATCACACACGTATGATATGTTCATGTGGAAATTGTTTCGTTCTTGCAAATACCAAGCTCAAAAAAGAAAATACGAAAAATGCATACGATACGCGTCAGTCACCTTCAGATGTACATGGCAGGGTGTTCAATACATATATGTAGCCGTCCATACGTAAGCGTTATTCTGCCATCCAACAGCCAGAACACAAATTATAGACTCCGACGTAGAAGTTAAGTATGATGCACATGGACAGATGCTGATTTTTGGGGTATCCTCCTTGGCGACTCACCTTATTCAAACCTGAAGACTGCAACAACAACGACAACGGCAGCAGCACCAAAACCAAACAACGAGCTGTTACCCTGTCGAACCACCTGGCCGACGGGATAGCTAACAGTACCAAGTCGTACCAGGAAGATTGCCTTTGCTGTTTGAGATAGTAGAGGTAATAGCAGTATTGGATCATATCGCCAGAGAAACCTTTTCAAGCGCGGCCACGAACATAGACTAGCAGGAGTGAGTGTGGGGACGGAAAGGGACAAGAGCCGCCGACGAGTGAGCAGAAGCCACTGTTTACGCACGACCCACAGTCAATACCACGGCAGCCAGCTAGAGAGGACAGCCGCTTCGATGATTGATATTACCGTATGGAGATTGACTATAGATTGTTGCAGACGCACCAGCAGCAAACAAACGTGCGCGATGCCAAAAAATACTCGATGTGGGCATGTATTTGAGCTTGGTGGCCATGTGGTACCGTTGCCAAAGAGCGGCGGACCAACCTAGAAACAAACGTGTATGGACTCTATGAAGCTTATAATACACAAGAAGTGGCGTTGGAACAAGCGAAACGATGAGTGCTGTTTCCATCCGAAAAAAACAGTCTTACGTACAGAACAGAGTGCCCCTCAAACCGACAGGATGCTGAATAAGAGGCAGAAAAAGCGAGAAGAACACGAGGAGCGGCAGGTAGGTGAAGATCAGGGAGGGCACCGAAATGCACAGAGAGGAAATCTATTGTACACGGGCGATCGTCGGGGGGCACACGGGGAGAGGCCACAGCCTATGGTACGTAGATGCCGTCTCCTCGTTGCTATCGGATGACGCGTATGTACGCATCTAGTTCCGGTCCATGTCGTCAATATGCGCAAATAAATGCCTTTGGGTTGCCTTTGGATTTTGTTGGGTGAGGCGATCAGAACGGAAAACAGAGAGGACTATCAGCAAAAAACACACCGTATTGTTAGGACTGCTGTTCCTTGACTGCTTCGTCTCGCTTTCTCGCGAATCCATATATTATCTCTTTCTTGCTCTACCCCATGACGTCTCCACAGTATTTCGGCACTGCTCCCATTCATGTTGTCGTTGTTGAAGTCGAGGAAGCTACTTCGTCACAACTTTTTCCAGTCTTACCGGATATATTTCAGTATACACATGTGGGTTCGCAGCCGTACACTGCTATACGGATTGTTGTACTGGCCGCCCGGGACAGACTGAAGTCCTCTCTCCAGTCATCGGAAGAGATACTTGTGGTGCGTACTAAAATGTTTTTCTCTCGTTCACAAATATACCATGCATGGTGTGTGAATCGTGTCGCGTTCAATCTGCTTGTCGGTCTTCTCGACTACAACACCACACTGGAACTAGAAGAGATGAAATGAAGTCTACCCACACGAGGTGGGATTGAGTCTAGGATGTGGATCTCAACGCGTGGAAGTGTCAAACCAGTGAAGGTTTGCCGGCCTGAACAAAAACACCTCTCTCTACCGCCAACAACAACAACAACAACAACAACAAGACACATAGATTTCTCGTGAGGAAACTTCCCTTGCAGGTCTCTGTAAGGTCTAGTTGCCCACGAACTTGTGGAGATTAAGTCGGGCTCCTTATTTATTGTGTGTGTCGCTGGCAAAGAAGCGTTAGAATATCCATATTGTACTCCCTCCACAACACGAACACGTACAATCGGCAGTAATTCAATTTTGCTTAATTCTACATGAAGTCAACCCGTACCAAATGTTGATTAACAGAAGATTTAGACTGCAATTCGACTGTTGTTTGCCGTTGTAGTTGTAGAAGCCTAAAAGCTACTGCCGCCGCGGCCGCCGCTGCTGTCGATGTCGTTGTTGTCGTCGTCGTCACATGGATACAGCAGATGAATAAATGTGTTTCTCTAAAGAAGTCCATAGATATTCTGGGGAGATGGTGTGCCCAAGAAATTCGGCTTCCGTGGCACCAATACGGGCTTTGGGAGGCGTCACCTCCACGTTTATTGCAAACACAATCTTTCAGAAAGAGAGCGAACGGTCGCCACATGATCGTCTAGGGTCTCATCGTAACGATCAGATCGTCCACGTATGAGGCGACACGTTGCTTGGAGGTCATTGATGACTTCGTTGACAACCTGACGGAACCACCCAGGAGAAGCAGAGCTGCCTTGAGGGATTCTCAGCCACTCGAAAAGTCCAGAGGACGAAACAAACGCCACTTGAGTGGCGTGGCATCACGGCGAATCGTGCTTTGATGGAACGAAGACTTCATGTCGAAGAAAGAATGTATCTTCTCTTTCAACAGCTTGTCCGGAGTATCGTCGACTCTGGTATCGGAAGCTGACTATGTAAACGAACAAAAATCAACTTTCGATAATTGACGGTGAATGCGAACACCACAGGATTTCTTAGGCATAACAACCAGGATAACAACCAAGGGACTCGAGTCCGGAGATGTAGAGTGTTGGATGAGACCCTCAGCAACATATTGGTCCAGAATATCGTCCACTTGCTTCGCCACTGCAGGGTTAACTCAATAAGGGCGAAAGGTGACTGGCTCACTGCCAGGGGGAACTATTAGTCAACTTGAACAGGCAAACAGCAAACATGAGCCGAAATCCGTCGAGACCGGGAAAACACATCGTGACATTCGCACAATAAATTACCCACTTGGTGATAACGTCATGCGTTCAACCAGGACTATGTACTTTGAACGTGATCTCTCGCAAACGGAGAGGAAGCTTGGCCCGCATGAGGGAGAACCTATCACCTTGTTCCGGAGTCAAACGTTCCATAGTAGCCTGCGGAGGTGAAGCAAAGGTGTGATCAGGAGGTCCTTCTACATGCCGCTTCTGGCTGTTTGGCCGAGAGATTGTGCACAAACGGGTCAATGGTTGGTCGCATTGCAGAACGGGGGTCGCCGTTGGGCAAGCAAGATGCAATCAGCGGGGCTGGGGGCATCAGAAACAACATCCGGCGGAACGGCGGCGGTTTGAAGGCCCGCGCTCAGATCGCCGTGCGGGATGGCGCTAAGGGGTACTTGGAGAAGGGCGCATAAGCGGTACCGAAAACGTCTCCGGGCTCTAAACTCGAAACACCCGCCAACGGCACACGTGTCTGCCATGGGTGATGAAATGCTCGTCGAAGGAAAAACATGGACGTTTGAGGAAGGAGCATATCCACCATAACAGGGGACCATCGCTGCGTGTGGCTGCGTCCTAATCAATCAACTTGCACAAGGTCTGTTCGGTAGGTAGTTTATTTAATGGAATCTTTCCCAGCACACCGACGAACGAAGTAACTGCTCGCAGTTCGGAGATGTCGTGAACGAATCCTTCAACGCCATTCTGCCTATATGGTGGGCGAAAGTGAGCTCATCGAGAACACCACAATCTCCAGGTCGTTCCGGGGCCAAAGTGCGGTAGAACGGTCGCTAATAAACCGCATCCAACTGTGTATCTCGGCCGAGCAGCACGTCATGATGCGCAACGCCACCAGGAACAACATACTTGTGTACCCAAACTGCAAGAGAAACGGTTGGAAATTTACGCCGAAGAACCTGTACCCTCAAACGAACCGAAATGGACGTTTGAACAGACAGGGGCTGATTTACAAAACGCCCCAACACGGGGCTTAATGTGTGCGCGTTTTTTTGAAAAAAGCTTGCACGGCAGATATATATGTACATTGCATGGATTCCCAAATAGAGTACACATTGACATGTACAATATATAGCGGCAATATCATAAGATGACGCGAAACAACGTCGTAGACTAGAACACTAATAGCATTGAACAGCGGGGAACATGATCCTCTAACTACAGGGTACGACGTAAAATTTAACGCTTGCCGTATGCATGATTGCACCGCTGTAGATATTTTATTCATGTTCATGATGATGTGTTCAAACAGCAGCAAAGCACGGCCGAAAGATTGCTTTGTTCATGATGATCTTGGATGATTTGCCTATTTCCAAATATATATGTAGCAGTGCATCGTGCTATTCTACATTACGAAAAGACGTCGTGTGAAAGCAGGATGTTTCAAAGACCACGACGCCAGCGGAGCTGTGAGAGCACAAGATCCGGGATGTGTCCGCCCCGCCGTCCTGCCTGGTTTCAGATATGTCGGTAGATATGCATACATACATCATACATACCATGTGGGGTCATCACAGACTGTACACTTTGCAGGGGGGTACTGCTGGAGGGGCACGACAGACGATCACAGCAACCAACAGCAGCTCAGCTGCAGCTGCGGCAGAGCAGCAGCGAGAGGCACAAGCAGGGAGGGGAGAAAACTACCACTAGAGTGTGTGTAAGAGAGCGATGGCAGAGGTGGAAGATCGAATTGTGATCTCAAAGAGAAAGGGAGATGGAGAGGATGGCGGCCAAGAGAAAAGGCTGAGAGTGGAAACTCAAGCCGCGCTAGCCATCGTTGAAAAGCAAAACATTGCGCGTTCCTCGACGCTTCTCGCACCGACAATGCTCCTCACCGGGCACCAAGCGGCGGTCTACACCCTGAAGTTCGACCCCACGGGACTGCAACTCGCCAGTGCTGGCGCGGACAGGGCGATCTTCTTGTGGGATACCAGAGGAGAGTGTGCAAATTACAACGTGCTCAGAGGGCATAAGAATGTGAGAAGGGTTTGGGGAGCACGTGTGTATCCAACACGAGACTGAGCGTGTCTTGATTTGGGCTGTTGGGCTACTGCTGCCGCAGGCCGTCTGGCTATTAAGACGCGGACAGTCAGTTGCTTCGTTGCACTCAAGACTACCTATGCGCGAGAGCAACAGGTCTATTGACCTGTGATTCCACGTTGTGTTTGGCATATGTAGATTTACTGCAGGGTAGGGCGCTCTCTCTGGATTTGACCACAGCAGACTCGCTCCTGCACTGCTTAGCTGTGGCGCCCACATGGCTCGCTCGCTCCTTGGAAGCAAACCGCAGCCGCTGCTGCTCTTATTCTTCTTTCAACAGCCCCAAACCGTAAATGATAGTTCTATGTATGATCGTCCTTTCGCTTGCAACAGGCAATTCTCGACCTGCACTGGTCACCGAACTCTCCCACCATCATCACGGCCTCAGCGGACAAGACGCTTGGATACTGGGATGCAAATGCTGGCAAGCGCAAGAAAACGTTCAAGGTGAACGAACGAGAGTGCTGATAGTTGGTGGACAGTCAGGTAGCCGCTTGCATGACATGTGCCGAAATCATCTATGCTATGTTGCGCATGCATGCCACCAAACGAACTGTCGAGCAAAGTGGGGTACGGCAGGTAAGCTTAACCCCCGATTTTGGACTTAAATGTTGAGACGACGGCAAAGCCCAACTCCAGAGAGACGGGGTATCACTGGCACCATTCAATACGAACCCACGTCAATGGATACCGCGCGGAAGGCCCTGGTTGCTCGTGTAGGTCTTGTGTGCAACCCTCGACAACGTTTACTCAAAACTCCCACGAGAGTTGGGGTCGTCATCGAGTATCGCGTGTGCACGACGTGCGTAACCATTCGAGAGCACCCTCCGTGAACGCTGTTGCTCCCAGATTGTGTACTTCGCATGCAGAGGAAGATTGATGGCACCCCCGTACATAACTGTTTCCAACAACCTGTTCAGATACCAAATGTGGTGATTTGGAAGCTCCTCGGACGCCACAGGCGATGTTGCTCGCTACCTTGTTATCCTCACCCTGCCGACGCGGTTTTGCTCGCTCGCAACGCTCGAATTTCATAGCTTTGGTGCACAATCAACCTCCCGCTGACTACTCTGCTGTTGCTCGTGTCCCATGCGTCTGTGATGAATTGAACAATGCACAGGGGCACTCGGGAGTAGTTAACAGCTGTTCCATTTCTCGTACGGGGAATCTCATGGCGTCTGCCTCCGACGACGGCTTCGTCAAGCTCTGGGACCCGAGGGTGAGGCGATCGGTGGCGGAGTTCATGAACCAGTACCAGGTAACGGCGGTGTGCTTGTCGAGGGACGACCAGCAGGTCATGAGCGGAGGCATCGACAACGAGATCAAGGTTTTCGATGTACGAAAACTGGACATCGCCTACACCATGACCGGACACACCGACACGGTTACCGGTACGTGGGTGGGTAGAGAACGGTTGGTAGCTTGTGCGTTCTATTGAAGCGGATTCCCGAAGCGTGCCGTCGAGGTGCACTCCCATTGCGTTTGAATCTTGCTTGTCCAAGCCACAATCACGCGAATTGAGTGGGCATTATTTTCAACTTGATTTTGGTTTTGTATGGTGTGGTTGAAGCATCACGTTCGACGCTCTCCTTGCCGTGTGCCCGTCGCGTTGTTCTAGGTCTCGCGCTTAGCCCGGATGGGAATCATCTTTTGTCCAACTCCATGGACAACAGCGTCATCATGTGGGACGTCCGGCCATTTGCCAACCAGAACCGCCTAGAGAAGACATTTCACGGCATCAAGGTGACAGGGAGTGCCACCTCCTTGGAAGTTTGGGTTTGGCCGCAAGGCTGTGCGTAAAGGTTTTGGGAAACATGATCCTGACGATCGTCGCTGCGTTGTAGTTCTTCTTTGTCGATCGAATGTTTCTAGTGCCGTGCCCTCTTGGAGTCTTCGTGTAGAGTCGAACCAAAATTAGTAATGAGATTGCGGAGAGGTCGCCGACCGCCGCCCTTGTTTTCGCAGGGGTTTTGAGCAACTTGTGAGCAACCGTGCTTGCGATCGCCATCCCTCAAAGCATTCTTGAGCTTTAGTCTAGAAGTCTCAACCTCACGGATGTGTACGACCCTTTTTTGCAGCACGGGGGGGAAAAGAACCTGCTCAAGTGCGCATGGTCACCGGACGGGGAGATGGTTTCGGCTGGGTCTTCAGACCAGGCGGTGCATATCTGGGATGAGCCATCGACACAGGAGCTCTACTTCTTGCCGGGCCACACGGGTTCGGTGAATGAGGTGAGGGGGTCGCCTGAAACCGGATAAGTACTGTCAGCTGTCGACAACGATCGCCTGCAACATCATCCCTACTGCTGTATTTTGTCGAGTCTTTAATCCCTCCTGGTGCGGCTGTGTTTGCCTTGCTTCACTCATGTGCAAGAGCAAGAGTGTGATTGGAATATTAGGGATGTTGCCTCTTCTCCCAATGTTTGCGGCTGATCGGAAGTTCCCGGCTTGCGGTACACAGCGGCAGCGCCACTAGACAAGAGTAGCGTTGGGAACTGTTGCAGAGAGGCGTTTCGCCACGGACGGAACGATATCGTGCCGCTCGCATTAAGCCCTGATGTGCTAATTCGATTCGTAAGGGGCTTGATAGATATCAGGTTTCCCGCAACCGATAGGTTTGCTGATTCGCCCCTGGTGTCTGTCGCCGACTCGTCCGTCCAACCTGCAGATGACCTTCCACCCAACGGAGAGCATCATTGGCTCCTGCGGCTCGGACAAGAATATTTATCTCGGTGAAATCGGAGCTTGATGCAAGCATGTTCTCGGCTTTGGGAGATAAAACTTGGTAGAAATTCTGTAGCGATGATGGGGTCAGGGACTGTTTGCGCCAACGGGATGTGGTGTCAGTGGTAGAGACACATTCCGTGTTTCTGTCGAAATTTAAGCCATTTGTAGTTAATCTGTACAATTGTATGGATGTGAGGACGAGAACGTTTTAAAGGTTCTCATATTCCGATTTTGACACGTTGGGCTCATTAGCCTATCCGTAGTTTGGCTGCAGAATCGAAGAACAGAGTGCAAGCGTCGGACTCTCCCGCTCTACAGCACCAAGCTTGCTCAAAACACGTTTGCCAAACAAATGCTGACGGGTCCACGCACTCGGTCGACATTGCGTAGACGCCTTTCGATCCGCCCTCGAAGTACAAATGGCACCACGAGCACATGGGTGTAGGCGAAGCACGTGGCTGGAACATGGAGGGAAGGGGCTTATGCCTACACGTAGGCTGTCTCCACTTTCACCTGTACAGGGGGCCCGGACTGCTGTTGCAGCGATTAATTCCTAGCACGGTCTTGCGACGGCCTCAGGATACCAACCCACTTCCGATAATGAACACCCACTCTTTCAGCCACGCAGCCTGTTTATTGTCAACCCTATTTTGGGACCGTGTGGATCCGGCAGAACCGAACAGCAACCGGTTTATGGGGGTACCGCTACCGCTACCATGGCCGGTCGCACCAGCGTATCTCCGACTTGGTAGCCCTTCTGGAAGACCTGTACAGGGTTGGTATAGTGGTTGCGAAGGAACGCGATCGGCATACATAACGCACGCAGGAGGAAGAATTCAGAGAAAATTCCGCGGGCGCGGCGACTCACGCAACGGAAGACATTCACGGCGGTCGGTCGGCAACCCGTGGTGGTGGTCTCTACCACTGACGCAAGATAAGGGTACAGACGAATAGCTGCCGACAACGTGAGTGACTGTTGTCTAGATGAACTGTTTGATTCGGGAACACACTTTGCCGTACTCGCAGTCAAGGAAGGAGACAAGGTACGAGGGCGCGTGAGGATGACCCGTCGAGCTGTGCTCACCTTGCAAACAACGTCTTCGGGGAACTCGTCGGTGTTCTCGCGCATAATGGCGTTGTGGATGTTATAGTCGAAAGGTGCCCCGATCTACCGTGCGGTTCGGTTCACACATGTTAGGACGGTGTCATGAATGGTACATGGGGGTGGTGAAACCAACACAGCCGGAGGTGCTCCCATCAAATGACAAGTGACGATTTCACGACTATTAATAGTATGTGTTGCAGTCGCAAGGCGGAGATGCCCGGCGTACCAACACACGGGTGCTTAAAGCAGCGTGCACCCTCAAAAGTCCTACGGCTACGTATGGCGCAACTTAGCCGATATTTGGTTGAACAATTGAAAGGACATGCCATGAGGGCAACATACATGTGCGAAATTATATGTTTCCAAGCGAGGGAATTATCGGGTGGTTCAATCAAGTGTCATTATTGGGTACAGCTTTGTTCTCACGACAACCAACCAAAAATAGAGGTGGCCGTGCAGTCTCGCCAATCTACACATCCAAAGCAGGGTGGTTGACGAAGCCTGGCAGGGCCCCGCCCCCTCGCCCTAACCCCCATCTCACCGTGTCCACTTCGACAAGGTCGAGCCCCTCCAGGCACTTCATCATGTTGTCGTAGGTATCCTTGTAATACGCTACCACGGCTCGCTCGCCATCCGTCTCCGCGCTGATTGCCCCTGCCGCGCGCTCGAAGTTGTCCGCTACCCCTAGGATGTTGTTGATGGCCTCAGCTTTGCCCTTGTTGTAGGCCTGGGTGCGAGCCTCACCTCCTCGGCCTTTGAGCGCGGAAAACTCTTTCTCAAGCCGCTGCACCTGTTCATCGTGGGGCCGTGTCAAGGGGGGGCGTCACATCATGAGTTCAGCGGCTAAATTTACGGTTAGAACAATCACGATGTTTCCGGAAGGCGACTAATTCTACTTCTTTCTTTGTATATATGATAGCATCATCTCATCTTTCGAGTTCGCACTACTTTCCGGGTATTGGTGCACATCTTATTTCTCACTATATAATACTTCAGCCTGGCTTGTAACCACGCCTTCGGTTTTGGGATGGGATTAAAAACTGAAAGAATCACCAACCCAGATCACTCACTCGAAGCGCAAGACCTCTCTATGTCCCGCACACCAGATAAAGGGAGTCTCAAATTCGATCACAAGCCCCGTGCACAACGGGGAGGGAGGCACCTGTTGTACGGCGGGTTGTACCGCATCGCTACCAAGAACAACGAGGACATTCCGCTGGTTGGCCTGACTTTTACCTGTGGGCCCCACTCTGCCCACTGCTCGTCTGCCTGCGCCTGAGCGGTGACGATGTCCGCCTGGGTCGCATTGATTTGCTTCTGAAGCATTTCCACCTTCTTGTTAAGGAACGCGTCTGAGTTGAGCAGGTCGTCAACTTCATCCTTCTTCGCCGCACGAGAGAAAGGCCCTCGTCCAAATCGGCCCGCCGTCTTCTTCACCCACGATGAGAATGGACCAGCAGGCTTTTGATTTCCAGCAAGGGCGGATGCATGAAGACGGGTTTGCATGGAGGGGGGAGGAGATGGATCACAAGAAAGCCTTGGTTTACATCTGTTCAGAGCATGGAGTTATAACCATCTTGAACCAGGTCCCGTCAAGCACAGCAGAGCACCTGTATCCCGCTGCGCTCAAGATCGCTCTTTGGCTAGAAGGCCAGCAGGTGATGAGCATGTTTTGGCTGGTTTTACACTGAAATGCGACAGCAGTAAAAATAGACAGAAACAGCGAGCATTGCAAGTCTGTTGTTGAAGAAGGTGTGTCCAGTAAAGTAGTAGCCGCCGAGCTCGATGACGAGTACACATCGGCTATGCTCAACCTACAATAGGCATCGCCCAAGATCTACCCCGTGTATGTATGTCACCGCGGTCGAAAAGAGAGGCATTTTCTAGAAAAAGAGAGGCAACACGTGCTGCACGTCGAGAGGGCGGTAAACAGGAGTATTATAGTTCACCACGAGAGTGAACACAAGAACAATAAGCACGTCAGAGACCAGGGGTGTTCTGAGAGAAGATCCGCATGTAGTAGACAACGCTGGTCCTAGGGTGTAGAACGAACCCGGGCACAAGCAGGGTGTGTACGACTGTGGTGAAGTAGCTCGCGGCCCCACACGTAGCAGCATGTAGCATGTCGCACAGCTAATAAGAAACCTACACACGTGATCATGATCTAAGCCCCTTCCCTCTCTCACGATACAAGCATCACATTCAATCGCACCTGCTCGCCAGAACTTCCACCATCTCCATTACCCGCGTCCAGTTGCTGAGCTTTGTCCCACCGCCTGGAGCTCCGTTCGACCGAAGTGCAAGCAGGCGCGGCGACTGATCGGCCGGCCAAGGACGTGAGGCCTGCAGGGTGTACGAAGGCACATGCTTCGTTGGCCGCGAGCATTGCGGCCACAGCAAAAAGCGAGCGCATAGCACAGCTCATCACCCTTTCGATAGAAATGCGGATAAACGAGGCACTGCCGTGGTGTCTTGCCTTCAACCACTAACCAAGTGAGGGACGCCAGCAAAGCAAGGCACGACCGGGGACCTCGCAGAGAATATTGCTCAAGGAGAAAAGGGGTTCAAAAAAAAAAAAGAGAACAAAAGGTTTCCCTTCAGGCGAAAACGGCAAACAGCGGCCGAACCTACAGTCTATCTAGCCAGCGCGTTGCATGTGTTCACATGTGTTCATGTTCTTTTTCTGCTGCATGCCAACAATAATTTGGGGCACCTCTGCACACAACTGAGCAAGCAACCACGCGTCCGCGCCGGCTCCTTCATGTGCATGTCGTGTAGCAGATAAGGCGACAAACGCATCAAGGCGTGCGATTCAACGTTGGAGGGTGACAATGCCCCCGCTGCAAGCTTGCATGCCGTGAGGAGGTTAGGATGGGAGCAGCAAGCTCCAGCGGCTCGCGGCAACCCACCCAGCCACAGCGTGAAGGAAAGGCACCGTGGTCACTCCCGCCGGCTTGTCAAGATGGAGTTTGGCGCAATATGGACCTGTCCACGCTCGTGGGCTCTGGGGCTGGACTAGCTGGGAAAGGAGGAGGAGACTTCAGCCATATGTCCAACGAGCGACTGAGAGAGGGCATGGCGGGAGAGAGCCAGCCCCCGCGACCATCTCAGTTTGGCCCGAGTCCTGAAGGGCTTAGCGAAGAAGAAGACGACTGGTTGGCAGCAAGCCTCTGCCTGTCGATGTCTGCCCTTCGAAGGGACGAGATGGTGCTGCTCGTGTCAAGGGTCAAGAACAAGTTATTCAAGACCTTGTCGTGGTTGTGTTGCCAAGATGATCCTTTCTATCGAGCGGTGACGCAGCGATTGCACGTCTTGCATTGCGTTCACGCTGCCATGAGCCGTCAACGGCGGACACAGTTTGCTGGGGATCGTGGAGACCGCACCGCCCAACCTCAACATCGCGTCGTAACCCAGGAGAGCTCCAGCGACGCTCCTTCTGCAGCTTCTGGCGATGACCTCCTGGGCCTCCAGCTATTCTTCTGTATGCTTGATTTCGTGCGCGACCCAGATTGTGGGCAGGAACAACTCACGGACTTTCTGCGACAGATTTCTCCAGTTCTGACCAAGCTTCCGCCTCTTTGCTTGGCTGATGGTTGCTCGGGACTGCCTAAACACCTACATCAACGGATTCCCGGGCCCAGCGCCGGTGTCGTCGATTCAGTTAGAGGGTTTCTCGCAATGCTTGCTCTCCCAGGTCAATGTGATGATGAAATTTTGCATGCAAAGGGCGAACGAGCACATTGCTCTGGTGGAGAAGCTGGGGCGTCTGGCGCAGAGCGGAGACACGGAGCATTGTCAGCTATGATCGGTCTCGTGGCTGCACGCGGCCGGGCGAGCGACTTGTTGACTCTCGTAAAGCTATTGCTCAGCATACCGTTCCAAAGGGTGGAAGGCGTTGAAAAGTTGGACGACAAGAGCAAATACAAAGGTCTTCCAGGAGCGACAGAGTTGAGGGAAGAGCATGCAGTGGCAGAATGCAGCGCGAAACGGTAAGTACACGGAGTAAATATCAGTCATGCAAATATACATTAGCCCGAGAGATGTAGTGATCGAGTTCTCATCAAACACTGCATCAACAACACTGTGACGTCGCACAGACTAGATATGAGTCTTGTTAGCCGCTCCTGATTTCCTCCATTTCCGTTGTACCAGGCGCCCAACGTCACGGGTGAAGGCACGAACGTCCCGCCAAGGACTTCCGGTGGATGACGACGACGATGTCGACGAAGGAGAGCACGAATCGATGCTGATTGTGAATCCCGCCGTCTCTGTTGCGGTCGGTCCGGCCGAGCCTATGCTAGGCGGGATTGAAAAGGGCGATTCATGGAAGATAAAGAACGTATCTCGAGCTTATCCTACAAAAGAAAGCGATATCGGCGGCACGAAATCACGAGAGTCTCAGCCGATCAAGGTGTGGAAAAGCCGAGGGGAACGAATCAAAACCACACTTCACGTCGACGAACAACCGTGGGCAAAGGTCGAACACGTTAGCAACCAAGACAGCGTCCTCGAGTCACCTTCGGCCGCTACCAGGTTGGTCGAGGATGAAACAGACGGCATACAAGCCGATTGCATCCTGCCTTTTCTTCGTCAACTCCACGCGGCGACGCCGAGCGGAGGTTCGTGCTTGAGAGCGTGTAGCTCATTTCACGAGCGAGAGGTGTGGACGTGTGGCCAAAACTCGTATGGAGAACTTGGGCACAGTGACACGGGGACGCGAAAGACTCACTGCTTGGTGAAACCGTTTGAGGGCAGGGAGGTCGTGGACGTCGCTGCAGGTAAACCGCCGTCTGAGATACACCATCGTATTTCGTCTGAGGTGTCAGCTTTCTTTGTCCCTCCAAGCTGTGAAAGTCGCACGTGTTTTATAGACTTTAGCTTTCCAGTTCTCGGCTTGGTATCTCGTGTACATTCTAAGCGTTTCCGTGCAACCACCGAATGATGACGGCCGTTGGTACCGGGTACATGTTGTCTTTGATAACTGCCGACATGCCCAGGAAATGAGCACACGGTCCTCCTGTGCAGCACGGGGGAAGTGTACACCGCCGGCTACAATGACAATGGCCAGTGCGGGCAAGGCACGACCCAGAGGGTTGGAGTGCTCACACGCGTGCCTATTGATGGGGGGAGGAAAGCCGTACAGGTGAGGCAATAAATACCCACCAACACCATACGTCGTTCAGGGTCTTTCCCTATTATAGTCGAAAACCGCTACGTCCTACCACCAATAGTGATATACTATGTCTCTTGTGCACACGTGGTAAAAGCATACCACTTTGGCAAGATCCGGGGTTTCTAGTGACGTCTCATGCGTTTCACGAAACGTCCCGCCGCGGTGTAGGCAGCGTTTAGCCGCGTACACCAACCTGGCACCTACCCACCGTACAGTGACCTTGCATCACGTAAGGTTTGGGATAGAGGTATAACCGGGGGCGCAAACCCAAGCAAGAAAAATGAGCTTCTGCTCCGGAGAGGTTCGAACCAGCAAGTAGCACTTCCAAAGCCTGTGGTATACTCCCTGAGCCACGGGGGATTTACGCCCTCTAGCCCACCCCACATAGCGCTCTTCCTGTTTTGCTTGGGGCTGCATACATACAAGTCAGTCGAGTTCTCGCCTCACAAGCACCCTTCTCACCCACGGTAAGTTGAACGATGCGCCTCGTGCCGCACTGCACATCAACCACTACTTCGGAAGACGTACCGGCGGTTGCCTTGCCGCCGTAACGCCTGTCATGTAGTTGAAAACTGCCATCGTACTACCCTCATCCGATGATTAGGTACACGCGTACAACGGTTGTGAGCACACGCTAGTGGTGCTGGATGACGGCCAGATGATGTCGTTCGGATACAACTATCGGGGGCAGCTGGGGCAGGGCAACACCTCCAGTGAGCCGGTGCCAAAGCCCGTTCGAGGCCTGAACGGAATAAGGGTGACGCAAGCCTCCTGTAGTTACTATCACAGCGTCATCGCGTGCGACAACGGAGAGGTGATGAACCACGATCGTTTCGTGAGACCCCGTGTAGTTTGGATGCGAGCAGCAGAACTTCTGTTTAGTTGTACCACACCTTGAAAGACATGGACTGATCCAAAGACCGACCATAGGGTTGTAGCGTGTGGTGCCTCTTCTTGCTTGTCATTAGGAACAATATTCTGTCTAGCATATTTAGCATAGAATGTTTTTCAAAAAATGATGTTTTGGCAATACAACGAGGCTCTCTTCTTCTCAATGTAAGCCGGAAATCGATACGTTCTTCCGGGGTTTCGTGCGTGCAGTACCCGTAGGAAGAAGCGCCACAAAATTGTTGATAACAAGGTTTTTTCTAGGGTAAGGGTCACAAGTGCTGTGTATACATACTATACTCAGACAAACCTGCTGCGCTGTTGCACATACAGGTGTACACCTTTGGCAGAAACGACTTTGGTCAGCTGGGCTCTGGCGACGTTATCGACCGCAAGTTGCCATGCCTTGTGGAATCCTTGCGTGGCCAGAGAATTACGACCCTCGCATGCGGTCAGTACCACACGGTAGTCAGCACGTTAGAGATCGGGGTGCAGTCATGCGGAAAGAACGACTACGGGCAGCTCGGGCTGGAATCGACAGAGTCTCAGAGAAAGTTCGTGGCTGTGAAAGGAAAGCTCGATGGCGCCCAAGTCCGGCATGTACGCTGCGGGTACTATCACACGATCGTTCTCACGGCTGAGGAGCATGTCTTTGGGTTCGGCCGCAACGACTACGGACAGCTGGGGCTTGGTCACACTACACAAAGAGTATTCGGGCCAACCATAATCGAAGGCGCTCAGGAAAAACACGTCTATAGAATTTCGGCCGGGTGTTACCACACCGTCCTTATCGATGCCGATGGTATGCTCTTCGTTTTTGGTCGCAATCATCACGGACAGCTTGGTACCGGAGACACAAACGAGAGGCACTCTCCGTTTCCAGTCAGCACGTTTCTCGGGAAACGCATAGCCAAGGTGACGATTCAAACGCCAATAGTAGCCTCAGAAAGGGTGCCAGCTCGCAACAGGTTGTTTCAGTGAAAGTGCTTGCTTCTGAGCCGTCGGTTGTCTTTTGGTTTTTTGTACGTACGTTGATACTGTTTGCCTACGCCTCGTGTTCACGCAGCCAAAAGGTCTTCGATAGGTTTCTGTTCCTTTCGGCCCGGGAGTTTCTGTCCGCGCCTCTGCAGGACACGCTCGCGAGGAGTAACCCGACCAAGGTCTGTTTTTTTGCATCTAGGACAGTCACCCTCACCTATGTAATCGCAACGATGCACTTCTTACCGTCATACCAGGTTGCGGCTGGGTTCTACCACACTATTGTGCTCACCGGGGGGGACAAAGAAGGACTGTCGGATCTGCATTCCGGGGAAGCTACCAGTAGGTTTTCTCCTTACAAGATTCTCAACCACCCGGCCCTAGCTGTGCCACAAGACTCGGGCAACGACAACGAAAATGCTGGGGCGGAGGGCAAGGATGGAGACAGCCTTGTGGGAGAAGCCGCCTCACCTGAAATGAGCAATCCTGTGTGCACCGACCTAGATGGTACGGATGTTACGGAAGAGTCAACAGAGGCGGGGATCGGCGTCAAGTCACATACAGATCCTACTCTTGGAGGTGGGGTTTGCCGCCGAGATGGAAAAGTTAGCGGACGGAAAGCCGCCGTGGTCATCATGGCGCATATGGATCGCCTTGCTGAAAAATTCGCGTTCTCAAACGGGCGCGTCCCAACCATCGGCCACGCTGAACCAGGAGAGCACGATGACAGAACGAGTATGCCAGGGAATTGGAAAGCGGCGACAAATAGGCCTGACGCACAGAATGGCGCAAAGAATGACCGCGATACGTACGTTGTGGATATATCTCCTGACACGTTTGAGCTCTTAGCGGGTATCCTTGCTTCCTCGAGCGATGAGGAACGATTCGACGACCCTGGTGATGAGGACGTTTTTCAGAAGTATATACTTCTCGCCGCACTACGAGTTCTCAAGGCCAACCTTGTCCGACTGATCCAGAGCAGCATCAGCAGCCGCATCGTCGAGAGTATGCTCGCCAAGCCACCGTCCTTCGATCTTGACGACACCGCTGAGCTTCAGCTGGGTGGGGAGCTCGGGCATGACCAGGCCCTGTGCGCGCTTTTGTTCGATCCGCCGAACGAGGTGCAGGGTAGCCACGCAAGCAACGCTAGTATCGATGGCTCGAGTGACGAAGTAGATCGTTATGGCATCGTTCTCTGCGCCCTCCAGCGCCAGCTACTCCTGCTGGTACACTCCGACGCTTCTTGCGGTGAGGATGCGGGCGGTGCTGGCGTTGAATCCGTCCAAAGAGAGGCCGCCGCCGTACTCGTTCTCGGGCTAGAGTTGTTCTTTCCTGGCCAGACCGAACAGTTCCGTCTTCTTTCGAGACTAGCAAACGCGGCGGTCATCGACGAGGAGGATCGAGATCTGCTGGTTCGGGGCGGTTCCGACAACGTCGATCACCCCATTTCTGGCCCACGCGCTGCCCGACACTACATGCTCACTCCACTGCTACAGCGACTCTGCAACGACGCGCTTTCAGCAAAATTAATTCCGTACGGAACTGATGTGAAACGGGAGAGGTCAGTGCTTACAACTGCGGACGCATCGGACTCGACCCAGCAGGGATATGTTCTCGCTGCTACCCCCTCGGCACGGCTGCTAGAGATGCAGGTGAATAGGCGGTGTAGGAAAGTTGAATGTCGAGAAGTGAGATAGATGTTTGTGGGGCCGACCCATACAGTCGATGACAACAGCATCTACGGATGGCCAAAAATGGGAGAGTATCTGCAGCAAATAGTCGCACCCCTTCGGTAATTTGTCTGTGCCCCAAAATGATGAATGGCCCTAGGTGACTATGCTGGTGAACCTGATTGCACAAGGCAACTCCTGCGAAAGTTCTTCCGGAGAACCGTTTGACTACGGGGATCAGCAAGGCAGCCCTGTGTCCGTGCTACAGCTCAATGGCTCTGCCACGAATCGCACGGAAAGCTTCGATTTGGATACCAACACCGCCAGCCATGCCATGGGCTCAGACAGTCCGTCGCTGACGCAACGCCTTGTTGTGGAGCTCGTGTTGACGCTTACGAAGCACATGTTGCACTGGGCAGCTAGCGATCAAGTGGCCGTCGACCCGACTCAATGGCAGTCCTACGTGCTAGAAAATGCGAGCATCGACGAGTGTGCGACCGGATCGGTACGACCGGATAAGGGAGTAGAGACCCCACGCTGGTTCGCTGCACGAGTCAAGGTGTTGTGCGACCACGCTGCATCCGTTGTCCTGGACGGCGTGGATCGTATGCCGCCATCTTGGCGTTGCCTCATCAACTACGCACAAATGATACTCAAGTACAGCACGACCACCCTCGAGGCCGCGCTCGAGAGAGAAACCCGGCACAACGGCGAAGGGGGGAGGAGCGAAGGAACGACAATAGGGATGGCTGATCGGCTCGAGGAAACCTTGGTCGGACTGCTACTACCCGCGGTGGCGACCGGTCTTCTGCCGTTTGCCCGTGTCCCTGTATTCGCGCGGCGCCTTCTGGACGCCGTCAATTCCACCTTGGGTTTGCTCGATGAGGCGTGTTTCAAGTGCTCCGTTACTCGGGCGGCGGATGAAAGCTACGTGGCCGCTAGGAACGGGGGCGGGGAAAGCTCAAAGCAGAAACGGAATCCACAGGTGAAAGGGCGACAGGGAAGCAGGCGCTAGTCATAGATAGAGCTCAAGTGTCGCCTCGGTTTGTTTCTACATGTAGGATCGTAGAATACGCGAAATGGGCAAAAAGCAAAAGTTGGCTCCTGGATGCAAAAAACATGACATTGAAGTTTTTACTGGGAGAAGAGTGGTGAACCTCAAAGAGGGTATCTATAGACCACTGTAGCACTACGTGATTCAACGCGGGGCTATTTGTTCTAACGTACCGGTCTTGCCTGACAAACACGATGGATTATTCGTCCCGCAGTCCAGTTTCATGCGCGGAGAGAATGGAAAGCTCGGGGGAGGCGGCGGCATAAGTCGCAACAGTAGCGGCAACGGCAACAGCAATCTTTCGGGGTCGGAGGCGGGAATGGGTCTCACCGGAACCCCGCCAACGGCATGTGACAGCCAAAACCTTCCGTGGTTGCTGTCGTTGGCTAAAACCGTGGCCATGCTCGCGGGGAGGATGGCGGCCACGATCGTGGTCGGCGACTCTGGGGTATCGCCGTTCTTGGAAAAATACTACCGCTCACCCGCGTACTCAAGCTGGTTGGCATCGGACTTGCTCAAAGACGGATGCGATCCCTCCTACGAAGGTCTGATGCTTGCACCGCTGGACGCCACCAGTCGAGATGGGAGCTCCAGCGATAGGATCCCCCCCGCGGTGAACACGCACAACGTTTCTCTGGGTAGTGTCACGGTGCCCACAAGCGATGTACAGCGTTCGCGAAAAAACGATGAGTTTTTGGAAGAGGTGGCGAGCGGGAACGGTCAAGGGGGCCGATTCGCAACGTGGCTCGCCGAGGCGCTAGCACCATCGAACGCAGCGTATCGAATCATAAAGCGCCAGGCCGAGACGGGACGAGATGGAAGAGCGCTGGCACGCGTCGAAGGGGCGATGATGGCCGCCATGTTGCGACACGGGGGGCTGGACAGTGATGCTGTCCTCTTTTCTGCATGTTTGGAACATCAAGGGGGGGACGAAGCTGCAAGACGTGGCCGGCGACCTCCGCGTAGACTCGTATCTCTATGGAAGAGCACTGCCGAGGTAAGCACAATCCTCCCGGTCGTCCTTGTAAAATGGTACTGGCGGGGATTTCGTTTTGAATGGTGCGTGTGCTTTCCGTGCTTCCATTACGTTTGTTAGCTAGCGTTGATTTAGATAACTCTTTGAAGAGAAACGGACTCCGCGAAATCATGTGGGCAACACACGTGTTTTAGGGACGGGGACAGGGGGGAGAGCAAGGAACCCAAACCTCGTTGTCTTTGACTAAGGTCGATATACCACTATTGACGTTGCTGCTGAAGTAGTTCCTCCCCCTCGTCCATGCGTCGGGAATGAAGAAGTAGGCAACACGATTTCCAAGCTGTCGATGACACAGGTCCCCTCCTTGCACACAGATGTCTGGATGGTTGTGGCACGCCCGCAGCAAGCTCAGGTCAGCAGATGCTGATCAGTCAAGGGTGGATGCCCTTCTCGAAGAGGCCGCAAATTGCTGTCTCGTGCTTATGCTGTTTAGTCCGGTCGGGAGCATACCCTCAGCTCTCGTGCCAAAACAACGGCAGCGGTGCCCCCCGAGCGGAACTCTCCGTTCAGCCTTGGAAGTGGCGGCCCGATCCCGGTGGCGAAGGGCGGTGGCTGTCGTCCGCGCGACGGTTCGCTGGCGAGCGGTGGTATCTGGTCGCATGGGGAAACACGTAATGACGGCAATTCCACGATTTGTCCGAGCCATGTCACAGGTTCGCGCCGGCACAGGGGTGAAACAGGAGCTCGCTACAAGTGAAGCGGGGGGAACGGTCGTGAGCGACAATGCTTCAGTCGGGCATCTGTCGGTCCTGCTTGTCCTTGTACTCGACAACCACCAGAGAGCGGTTGCTCGGGCCTCCGGGATCCGGTCCTTTCGCGAACTGGTGGGATTGGTGCGGACACGCTCGCTACTTGTGGACTTGCTGCTACCCTTGCCTCCTGCGATACAAACACCCCGGCTGGTTGACAGGCATATCCTGTCCCACCTATCTGCGGTCAGTGGCCGCGTTACGATCGGCGTCACATCAGCCTTTCAACAACTGCTCAGCGAGCTGTTGCGGCTCCTGGAGCTGTCTTGTCGATCCCGGGTACCGCAAGAAAATAGAGTGTCCTCGTCGGCGGATGCCAACGGCGCGGCAACCAACTGGGACGAGCTGGCACGGGCGAGCAAGTGTAATAACCCCATGCCACGGTGGTTCGACGCCCACACAGTCCTCGTGTTGCTCGAGGTTTGGGGGCTGACGATCCACTCAGACGATTGGCGGTTTATTGAGACCGCCGGCATTGTTCGCGCCATTTCCTGCGTCGCATCTGTGCCGTTTGCGGTGGGCGGACATTGCACTGCCGAGAGCGGCGCGGGCGGGGAAAAATGTAACGATCCGGTGAGAGATGATGAGGGGCCGTCGCGAACGGGCCGCGCAACACGGCGACAAGAAAAAGCAGCACCCGCCGACCAGAGGTGTCGGCCCTTGGCAACCTGCCGGGAGGCGGCTTGGACGCTGTTCCGGGCACTGGTCATTCAGTTGCATGGATCAACGACGAGTCTCACAGAGAGGGTTCCGTTGCAACTTCACTCTTCAATCGAAGTCCTGAGGGCAGAGTTAGTCAAGTGCGTCATGAAAGCAAAGGCCAACAATTCCAGTGCTGCCAACGGAGACCTGGAGCGCGGGGGTCGCCGGGGAGGTGGAGAAGGCCGCCATAGCCGGAATCGGACTCCTTCCCAGGCGATCCTGGAGTTCGCGCCACCGTTGATCAGAGGGTTCCCTGATTCCCCTCCACATGGCCAAGGAACAGCGGTGGGGAAGGTATACGGAGCAGGAGCGTCGCACAAGCGCCGATGTCAGGAGCTGGTTAACGGACCGCGACGTCTCATGAACATGGAGGACGGACTCGTGTTTCCGGCGGAGCACGTGCTAAGCAACCCAAGGGGATCGGACTTCTCCATTACGTTTTGGTTACTGCTTGCGCAGGATCGAACGGGACATCACCGAACGGTTCTGGCAAGGGGACACGGGAGTGAACGCTGGCCAGTTGTACTGCTACGCAACACCGACAACCGTCTCGAGGTGAGTGTAGCACGAGGAAGCACCAACTGTAGCACGAGGAAGCACCAACTGTTTTTTTTCGTTCGCTTATGCTTGTTTGCAGCGACGAGTAGTGGCAAGTTGCTTCGTTATAATCGGGGAGACCATGTGCCAATGTGCAGTGCTACAGATCCCAGAATATCTGTCGTTGATTTCTATTGACTTGCGGACCCCTCGGGGCCAGTTTATTTGAGTGTACCTTTTTAGGGTAAGTTAACCTGTGACCACGGGAATCGACCGCGTCGAGTGTTGGATCAGTACGGACATACGAAGGTACTGGGTAGAGAGAGATCGGAACGGTTTTTAATGTGAAGACAACAACAACAACAACAACAACAACACGCGGACGGACCGAGAGCAGCCTCGGAACAATGTAAACTGCCGAGCATGGGGACCCCCTCCAACCCGACAAGTAGACCCAAACGTTGGGAAAACACCCGATTGAATGAATTGATATGTGTAGCGAAAATCAAAGTGGAGACACAAGAGGAAAATGAGGCCCCAGCACGGACCGTTCCAATTTCCGCGAAGACCCTGCAAAGGTGCAGGTTGCTTGCTGGAACTTTTCTGAGGTAACTGAGGTAAAATCGCACGACCTCAGAATCACTGTTATATCCATGAAAAAGCAAGTGTGCCGCTTTACTACTTGATGCTTGTTTTTCAGGTGTGCTTTGGCATCCCCAGCATGGGCAACCTTTGCGAACGCCTCACGTCTAAGGAGTCGGTGCAGGTCAACAGGTGGGCGCATGTGGGGCTGATCAGCGAGCACAACAAGCTTCGACTTTACCTAAATGGTTCTCTCGACTGCCAGCGTACGAGTACGGGAGCCCTGCGAGCCAATCGGCACCCTCTGTACGTAGGCAAGGTTCCCGATGGTGCGATGCGGCTAGACGGCGTGAGAGGTGGCGTTGAGGGGAGCATCGCAAACCTCCGGTACTTCACCCGAGCTCTCTCGCCGATACACGTCCGCATCATCTTCGACCCCGGACCACCCGAAGCAGCCAAGGTCGAGGACCGCCACTTGTACCACCTGTGCGCATGCCTCGTGCCGATAAGCACGTCCCCCGAATGCCAACGCCACTTCGAGCACCCTGACTGGCTCTGCCTCTTCCTCCAGGCTTTCACGCACGGCACCGTCAGGGTGCAACAAGCCGTTTGTCGGTTGCTCCAAGAAATTCTTCCGCGCGTTCCACCGTCGGTCATGGCCAACGTTGTCTTGGACACCACTGTACAGCGGGGGGCGGCGACGGCGACACTACCGCTGGCTCAAGACCCAACGGTTGGTGGAGGCAAGAACGACACGTCGGTGCAGGTGGCATTTGTTGTTTATCTTCTCCGGCTTGTCGGGGCCACCTCGTGGAGTACCGGTGTCTCCATGTTGCCCGCTAGCGGGACTGCGGCTGTCTCTCAGGAAGGGGGCATCGAGGAGGCAAGCGATATGACGGTAGCGCAGGTTTTACTGCGGCAACAGCTCATGAGGTTTCTACCCCACACGGTTGCTCCGCTTCTTGCCCAAGGGTGCCAGACGAGGGTGGAGGGCGTCGTTGAAAATGGAGTGGGAGAAAACAGCAGTCACAAGCACGCCGTTGATGCGAATGTTTCAGCCCATCATGTTCCTCGTCCACTCAGCGCGGAAATGGTTCGCGACGTCAACACCCTCGGAGCTGAGCTGGTGGCGCTGGTGCAAGTACTGGCGGCAACAAAACAATGGGCTAAGGCAGTGCCATCGGCTTTGAGGCAGTGTCTAGCCCGTCTAGCGACCTTTGTCGATGCCACCGGTGGAATTGAGTCTCAACCTCTGGCCAGTGACCATAGCATCGATACCGAGTACGTGGCTGCAGACGAGCGGCTTACCATCGCCGGAGGAGAGGCCGCACTGCGCGTGCTTGGCGGGACGGTCGACTTCATGTGTGCAGGTGCTCGCGCCAAGATCCGCGAAACCGACCGGCCTTGCGTCGTTCTGGGCTTAGATCAAGCGGCGTCCACGGCGTACGTCATGCTGTACCCGGAGGAGGGAGAGAAGAAGGCAGTGGAAACATGGGTCCAGCGGTTCAATGCTCACGACTTGGAGGTGCAGTGTTCTGATGATCTTTCTCACGGTGCAATGAACACCGTTTCTGACAGCGCTGCGGACTTTCTCGGTAAGGATGGAGTTTCACTCGGGTTTTCATACACCACCAGGCTGGCGAAAGCCTTTCTACGTTCTTCACCGCTGCCAAGGCGCAACACTCTCTCAGTTGGAGATGACGCACATCACGCTGGCTCGGCGCACCGTGAGATAGTGCTGGCACAGTGCCGATCGCGCATGGCCAGGGCTCTTCTCCGCGCAAGCCGAGATATCAAGTGGGCTAGATGCGCGGCGGGGACCTCTGACACACTACGGGAGCTCTTGCAGGTGGCGATAACTCCTTGTTTGGTCACCACCACGCAGATCCATGAGACCTCCCTTGCCGAGGCAGAGACCATTGCCATCCAAGAGAGACTGCACCAGATGCTTGGCACACCTGGAGGGGCCGACCTCGTTGAGGCTAAGATCGCTGAGATGATACTCGGTCACGGAGAACCTGCCCTCGGGCGTAACCATGGGCTTGAGGTTGGCAACATTGACGCCAGCGAACGGGGGTGCGGTGGGGCCAACCACTGTCGATCACTCACCTCCTCTGCCGATAGGTCATGGATGGAAGGTTTGCGCTGCCCCTTTTGCCACGAGGAAAAGACCACGGCGTCTGGCATCGTTGAACACGTACTCACGAAGCATCCGACCGACGCGCGGAGGGTGTCTTGCCCCATCTGTGTCGCGGAAAAGGGTGATGATACCGCCCAAGATTTGCCAACTCACCTTGAACTGGTCCACTTCGACGCGGTCTTCGCGGACAGGCGGTCTTTCCTGCCTTCGTTCACGGAGCGGGGGCGAGAGCCTGGCGGCGCTGGGGCGCTGGAGGCACGGCCGCCGTCGCACTTGGTGGAACAGCTGATGGTGATCGGTTTCCCGGAGGAGTGGTGCATCATGGCCTTGCGAGAGAACGACAACGATGTCGTGAATGCGTCGGCGTGGATAGTGGACAACCTGGACATGCTCAGCAGCCTTAACAATCTGAATGTCTCTTCTGCGGGCGACATCGGCGAGGTCGAAGTGGGGACTACGCCTGGCGGTATAAGAAGCATGGACGATCGTCAGCCCTGGCAAGGGTCCTACCGGTTCGCGCGAAGGGGGCTCGTCCGCAGAGAGGGGAGGCAGCAGTTCGGGAACGGCCGACCTGCCGAGGAGAGGGGCGAGGAAGACGGCCAGGCGGAAGAGGAGGAAGAGGAGGAAGAGGAGGCGCAAGAAGAAGAATTCGGAGAAGCTGGATCACAAGGGGAGGAGGAAAAATATCACGACGACGAGGAGGACAGGGAAAACAGCGAGGAGGAGGGCGAAGGTGACGACAACTATCAAGAACCTGTTTGTCTGAGACGGGAATTGCTGCCCCTTTGTTCTGCGAAGCATTCCTTTCTTTTCACGTGCCTTGCACACACCTCGATATGTTTGCGCGTTGTGCTACGTCGCACTGGGTGGGGCAGGTTGCTCCTTTGTTTGCTCTGCCAGCAGGTGGCGCGTTTCTGTTTTTACCCTGCTCGTACGAGCCATGCACGGTTTAAGATTGCCAGCAAAGCGAGCACTGACCGTTCCGGCCGCCTCCCAATTGTTCACCAGCATTTGACAGCGAAGAGGAAGAGGAGGAGGAGGAGGAAGAAGAAGAAGAAGAAGAGGACGAGTACGGAGAGGAGGAAGAAGGGGCAGAAGAGGCGGAAGATGGCAGCCGGAGGTACGGCGTACACGGTGGGCAGCATGAGCAGTCAGTTGTCCTGCCCTCCCCTCAGTCAGCGCTCGGCAATGCTCTCGACGACGACCAGCACGGCACTGTTGACCATCACCGCTTCACTGACGGTCTGGTTGTTCCCCAGCGAGGAGACAGTTACTTTCCCCTGGAGCGGACGCTACCTCGCACCAGAGGAGACTCTCCACAGAGCATTGCTGCAATTCATCCCAAGATCACCGGGATGAAGTTGTGCCAGCTAACCGAGGCGTGGCTTGACACCGAGCTCCAATTAACTACGCTGTACTGCCGAGCGGCGCTCATCAATATTATCCTGCGTTGGCCCCAGCACATCCCGTTGTGTGCGGAATCTTTTGGGTCTTCTCTCACGGTGGTGCAACTTACCCAGAGCGTTCTCTTCAGCGGCCAAGACCTGCCGATATCATTCACGGATGCTGACGTTTGTGGCAGTGTCATACGGCCGGTGCCCAATGGTGCTCATCGGCCATTGGCGCTCGGGGTGTTCGCGCCCCTGCTCGCACACCTGTTGCGCTCCGAGCGCAACGGGCAGCACTCACCAAAAGCGTCAGCAGAGCTTGAAGTGGAAGTGGTGGGGGCGCCGGAAGGACCGAACAGCAAAAGGGCTGTGAACGGAGAGCGGGTTGAAAACTGGCGAGATACTCTGTCGGCCCGGTTTGTTTCCACATGCCTGGATGGGCTTAACGCTGCAGCAGCCACCGGCACGTGTACCGACGCCGACTGGGCTACGACAAAGACGTCGGTTTCGTCAATCCGATCGGCGGTTGGGGGAAAGCCCAACCTTGAACTTCTCCAGTGGCTCCTGGATCTGTTGCTTTCGGTCGGCTGCGCCGATATTTTCACGGACAACGCATTTTCCCGCCTGAGCAACTGCCTCAACAGTGGGAACGTGGCCGCGAAAGAAGTAGCAATGTACGGGCTGACGAGTATCGCCACCAAATGGTACGAAAGCCTGACCGTCCACAATCAACAGGTTAGCGATGGTGCCGCTGAATCCGCACCAGCACATGTTGGTCTACCCAGCCCCCTGGCCATGGTAGATACCTTTCAGCGGCACATCACCATTTCTCGGATCAGATCGGCCCTTGGGAAGCGCATAACAGTGGAGCGTCGCCCGGGTGGGCTGTTTTTCACGCGGTACACCCAGACTTTGACTGCTTTGTACGTGGCGATGTCCAAATTGCAACGTCTTCTCCTATGCCATAGGCGGCAGTCTGTCGGCACAGAACAACCAGCAGGGTTTTGTTTTCCTGCTGATGCGAAGGCGAGCACGCCGGCAATTCTCTACTGCACAGACTCCAGCGTAGCTCTAACTTGGCTACCCCTCCGTATGGCTGGATCAACTTCGAGCATATTGTACGAGGTTGAAATGGCTGCGAGGCAGCTGGGGACTACCGGGAGTCAGCACGTTTTTCGTTGTGTGTACTCTGGAAAGCGTCTCCGCTGCACGGTGGAGGACCTCATGCCCGGTCAGGTGTACCGCTTCCGTCTCAGGGCAGTTCACTCCACCACGAGCATGACCGCTTGGAGCGATGTAGCGACCGCGGAAACCGAGCAGGGGATAGCCTTCCGTTTCGACTCCGTCAACTCGGGACCTGCCATACTCGTGAGCAGCAACGAAATGTCGGCCAGCTTCAGGAGCAACGAGACGTGGAGTACGGTCTTGGGTACCACCTCCTTCTGCACTGGAAGCAACTACTGGGAACTCCATCTGGACAAATCGGCGACGTCATACCTCTTCATCGGAGTCGCCACCCGAGACGCCGACCTCGCGACATTTTTAGGTGGGGATGACCACGGCTGGGGTTTCATCGGCGACCGGGCACTATACCACAAGCGCACGAAGGTCAAAGCCTACGGGGAGCGCTTTGGCCAGGGTGACACCATCGGCATCAACCTCAACATGGATCGTGGTACGTTGTCTTTCAGCAAGAACGGCCAGGACCTGGGCGTCGCCTTCGACGGCCTCGTAGGTAGTCTTTTCCCAGCTGTCGCGTTTTACAACCAGGGGCAGCGTCTGTCCTTGGTTCAGTCCGCCTTCCGCTGCCCCGGGGCGGGGGTTACCATACTAGCATCGCCCCTAAATACGATGCCGGAAGACGTCCTGGTGGTCCACGACATCATGGAGGCGATGGCGTCGAAGCAAAGCCTACCCTCGGCGTGGATGGAAACCGCACGTGCCAAGCACCTTGCTTGGGTGGCAGGGGAGACCGTTCGGTACGTGACGAGTCTTGGCTTTGAGCTCCAGTTCGATATTTCCGAATCTTCTTGCAGACGATTCGGCCTGCTGGCTCAAGGGCGGGTGCGCACACCTCGTGGCAACGCCACGGTCATCGGAATATGCGAAGGAGTGGCGTGGGTCCACGTCGACGGTGAACGCGGGGCATGGTTCTTTACGGCCGGCGAAGTGTGGGAAGGCAAGGTCGCCGGATGTTTTGCAATGTCTGCGATGGACTCTCCCGGGGCCAAGAGTGACGTTGGTAGCAAGCGGCGAAGGAGACTCGATTCTGACAGGGGAGATCAACAGAGCAACGTCGGGGGTATGCAAGCGAGAGGTGTACAAGAAGCGGGAGGAGACCAGGCCAATAAACCCGAGGCTGCCTTAGCTCCTCCTCGTGCGCAATCGTCGGATGGGGGGTTCGCAGCAGTAGGAAACTGTGCTCATTGGACGCCAGCCGTGGATGGGTGCATCGTCGCTGCGCTGTGTGCTCACGCCGACCGACACCAAGTGTCTATCTGGAACCTTACGCCAACGGAGGTTCTTCAGGCATTGTCCTCTGCGCGTAGGAGGATAGATATGCTGGTGGCGAGCGCACCTGTGTCGGACGAGCACCTGCTCTGTCGCGTGTCTGTGCTCAAGCAGTTCAACCACGAATTGGTTGGCGTGCTACCGTTTGCTGATCTTGCCGAGGGGGTCCAGGTGTCCGGCCAGGCTGAATCACGCACTTTCTGTTGGGGTGGGTCCAGCAAGCACAGGGGGCTTGCTGTGGGGGGCGGAGAGCATCCGACAAGAGGGTTAGGCCCCCTCTTGGTGCACCTTCGCCGAAGTATGTTTTTAGCAACGAAACAGCAGACGTTAGCGCAAGCCGTGAGAATCACGACAACGCACGCGAAGAAAGCGGAGGACGAGTACGACTATCCCGAGGATCTGCCGCAAGTTACAGTCAATCGCTTGAAGGCAGCGGCAGGCCAAGAATCAACGGATGCCGATGTCCGACTCAGAACGTCGGTCTTTCATCAGCTGTTTCAGGAGCTTCATAACGTCGACGCATCTCTCTTGCGTATGGGGTACACACACCCAATGGACGATGGGCAGCTAAGGACATTCAAGGTATGCCCTCCGATAGTTTTCTGATTTGTGGTCCCGTAGAACAGTTGTGCCGCGCCGTACTGCTTTGAATACGGGAAATGTGATACCTGGTCTGTGTGGTGGCCTACACCGAGGACATTGCACTAGCAGAGCAAGTGTGTCTCTTAGGAGTTGAGCCACGGCGTTGGTAGTACAATCTAGCGTCTACAAGTGCCTTGAAACAGACTAGGTGATTTTAAAAGAAAATAGTGACGAAGTAAGACTTTTGTCCTCTTGATAATGATAACCCATGAGCGCTTACGACAACGTGTGCACAATTTGAGACACCCCGCCTCACACAAGGTCGACGAGAACAAATAACGCTCAATATAAGCTACCACCGATGTTTCCAAGAGAAAGAAACAACCACAACCCGCCGAAAAAGGAAAAATCTGCGGGTGTAAATCCACGTCACACATTATCGTGAACAAGCACCATATTGTCGCTGACGTGTAGGTGAAGTTCGAGGGGGAAGGTGTCGACGACTACGGTGGACCATATCGAGAAATATTCACACAGGTAGCGGCCGAGCTCACCTCAGCGGTTTCAACATCACCTCAAACGGGCAAAGCTGCCGAACGAACGGTAGCAGGGGTAGCCTCACCGGACGAAGGCGTTGGTCGGGAATACCTGCTATCTGTTCTAGAGCCGGTTCCGAGTTCGGCATCAGGTGATGGCGATGTGGACGTGGAATTTATGGTGAATGCCGACGTCCGCCCGCAGCGCCAGCTTCGCACCTACCAGTTCTTGGGACAGTTGATGGGAGTCGCTCTCCGGTGCCGAGTGGCGGTGCCGTGGAGGCTCTCGCAGATCTTTTGGAAAGGTCTCGTTGGAGAAACATTGCAGGAAGCGGACCTCGCACATGTCGACTCCACGGCGCACGCCTTCGTTCAAAGCATTCGAGCAAGATTAACCGAGCTGAAAACGGAGAATCCAGAGGTCGACCGTAATGGGCAGAGACCCTCTGGTCTCAACGATGGTGCGGCGGAGTCAGAGTTTACAAGAGGATCCGACGTCCTGACATGGACGGCAACCGCGCGGGGGAGCACAGTAGTGGAGCTGAGGCCTGGGGGGGGGGAATTGGCCGTAGAGGCTTCAGATTTATCCCCATACGCTCGAGGGGTAGCGCAGGCACGTCTCCACCAGGGCGACATGGCATTATTCGCAGTCAGAGACGGGTTTGCTTCGGTGGTTCCTGCCGCTGTTCTCCCGCTTTTCACATGGGATGAAGTTGAGCTACAGGTGTGCGGGCGACCGGGGGTGGACATCGATTTGCTACAAGCCAACACGGAGTACGACGAAGACATATTGTGTTCGGACGCGCACATTCAGTCCTTTTGGAGGGTCCTGCGAGCGTTCGACGACCGCGATCGGTCTCAGTTCCTTCGGTTCGTGTGGGCGCGCTCTCGGTTGCCTTGCAAAGGTGTGGACTTCCACCAGAAGTTCAAGATCCATAGCCCAACAGGGGAAGGGGCCAAGGAAGACCCGGACCGATTCCTCCCGAAGGCGCACACCTGCTTTTTCTCCATCAACTTGCCCAGGTACTCCTCGGACGAGATCATGGCCAACAAGCTCAGCTACACCATGTACAACTGCATCGAGATGGACGCCGACTTTCGCTTGGCCGACAACGAGATGCCCGGCTGGGAAAATGGACCCGCCGCGCGCGAGAGTAGACGGGGGCAGAGGGATGAGGCGGCGAACACCATCTTGGCGGACCAGTTGTCCTGAGAAAGGCTTTTCTTGTTTCGAGCAAAAAGTGGGATGCGTTTGTTGTGACAAGCGGCGCCTGGGAAGGGCGGAGTAGTCGGCGTGAGTAGGTGTATATTGTACAGTACGAGTATGGTATGGGTGCCGGTCTTGGAGACTGGTATCTGCTCTGGTACAGCTAGGTAACCTCAAGATAGATAAAACAAGATTCCAGTTTAGAGCGAAACGGTGTCATCTGGCCCAGATATGGTTAAAATTCAGGAGTATAATAGTTGGACCCCGACGTACAGCTACTAGGAAACGAATGGCGTCTGCTCGAAGTTTAATCAAATATCTTCCGCAGAACTCCTTCATTCGTCGCAACTACTTGTATCAGACTTGACGAGAGGCTGTTGGCGAATGCCGCGAAGTGCCCCCCAAAGAAGGACGAGCTTGAGAATTTTGCAGCGGTAACGCTTTGGAGCGATAGACCTCTGTCACCAAGCGAGAATAGCAGCAGCTCATAGTATTTTATCATACAATTGTCGGTGTAGAAACAACCGAGCCCTGCCGCGGCAAAATCGTTCGCCAACTCTCTATTCAAACCCCCCCTGGCAGACCGCAACACCGTCTGATGCACCTCATATGGCTCGCGAACCAGTGCGTCTACAATACCAAACGCGCCGGAGGAATGGATACCAAACACAAGGGTACCACATCAAAGTTCAAAGTACCAGTGGAAGTCGTACGAGCCACACACGTGTTGCTTCCCCGTAAAAAAATGGTAGAGGAGGTATCCTCATCTTTCTCCGGGACCCCCGACTTTTCTGTGGCGCACCAGTTGGGCTGTGTGATTTTTCCCCGCCGTTGCTCTCCGCACAACTACGGCTTGCCACGAGATCAGGAGGACACCTCACAGGCAGTAAGAATCTCGATGTCCGCGAACCGTGTTCATGCGGTATTTTGGGGTTGAACTGGACAAATGGGTGTCCCGAGCAACTGAAAGCGCATCGATCGCGGCCATTTTTTTAGCTCTCGGGGCGCATGCATCAACACAGGGTTACTCTCTCGCAGATTGTCCAAACCGTCCAGAACTTGTGGGGCACCAGTCAGTTCCCAACTTACACCCTGTGTTTGTCCGCACACACTTGGGATCGATCTTTCGGCATTCGCAGTCGGCCTGCAAACGTTGATTCAACCCAATCTCAACTGCAGTGGTTCAGCACGATACCCCCAAAAGTGTCCGACTCGAACATATTTCTACTTCCAACTTCATCAACATGAATGCTAAGCATGGTCACACCGAGAGACTTTTGGACCCTAGTTGCTCGTAAGGTTGGCCAAATCACTCAGAACTTGGTGATTGCACAGGTTGGGGCGCACACTTGCACCCTATTCTGGCACATGTTTGGGATCTGCGCTACAGCAGGAGCTGTTGCAAAGTTAAACCTCAATGCCAATAGGACGAACCGCTGTTTACAGTGTCGTAGACAGAACTGATTATCCGTATCAATAGAAAAACAGGTGGACGGAGCCCCCGGCAGCACGTGTCGTCTACCACACTGTGTGACTGCATTGATAAACTCAGAAACCCGCGACCACGCCATAACGTGCTGCTCAACAACGTGGTAAATACCTTCACTTTTTACACTCAGGTCAACGGCCAACCAGCCCGTCCGAGCCCCGGCACCAGCCCCAACCCAAGCCACGGCGAGTAGAATGCTCAGCTCCGTAGCCTCATACCAACTCCCCGTCTCTCTCCTCCTCATCTAGGTCGAATCCGACATCCTCGTCGTCGTCGTCGTCATCGTCAAAATCTGCAGCGTTCCCGTCTTCGTCGAAGTCGAACGTGAAGAAATCATCTTCTGTTACACCCTCAAACCCTTCAATTTCTTCTTCACCGTCGTCTCGCAATGCTGCCTCGTTGCCGTCTTCATCCCCGGAGACCCTGTCGATCAAAGCCATCAGGTCCACCGCAGCACTGATGTCGGTGTCCTTGAAGAACAGCTCCGGTACTCGCTTCATGCCCTTCAGCTCCGCGCACAGCGCCATACGTATAGCCTTGGTGTTCTTTACGCACCACGCGTAGGCCTCTCTCTTCTCCAGCACGTCGCCGTACACGGAGATAAACACCTTGGCTGATCGTAGGTCGGGCGACATGTCAACGTCAACCACGGCAATCCTGCATCGCACGTCGTCGTCAATCTTGTCCTTCGTCTTGATCCCATGCCCGAGCCTCAAAATCTTGGCCAGTTCCCCCGTTAAAAGCTGAGATACGCGAGCTTGCCGCTTCGACTCAGTAGTGGAGCGGAACGTACTCCCCCGGGCCATCATCACAGTAGCTGTCGGTCGTCGTTTGCCTGGTGGTGGTTGCACCGCACCAACCCACCCGCACCGTCCATGGCCTGATGCTCCCAAGCACTGCTGCGGCTGCTGCTGCTGCGAGCACGCTCGTGGCAATACCGACACGCCGACAAAGCTGAGGACTTCGCGGCACCCATAAGCTGTTATGAGCGCGGCTGCGATAACCAGAGAGCGGACAGCCATGGTGGTGGCGGGGGTGTGTGTGCGCGTGGTGGGAGAACGGGACAGCAGCAGTGGTGCGGTGCAATTACTGCAAGTTACGATTCCGCGGGACCCCGTCCGCAATTTCTCAAGCGCACAACACGCGCTCCTGGTGACACAGCCCCACACCACCCTCGCAATATCCTCTGGCTGAGCTATGCTGACTGCATACATTGATTGCTTCTCCGGCGTAGCCGGAGATATGCTGCTGGCAGCTTTGATAGACGCGGTGAGCTTCAACAACACGATACAAAATGTGCTGTTACCAAAACGCGACGTTGACGTTGACAACAGCAAACTGCTGATGTAGAAAAGACTATTACATGTAGACTCGGCCCCTTGTATGTACAGTAGTTTTGCTGTAGGGCCGCATAGTAGTGTTTGCCCAGCCGGCACTATTCAGAGTATGAGTACCAGGCATGAGACAATTTTTAGTTTTCAATGTTCCGTCTGTGTGACGCGATTTTACCGGCCTTGTCATGTTACGTTATGCAAGGGACCACTCGACTAAAGTGTTCTCCTGTATGCAGCCAGTTGACAGTTTCGGACCCCCAAAAAAGCTGAAGTAAGGATTTTTTTTCCCTTAATATGACACAACGAATCCATCTCTATCATAGAAAATAGTCTGAGACAGATTAGCAATGAATTCATAGCGTCAGAAAGTACCTGTATGTCTACGATTTCCCAGACAGCATATAGAGAATTAAGCCATCGTTCTGAGGATCGTTCCTGACAGTCTCGCCAGAACCCAAGATAAGGAAAAAATAATCAGATTTAACAGCGGAGGGAGGCTCGTTTTGTGGAAAAAATTGCCAACTTTTCGATTTAAGCAACTTTGTTCGAAACAACACATCAGGCACCACACACAACACATCATCATGCACCACCCACACGCACACACACAGTCTGCAAGAGCATGTCCAGCGGCCGCCCAAATAAAACCCAGCGCCCAGCGCAAAGGCCCTGGAGTTGGCGCGCCACCAACACAAAAAGGGGGAGGCTGCACGGTCAGAAAACCAAGTTGGGGTTGGTTGTTGCGCGGCTTTAGGTCAGCAACACGCGCCCGTCACACACAGGTTGAGGCAAGGGGTAAGAAGAGCGCCGGAACGAACCGCGGCAACCGACGACGTAGTGGAGGTGACAGCACCGCCAGCAAAGGGCAGAGAGGAGGAAGAGCACGCAGTTGCCTTCTGGTGACGCGCCGCAAGAGTATTCTCTGCTTCTACTAGAGAGAGCGTGTTTGACTTCGATGTGCCCCCGCCCCCAAAAAAACACCCTCTCCCCAACGCTTGAAATGCGATGCACAGCAGCACCTCGTACAGGGCTGCCGGCCAGCATGTGTACTTCCTGTCGCTGTACTGGTGCGAGTTCGTTTGCTGGGGTTGAGGGGGCAACACAGACATGCACAACGCATGCATGCACGCACACTCAACAGCAGTGGGAGCGCTGCTGTGATCAGGGTGCAGCTGTCATCACGCAGCGCACGACGAAAAACAGCAGTACCTCTGCGAACAGGGGAAGTTCGTTGGGTGACTGTCGTCCCACAGCCAATCACATGAAGCCGCCTTAAATCGGAAAATATGAAAATATTCGCCTGCAGGAAGTTTCCAGGAAAATTTCTTATCTCAAAATCTGTTTCCTTATCTCAGCAAATTTGGAGCCCCAGTCCGAAACTGTGTAGTTCCACAAAAAATGTATTGTAGTGAATTCCGAACAGAGTTCAGCCAGCCTCATTCTCATGCAAGCTCAGCTGGCCAACGAGGTTTTGAGGTATTTGAGGTACCAAGCACTTGTGCTTGGTAGATAGTTTCTCAGTAGGTAATGTTCGCTTTTTGTAGTCTCGGGCCAACGCTACACCTGCTGTAAACGCATTTACTATAGTACGTCCAGTTTCACAAGGTTGCGACTCTTGACCTTCTCTGCCTGCTTCTCGCTCTGCCTCACGGTACGCACAGGGTGCCCCATTGGAAGCCATTCGGGAGGGGCTTGGGACCATTGCTCCAATTAAGGGCGAGTGGGATATCAATTTGCACCGCGTCACGAAAGGAATGGTGAGGGACTTGAGGCCGTGCTGTATGTTGCACATTGGATTAGCACATCAGTCCTGTTATTGGCCACGGCCCGTACTGGACAAAAATGTTGAGGTCTGCAAATAGTGTAGACTAAGCTGCTTAAGTTCTAGAGACAGTTTTTGTCTGGGCTGTTATAGGCAAACTCAGTAGATAAAATCGAAGTTTCAAGTCAGCAAATAAGCACGTCGGCACCAGGCTCTTGAGAATGTGCACTTCGTAAAACGGGTTTGTGTTGCCCTGTTTTTCTTTCACAGGGTTCCATCGCGGCTGCCCACGTAAACGTCACCAGCAAATATCAACACCGCCCGGCCGCCCCCCCTTCGGCTTCCCCTCATAGCGACCACAGTCACGGCCACACCCATTCTCATGGTCACTCCCACGACCATTCTCATGGCCATTCTCATGGCCATACTGACAATGAGCGCGACGGGCAAGCACAACATCGGAGTGAAGTGGTGACCCCTGCAACAACCTCCCCCGCAGGTATGTGTCAGAGCGTCTTGCCGCCTTGGCCCACTGAAGCATGTGTAAGAGGTGCCACATACCATATATTTTCCATGTGAGCCAATAACTGTTGAGACTCTCTCCTTCAAAAAGCTGACATTTGGTCGCTTCGCTTTTGGCGTCACGGGCAGCTAGAAAGAGTGGCTATGCACAGGCCCAATGCCACAGTACTCGTTTACATTGTGTTTCGATACAATATGCGATTCCTTCGCGTCGCATGCCGTGCGTGCGTCCTCTAGTGAATGTGGCTCTTGGTTCTCGTTCTTATCAGACGCGACCGAGGGTATTGAGGACGGCCCTGTCAGAGACTTGACCACCATCAGGAAGATGATCATGGAGTCGGGTCTGCCACCCGCGGTGAAAGAACGCAGCGTGCGAGTGTTTACTGAACTTGGTGAGGCGGAAGCGAAGACTCATGGCTCGACCCTTGATCAGGTAGGCGCTCTTCTTTTGCACGCGAGTTGCCTGGATCTAGGGTTCTAACAGGCCGTCTCGGACCCAGTGGTTTTTACTACTGGGAGATTGTGCTTTATGTCTGCCTCCTTGCATCAGCAATTCAGGAATGCTGATTTCGTATCGTCGCGGCAGGTTCATTTTCACGAGGTGGGGGCAATCGACAGCATCATCGACACGGTAGGGGTCGTGTACGCACTGCACCTACTCGGCATTGAAAAGGTCTACTGCTCAGCGCTGCCCTTGTCTGAGGTCAGCGTGTTTGGTGCTTCCGAGTTGCCCTACCGCACACCTTCGCGTTTGCGGTTCGTGTGGCAAGTGCTACACTGCTAAATTACGGCGCCTTAGACCATGCCAAGCGTAGTGCAGGGTTCCGTATCTGAGCACCAGTTGATATATTCCAATCGCAAATCGTGCAATATGAGTGGTCTTCGGAGAAGTGTATATGGACTTGACGGCCGAATCTCTAGTGCGAAGTCGAAAGTTGTCTTGACTTCGCCCGCTCCACAAACGTATACTGCTGTAGCATAAGCACCCGCCTGAGATGAACAGGAAGGCAGCAAAGGAAGCCGAACATGGACTGCTCTGTGTGTTTTTTCCGCTCTTGTACAACTAACTCACCATACAATAACCAACTCCCGTTTACCTCAAGGGTACGGTTTGGACTGCGCACGGCATCCTCCCTGTTCCCGCACCAGCGACGCTTCGGCTGATGGTAGGACTACCCACCTGCCCCGGACCAAAAAGGTGACATGACCGTGGCCGTCGGCATGTTTTCATGTGCGGCCTCGCTATACCTGCACAGTATCTCATACTGTGAGTGCCACAAACAAAATATGTCATGGCGGTGCTATTCCTCACTCGTACACCCCCGCGCGTGCGAACGTGAATCGACGGCGCCTTGCAGCGCTAAAGGGGAGCTAGTGACACCTTCGGGGGCGGCCTTGGTTCGTGTCCTTTCCTCCGAGTTTGGGAGGCCATCTTTGTTTACTCCTGGGGCAATTGGTGAGGGGAGTATAATCCTAGCTTATGAAGCGTGGCGAGAGTAAGAACGATCAAGTGCAAATATTAACGTAACGTATGCTCCCAGTGTTGCGTTCAGCTTGGAAACCTGACCTCAAGATGTGCGACTGATGTTGCTTTCTATATCTCTATCGACCTCTGTCGGCGGTGTTCAGGCATCGGAGCAGGCACCAAAGATTTTGACAAGCATCCCAACATTTTGAGGGTGATCCTGGGGGAGGTTCCCCCCCCGCTGCCGTCGGAAGAACCACAACCAGTAGAGCAGATAAGGGCATCTCCCGCAGACGGGGCGCGAGAAACGGGGAGCTGGACCACGCGTCAGCTTTCGGTACTTGAGGCTAATATTGACGACATGACCGGCGAAGCGGCGGGATACTTAATGGAGGTGCTGCTGGAAGCGGGCTGTCTGGATGCCTGGCTCTGCCCAATTTTAATGAAGAAGGGGCGCCCGGCGTTCACTGTGAGCGTGCTGTGCGAGCAGCATGACCAAGAGCGCTTCGTGCGCCTCCTGTTCACCGAGAGCTCAACCCTGGGGGTGCGAAGACGCTCTGTAGAGCGCTGCGCGCTTCGCCGAAAGACGGTTCCAGTGTCTACCACGTTTGGCGACGTGCGAGTCAAGGTGGGCGAAAGGCTAAGGCTTCCACACAATTATCTCTGGACTTTGTCGTCGTGTTGTTGAGAATGGAGCATCATGAATGGGATAGGCACTACCCATAGGCTCACGTTCAAACACCGGTATTGCCGTGCTAAGGACATTCCTCTCGGTTGCTGGAAAACTATGGAGATTTGCTCATGTTTTTGAGCTGATGAATGCGAGCATGTGTGCACCGGTGGACAGTTTTTTTCTTTTTCTTTTTTGGAAGTAGAAACACCTCGCATGGCGTTGGAGAAGCCCCTGACGCAACCAACTGCTGTTCTCGTCTTTTTCATTACATTCACATTATCGACCCTACGTTTTGACATTTTGCGCTTACCATCTGCAAGGTGGCCTGGCTGGATGGCGTGGTTGTCAGTACAAAGCCAGAGTACGAAGACTGTAAGGTGAGATTGTGCGTCGACACATAGTGTGATGCGTTCTTGAGAAACATCCAGGCGATTTGGGGAATGTTTGGTCACGCACTGATACGGCGGATACACAGGACCACAGCGGTGGCTCTAGGATTTGTGTTTTGCTGAGGGGTACATTCGGGGGGCACATGCAACCCCGTCACATTTGGCTTGTACGTGGAGATAGACCGTACCCTGATTTTTCCTCTGGTTGGGTGCGTGAACCACAGGTACTGGCCACCAACGCCGGAGTTCCTCTCCAGGCGGTGACAGACCAGGCTCGGGCGGTGGTGCAGGCTTCTCTCCCCGAGGAGCAACCGGACGTAATGTAGATACTCGGGCTTTGTGATAAACCGATTCCTTCGGGATTTACGTGGCTCGTGGCACGGCATTCTTGTTTTGTTGTCCAGCGTTGCACAGTCCGCCGCTGGTTCGGCTTGTGGGATATTTCAGAAATGGGAATTGATCAAAATCACGAAGTCTGTGTAAAATCACCGGGTATTGGTTTCATTTCATATGGTTGGGACATGGTGCCTGTGGTGCAGTGTTCATCTTTGGATACTGGTGTGTAGGCCGTAGACGCCTCTTTGGTCAGAGTCTCCGTACAACATGATGACTGCAAAGCATCTGATGAGCACGGAAAACCAGAGAGCCTTGTGTACTCACCAACGGACTCTTAAAATGCAACAGCAGTAGGAGACCAGGATACAAGTCGGGCCTGGTTTGTGCACCAACGTGTTGTATCCTAGAGTATCTCATACGAAAACGTGCGGGTCGTCCACACGGCAGAAATACATGAGGTACACATGACAAAAGTTGCCAGGTAGAGGAGGATGGTAGCAAACGAATCGCAACCAAGAGCGAACTGAACGAGAGGGCGGAAATATATAGCCATCCTCAGGTGTACAGGAGTGCCGGCCCGATCACAAGAACTAACCTCACGGGAAATGGAAGCTCAGTTTTGTGAGAAAAAATGGCGTAGAAAGTGCGCTCACACGCTGGCATCACACTAAATGCTCCTCTTTGTGGCAGCAAAAGCAATAAATAGCCTGTGCTCGGTTGTTACGACGTGCGGTTTTCGCGTTTTGCTCAAATTTCAGTTTCGTAAAGCGGGCCGGCACTACCTGTAGTCCACCGTACAGCGCGACTCAGATGTTCATTGGCACCACGTGAAAAATGATGCGGTCAAGACCTCAACGTGCGACGGCACCACTCAAGGGATCTCCCGTGCGCGATTTTCGTTTCGGAATAATGTGAATTGCGTGGGAACAAGAGAAATAGGCGTAACACGCCCCCGGGAACACTTCCAAGGCGGGGGGAGTGTCGCATTTGTCTCACAAACTCGCGGCTATCCGAAGACGCGCTAGGATTCGAACTCGAGAATTGGGCGCTTTTAGTTTTTTTAGGGGGCGGGCCAGTCCAATCGAGAGTAGCCCACCGTTCGAGGTTAGCAAGGAACTTTTTATTCTTGCGGAATTACTCTTCAAACGGTTTTGCAAGCCGTAAGTGTAAAACGTGTCGCGGAACCCCGTTGTTTTGGTGGGGGAGGTATTGGCACATCAACCTAAAAGAAGAGGCATCACATTTGCCCATACCCGAAAATGACCAAAAAAAAATGCACAAAATTATGTATGTTGTACGTTGACAGATAATTGGCCACATTGTCACATCATGTCGTGAGCAAGGCCGAAGCGACAATTACTGCCGTGTCAACGAAGTGAAAGTCACAATAACACAGGCTGGCCGCGGCGCCTCAACAGACGAGCACCGTGAGCCAAGTCAAACAGCAGGATCTGTTGCTCCTGCGTTTCCCGTGTGTACTCCCAAAAGATGCGTGGTGTGCAAATCATGTTTCGAACGCTGGACTCAACACACGCATTTGACGACACGTCAGACAAGCCTCGCACAACATCCATGTATCGACAACAAAATACACACGCGATCCACACACGAGCGTATAAAGCACGCGATGAATCAATAACTCGTCTGCCCCCAACAAAAGAGCGAGGTGCCAAAGGTAAAAATATTAGCACGTTGGAGTATCGTGCAAGACATTTCCAACTCGTGTTAATTTGCTTTCACTCGACTCAAGCGACTCAACAGCACTCTTCTACGAGTTCTAGCGACTTAAAACATCTCCACCAACATGGACAGGAGCAAAAAAAATTCAAGAACCGATACAGTCCGTATTCACAAATGCGGATCGTAGAACGCTCAACAGATCGCGCAACGGTAAAAATCACATGTTGCTCTGGGCAAGAGACGCATAGGCCGACAATTTTTTGTCGGCGCTGTCGGGCCAAGGTGAACCCCCACACACTTCATCATCACCGGTTACCTGCCCCCCACTTCTAACGCGGTTTTTCCATGGGTTTTAACTCTCAACCATCGGCTACGACGCCGCAACCTTCCAACGACAAAGACACTACCATCCGTCCCTCTTATGCCCCTGCCCCCGTGGAAACAACCAACACTCGCATCGATTTGTTTAGAAGTAGTCAGACACAGGCTTCTGGAACGGCAACTTCGTCTGCTCTGCAGGGCCGTCGTACTCCCGGTAGGGCGCCGTCTCGATCCCGTTCTCAGCGATCATCAACGACAGCTCCTCGGAAGTAACGGTGTCCTGGTCGAGCAACTTCTGGGCGAGCTTGTCCATCAATTCCTTGTTGTCCGTTAGGATGGTCTTGGCGCGGAAGTACGCCTGGTTGACCAATCGCTCGACCTCCATGTTGACGCGCACGTTCATCGTCGGTCCCCACTGCTCCCCCTCCATTCCGTCCATCCCCATGTTGACCACGAAGGGGCCGATCTCCTCGCTCATGCCCCACTGTGTCACCATCCGGAAGGCGATGTTGGCCACCTGCTGGAAGTCGTTGGACGCACCAGTCGTCACCTGAAAAGAGAAAATGCAAGGTAATATTTTCGACGGGGCGCGGGAGAGGGGGTGGGTAAGATGGCAGAAGAGGTTGGTTGATCAAGAGGACATGCGTCGTGTGTGGAATTCTTACAAGTCGCACTTCTGACGGTTAGACGTTAGCTACACGGGATTTTGAACATGCTGTGGTCGGATCGCTTGCAATTCACGTTCTGTTTTTTTTTTTGCTGTGGAACCGACCACACATGGACCGCAAACATCTTTGCTGTACCAGAGAATTGCGGGAAGAGGGGAAAGGGGGTCACTAAGCATTTCTTTGGACAACACCGGGGGGCAGCAGGGTGAAAAATCTTTATCGTAGTGCTCATGATGCAAAACGTTGTGCACTTACGAGCTTGACGAGTAATCGATCATCGGCACTACCAACGAGAACAGGTGGTTGCACACGGACTATGAGAAATTGTCGTCGACTGGTGCTTGCTGCCTGTGTCTTTGACAGGATCATCGGCTCAATTAACAGGCAGAAAAGAAAGTTTCGCAACATTAGTTTACCAACCGAATGGCGGCGGAGGGATCTACAGCTAATGCGTCTTTATGGCAGACTCTGTAAAGCAAACCATGCACAAACGCTGCATGCTCGCTTCTCACGTGGGACAAAGGCAAGTTCAAATTGAGCATGTCTTGCGTATTGAGTACCGTACCTCGCAATCGAAGCTCTCTTGTTACGTATCGGTATAAATCAGAGTACAGAAAAAAAGACAGCGCAAAAATACTGCTGTACCAGGATTTTCACGTGAAATAATCATCAAGGGGGGGGGGCGTGGGAAGAAACTATGAACAGAGCAGAATGCAACATTTACTGCTGCAGCGGCATAAAAACGTGGACCAATGTGTACATGCAGAACTTACAAGGCGATCATATGCGTACGCCCGGCAACTAAATACGTTATTTTTATCACACCGCGAAGAGATCGCAGCAAACCGCAACAAAAAATGTTTCTCGCCTGGTCCTCGCCGAACATCACCTCCTCCGCAAGGCGTCCGCCCAGCGCCACAGCCAGCTGCGACTCCATGTACACCTTGGAGTACAGCCCGCACTCCAGTCGCTCCTCGGAAGGCGAGAAGAACGTCAGTCCGCCCGCTCCGTTCGTTCGCGGCACAATAGTCACCTTCTGCACGGTGTCGTAGTCGGGCATCAGCGCTCCCACGATGGCGTGGCCGGCCTCGTGGTAAGCCACAATGGTGCGCATCTGCTCGTCGACGCGGGCGCCCTTCTTCTCGAGACCCACCAGCAGGCGGTCCACCGCACCGTCGACGTCCTCCCACTCGATGCTGGGCACGGGGCGCTGCTTGCGCGCGGCGAAGATGGCCGCCTCGTTGAGCAGGTTCTTGAGCTGGGCGCCGGAGAAGCCGGGGGTGCGGCGAGCGATGCCCTCGATGTCCACGTCGGGTGCAAGAGGCTTGCCGCGGGCGTGCACCTTCAGGATGGCCACGCGGCCCTGGAAGTTGGGCAGGTCCACCAGCACCCTGCGGTCGAAGCGGCCGGGGCGGAGGAGGGCGTCGTCGAGGATATCGATACGGTTGGTGGCAGCCATGACGATCACACCGGGGTTGCCGACGAAGCCGTCCATCTCCACGAGCATCTGGTTCAGCGTCTGCTCGCGTTCGTCGTTGCCGCCGGCCATGCCGCTGCCGCGCTGCCGGCCGACGGCGTCGATTTCGTCGATGAAGATGATGCACGGAGAGTTCTCCTTCGCCTTGTCGAACAAGTCGCGCACGCGTGCCGCACCCACGCCCACGAACATCTCAACGAACTCAGATCCGGAGGTGGCGATGAAGGGCACGCCAGCCTCGCCGGCCACGGCACGAGCGATGAGAGTCTTACCGGTACCGGGTGGGCCCTCGAGGATCACGCCGCGAGGGATCTTGGCGCCGACCTTGGTGTACTTGGCGGGGTTCTTGAGGAAGTCCACCACCTCCTCCAGCTCGAACTTCGCGGAGTCACAGCCGGCCACCTGGTCGAACATGACGCCCGTGTCCGGGTTGACTTCCAGCTTCCCCTTCGACTTGGTCATGTCCATCGGGTTGCCGCCGCCCGGCATCCCGCCGCCTCCCATCCCGCCGCCCCCACCCTGCCCTCCGCCCCTCCGCGACAAGAACAACAGGCTGCCGAAGAGCAGTGCAGGGAAGATGAGGCCACCCAGTTGTCCGAGACCACCGCCGCCGCCCTGGTTAGTCTGGTTGGGCATGACGGTCACATCCACCTTGTGCTTGGTCAGGATTGTCAAAAGCTCGGGATCATTCGGGATGGAGTCGAGCTTCACACGCACGCCGTCAGTGTCCACGGCGACGAGTTTCTTGCCGTCGTACGAGAAGGAGACCTTCTCGATCTCGTCCTTCTCCACTGCGTTCACGAAGTCCGAGTACCGGATGTTCTCGACCGTCTGCACAGACCGCTGCATCATCGCGGGCGGGGCCTGGCCTCCTGCGTTGGCGAAGGGCGAGGCGGGGGGGGGTACGTCGACGGCCATCGCAGGAGAGGAGAACGCGATCGTTGCTGCCGCAAGCATCGCCGCGAGGGAGGCCGGGGCGTTGAACCCTTCCCCCTTCATCGCCATCGCAGGTGCCACCGATTGCATCGGCCTCACTGCGGTCCTCGCGCTGAGTGCTGACGATGACCTCGTGAAGGCGCCTGCAGGTGCGCTGGTCCCTACCCGGATGTTGCTTGACACCATGAAGGCTTCGCTAGATGCCATGAGCATGGCGAGTACTCCAGCCTTGAGCTTCATCGACCGCATGTTCGTGGACGAGTCCATGATGGTGGTGGGGAGGTGTAAGTGTGGTTGGAGGGTGTGCTCCCAGCGCTGTGACTGGTGAATGAGCAGCTCGATGCGTTGTTGTCAAGGCTGACTCTCTCTTTTTTTCTGACTCAATTTTGCACACGCACTTTGATGACGGTTCAAAGTACCCTGCGCGTGCCCCCCAAATCACGCCGCATTTGTTTTTTCCCCGCGAGAAAGCGGCAGCTCCCAGCTCCCAGCTCCCCTACAACCAAGCACGGCGGTAATTCTACCAAAAGGGACATAGCAGCAGTACTTACAGAGGACTACTGCTGCACATACCTTTTTATTGATCAGTCGGTTAGCGTGATCGATGCTAGTTATTGAGTGAAATGCTACAAGCACACCCACATAGCTACAAGTTGTTGCGTGACGCATGTATCCGGAGCAAGTTGACCCGAGATCATAAACAAGTGGGTATTATTTTTTCTTTGAAGCGGGCCGCGGTGCAACTCTGATGAATCTGGATACTCTGGACCGCGTGTCGTTGAATCCCCTCCACAGCATCTTTGCTATGGGCAGGGAGCGTGCCGTGAGACTGATGACGGTTTTAAATTTTGGTTGTTGGCAGGAGTGGCAGCACAAAGATTTCAAAAGGTTTCCCAACTTGGCTTCTACACTACAGCTGCTAGTAGTACACGCCGTCGTCGTGAGACTTCAGACTACTGCCTGATGGAGCTCATCATAACGATCACCAGCATGACTACCCGGTATTCGTCTATCTAAAGAATGAGCCCGCCCTCTTATTTTGCCCGCGGCTCGTTCTTCAGTTTATTTTTTTCAATACATATGACCCAACGAATCCATCTTCTATCTAATATTGTAAGAAAGGAGTCTACGACAGATTAGCATAGCGTCAGATGAAGACTACCGGTGTTTACACGATTTTTTTGCTTCTCACACAAGTGTGATGCAACAAATTCATCTCCAGGACAAGAGTTTGGGTAGGTTACTTATTTTATTTGTGGGGTAACCCAACATCGACTACAATATACCATATTATATGGTGTACCAGGTTCTATTTGCGTGATGAGTACACACTGTAGTTTCTCTTTGTTTTGTTGACCCCCATATAACTCCCAGGTTCTCGAGTGGTGGCGGCGAGTTTGCACACACACATGCATTGTAGACTAGTGTTTCCGAATATCCATCCATCCATCCATCCATCGACCAGAGCAATGCAAACCTGCACATCCATCGATGGCATGGTTGGCTTCAAGCTGCGACGCGACTTGGAGCAAAAAATGGTGCATGCACAGCGTGGTGCGGTAATTGCAGAGAATGCATCTCACTCACGGAGAAAATAGGCCCAGTATCCCTGGCATCAGTTGACCGCCAACTCTCAACTGATCAAAACGAAGAACACTTGGTCAAAAACTTCCTTGTTCGATAGACATCGGCAACCCTTTGGGTATCTACCCCTGTCTCCTCTATAGGGGCTTCCCCAAGACACCGGACATCGTTACTCCATTTCACACTTCAAAGGACGAAAACTTCAAATCCATCATGCATTACTGGATCCGCTGGCGAAACGTAACACCACTCGCACGCCTGCGGGCATTTTACTTGCTACGTGACGTCACCGCAGATGGCTGCAACTGCTGGAATACATAACCGAAAAGCATCAAACAAGTAGTTATCCCTTCTGTGGCTCTCTACCCCTGAGCGTATGCCACCATACCACAGGATGGATGGCGAGCAATTCTCCAGCACACTCCAGCACACTTGGAGCCTGATGCATGTATCAATCTCTACTTCTTCTTTAACTTGTCAGTGTGGCGCACGCGAGGGAAATGCGCGATCACGTTTGATCCCTCGGCTCCACAAGCACTTCATTCACCGCCACGTGAGACGGGGCGGTCACAGCATACAAAACCGCTGCAGCGACGTCCTCGGGCTGCAGCACCTGGGTTTCGGTCGATCCGGTGCCTACCTTCACCCCTATGGCAACACCTTGTTCGTCTGCCGCCTCTTTGTCGGTGTTGTTCATTACCAAGTCCGTCGCACAGTCTCCCGGCTGAATCGTTGTGACCTTCAACCCGGTCCCCACAACCTCGCGCCGCAAACCTTCTGACATCGCCTCGACGAAGTACTTCGAGGCGCAGTAGACAGCCAAGGATGGGAAAATCCGCCGGCCCGCATCCGAGGAAATATTGACAATATGTCCGCTGCCGCGCTCAATCATTCCCCCCAACACCGCCCCTATCCCAAACATGGTACCCTTGCAGTTGACATCCACCGTTCGCTCCCATTCATCCTCGTGCAGGTTCTTCATGTTGGTGAAGTACATCACACCTGCCATGTGGTTAAGGCGTTGGTGAAACGAACGAGCAGGTTGAACAATCGAAGGGAACAAGCAGAGAAGCACAGGACCCAAAGGCGTGCTATCACGATTGGGACTTTCGGAAATGAAAGATAGAAAATAACAACAAATAGATTTAGAAATACCGAACGTTGGGAACTACCGGTACACTTTTGTGGAGATCATGGAGTTGAACCCGGAAAAAAAACACTCGCCAGGGCGGCCAAGCCGGCAGCGCGACAGGAAAAAAAAAAGAATAGCTGCTGCATCAAAACAGCACACACAACTCGCCAGACATGGTGTGCTCTGCACTTTGCACCAGCACATAGTCGATGAGGAGAATGACATAGACCACATAGGTAGTTGAGGGGGCTGCACCAGTTCAACATGTGAGGGTGATCAAGGAGCCTGACGTCTCGTTCTTGCTGTATGCGAACGAGAGACAGGCCTTTTCCACGAGAGAGGAGAGAGAGAGCATCAGCAGCAGCCAACAAGAGAGGGCGCACACACACACCGTCCGTATTATAGTAGAACTTATCACAGAGCGTACGAAGAAAGGCGCGCTGCTTGCCGTGTGTGCATTCGTGTCCAGACAGGATTCATCTTCCTCTTTCTCCGCCTGGTTTTTCTTCTCTCCCCCGTCAACCCAGCAGCAACAGGCAGATGATATGATGACCAAACACACGCTGACTTCCTTGCTTGGAATGCAGAGACAGCTCTACACCCCACTTCCGACACGCAGAGCAAATAACATATGTAGTTCTGGCCTTCGTTGGCCAGCGACGAAGTCTACAAACGGAACTTTCCGTGGTGCCTGGAGTTTGAATACGTCAGGCTACGCTCGTGTGTGTGGTGGTGGGCCTTTGCTTGTACCTCGTAAATCTATTTCTTCGCCTGAAAGCCGCAGGAGATTCAGGAAAAAGCGGCGCCAGTCCTCTGATTTCTAAATCTAAGGGCACCTTTCCAGATTTAGGGCTGTTCCACTTTGAGGACCGTTCGAAGAACCTGAGCCTTATCACTAAATCTGAAAGCTTCCAACTACATCGAAAAGTTCCGAAACGGGTTCCGAATTCATCTCATATCGGCTTACGAACAAAGCTCGCTAGGCAGAGCAGACTCTCTATGTAGCAAGGGGGATTTTACCGAGCTTTCCACACCGACTTATAGGCGGGGCACCATTGAGGACGTTCAGTGAAGAATCGGCCACAAATATAAAAGAGGTCAACATCCCTTTGACGTCTCGATTCCTAGGAATACGACAAAGGCCATCTTCTGCGGGACATTCTTCAAAACACTCTGGATGCACGTGCGAAAAGCGTGCAAAGCGCGAGCGTTGTCTGCATCCTATGATAGAGCCTAGAAGCGAAGGATGTGGAGAGTCCACCACTGCAACGCGACCCGAATGTACGAGGCAGGAACGTACCGTAGGAGGCGGAGAGATGGCACCTCCCCTAGAGCGATTTTCAAAGCTCGATTGCTCCACAACCAAGATTGTGCCGACACCGAAAATTGTGGTTTTGGAAACATGTCGCCGAGGGCTTTCCGTAGACGTACCGGGCTCTTTCCTCGCCCCCTTGGTCGTGGAGCAATCGAGCTTTGAAAATCGCTCAACGGGGGGTGCCATCTCTCCGCCTCCTACGGTAGCGCCACAAAAGCGCAGCCCCGCAATATGATGCCATGTATGACCATAGTATTGCCAAGTCAATTGCATGTACATGATGGCGGTCGCACGTTGTGTGAGCTGGCAGCTCAATGCTGACCCAATCCTTCTTCATCTCCCAGAACCCAGCCGTTCAAAGCATGCAGCAGCACTGCGTGCGAACATCAACACGTTTAGAGTTGTGCGTTTTCCTTTAGTAGGAGTCGTGGCAACCGACTTGCTCTGCCTATCAATGCCAGTCATCATTGCTGCACGCCTACGCTAGAGCGTCACTCCGGGAGTGCACACACATCAACTTCGATAAGCAGGGGCACATGTCCAAAAAAATCAGCCGCAACTCCGTGGAGAGATCACTATAATGCTTGATTGTCGCAACATTGACACGCCTAAACCTTAGCAGACACAAGTGCCTTGAGCAAAGCGTCTTGTAGCACTGCGACCCGAAGAACGCTTACTGTCGACCTTGCCGTCCTTCCACATGTGTTTGTTGGCCTGGTTGACGTCAAGTACGTGTCTAGCACTGGGAGTGGGTCTGCGTGTTGTGCAATCCAGCCACGAGTGAAGTCTCTCATATTGTATTGGTCCTCAGCAACAATTCTCAAACGCCAGTGATTCCCTGTTGTGCACGCTGGCTATCTTCGATTGGCTGTCGATGCCTCTGTCTCTATTGCGGTTGTGGATCATACCGTCACGTTCTCTGAACTATACATGAAGCTATATCTTTCGGTTTAGGTCGTATGTGCATGAAACTGTAGCTTGTTTTCGGCGGGTGGTGGCACAAAACCCGGTGTGAGAAATGGGTCGTAAAACCGGGAGGAAAGAGACTAAGCTAGGCAAGAAACCAGGCTGTTGTAAAACATCGAGCAACCCGGTGGGAGCAACAGAAGATCTAGAAATAAACGATTACGAACATGAGCAGGACCTGGCCTTACAAAGATTCCTCCGTTCCAAAAACAGTAAGAAAGCCATTTCGACCATTTTTTACGGCTCCTTTTTTGGGTGATCTTTGGAATCTCTTCTTTCGAGGTCTTTTTTTAGCAAAAAAGGACCACCAAAAAGACAACCTTTTGGACACCCCATCCTGCCTTTTTCTTGGCAACTTTTGGGTCGATTGGGTGTGCCAAAAAACTGTTGTCCATTATTGGTCACAACCCCTTGACTCTTACCTACAAATTCGAATCTCTCGACGGTTGATCTCCGCAAACTCTAACGGTGATCACACGAGTTGTGTCATGTGGCTGGTACAGAGTTGGTAGCATCAGCGGTAGCCGTTGTTTTTTTCATTCGGCTGGACCAGGTCGACAACCCGGTCTGTGCGGCAAACAAGCCGAGAGAGCCTGGACGCAGCAGCAGCGGGGGGTCATTGTTCGTGAGCTGTCAACTTTTGCGAACTCGACTTCAGGGCATCCTGTAGCCTCCGGGTCTGTATCAACCGGCACACAAGACGGACCATACACACCGTTCGTGGCGGATACCTTTGTCACCGCTGTTGCTTCAGTGGGTTGCGAGGGATCATCGATAACCCAAACTTCCAACACGGGCAAAAGAGCAAAAAAACTGGTTGCGGGCGCGGTGGGTTTTTTTCCAGCGTGCTGTTGACTCGCCACGTCAGTTTCCGTGCCTCCTATCGCCCTGTGGTCTCTATCAGCCGTCACACAAGACGGACCATACACACAGCTCGCAAGGGATAGCATTACAATTGCTGCTGCTTTACTCTGTGCGGAGATATCACCGAAAAACCAAGTCGGTGGGAAGGTACATGTATGTATGACGAACGGCCGTTGCAGAGTTACCTTTTTTTGGTCGATGACTTTGATGAGCAAAAAGGATCGACCAGCACGGAAGGAAGCGGGTCATCATGATTGTGTAAAGTATCATTTTTTGGGTCGTCCCTTTACTGGGAAAAATATCACCAATTAAGGGACAAAAAATAAGGCCTTACATGGTCATTTTTTGGAGATCTTTTTTGCCCCCACAGGGACGACCTAACAAGGGATCTACAAAAGAAATGACCCGTTTCTTTCTGTGCTGGTGGACCCTTTCTCATCCGAATCGTCGACCAAAAAAAGAGACTCTCTGCAACGGCTGCTATTCGTCACACATACATACATGTACCACCAAATTAGTTTTTCGATGATATTTCCTCACAGAGTGAAGGAGGAGCAACGGTAAAGCTATCCCTCGCGAGCTGTGTGTATGGTCCGTCATGTGTGGCGGCTGATAGAGGCCACAGGGCGATAGGAGGCACGGAAACTGAGGTGGCGAGAGTCAACAGCACCCTGAAAAAAGCCCACCGCGCCTGCAACGAGTTGTTTTTTCTCTCTTTTGCCCGTGTCGCAACTTTGGTTTACCGGCACTCCCTCGTCACCCCCTCATAGCGACAGCGGATGACAAAGGTATGCGCCACGAGCTATGTGTATGGTCCGTCTTGTGTGGTGGCTGATACAGACCAGGAGGCTATAGGGCGCTCAGAAATTGTGAGCGTGAGAGTGGTGGACAAGCGGGAAAAATGACCCACCGCGTCTTCAAGCAACTTTGTTTGCTCTTTGCCCGTGTCGCAACTTTGGTTTACCGGTAATCCCTCGCAACCCACTCAAGCAACAGCGGTGACAAAAGTATGTGCCACGAGCTGTGCGTATGGTTCGTCTTGTGTGGTGGTTGATACAGACCAGGAGGCTATAGGACGCCCTGAAGTTGGGTTCGCAAAGTTGACAGCAGTACACGAAAAATGACCCACCGCTGCTGCTGTGTCCGGGCTCTCTCGGCTCGTTTTGCTGCTTGTTTGTTGCACAGATCGGGTCGTCCACCTGGTCCAGCCAAATGAAAAAACAACGGCTACCGCCGGTGCTACCGACTCCGTACCAGCCACATGATACAACCCGTGTGACCACCGTTAGAGTTTGCGGGGATCAACCGTCGAGAGATTCAAGTTTGTAGGCGAGTCATGTGACTGTGACAAAAAAAGACAACAAATTTGACAGCCCAATCCTGTCCAAATCTTGCTGAAAAAAAGACAGGATGGCGTGTCCACAACGGGTTGTCTTGTTATGTCTTTTTTTTTGCTAAATAAGACACGCAAGAAGGGGTTCCATGGCCAATTATCTTTTGTTGGGATGAAAGAAAGAAAAAGACAGCCAAAAAAAGGAACCGTAATAGATGGCCTTACCCGGATTGACGTTTCTTATCTGTGGGCTCGTCTGTAAGTGCACATAGAGAAACGCCTGTTGTTGCCGAGCATTGGCCAACTCTCCGTGACCTGCCGACGCGCCACAGCATGCTCAGATTTTGTCTTTCAGCACGCCGATCATGACCGCGTTGACGATGATTAGCACCGGCACGTGGACTACATAGATAGGTCGTGCACAGTTGGGGCGGGTGATGAAACGTGTTATACCGGACGAGGCGCAGTTCCTTGTTTCCGCGCCACCGTCGAGCATCGTGGTATTATCTATTTACGAAGGATGCAGTGCAAGATCCAGCGCGGAGGTGTGTCTCTTACTCAATCAAAATCTCTTGTTTTTTTTTCTCATCCGAGCTCCAACTACGACGGATGTATCTACAGTTTTCTCGGGTGTCGCCATCCAGAAAATACAACCCCGGCGAACTACAGCAGTAGACTATGCATAGAGCGCAGTTAAGTTCTTGGTTACCTTTTCGCACTCTCTAGTAGCTGCAACTGACCAGGATCCAACGTGGTGTAAACATCTTCGTGTTTGTGCTTCGTACTGCGGTACCTTGTAATAGTCGTGTCTAAAAGTGGGTATTTGTACATCAGTACCACATGACAGCAGTCTGGTACAAGTACGCATCAAAATATCACACCACGTCCGTTTTCACCAGAACATCGGTGACTGTGCGCCACTTCACACTGCTGTACCCGCAGTTCAAGATTAGACCATGCACCTGTGAGAGCCAGGCCACTTAGACGACATTACACGATAAAGGGGGTCTTGCTCTCAGGTCCCGCGAATATCGTGGTCCTCACCTGCGTTGTTTACCATGACGTCTACTGGGCCAAAGCCAGCTTCAGCTGCAGCAACTAGTGCCTTGACCTCGTCTCGCTTGGTGACGTCTACCTTGCACACCATCACTCTATCGCCGCCAACCTCCGCTTCTATCTTGGTCTTGACTTTCTCTAGCTCCTCAATCCTGCGCGCACCGAGCACTACGTTGGCACCGGCAGAGGCAAGTGTGCTCGCGATGGCCGCTCCGATCCCCCCTGAAGACCCGGTGACAACGACGACCTTTCCTGACAGCGGCATCTTGGTGGCAACGGCAATGATCCCGTTCAAAATCAGGATTTGCTGGCTGCTGGGCAGTGTTGTTGTAGGCGTGTGAATAACTTGGTTGTGTTTTAAGTCCGTGGGCCAAAGAGAGAGCGAGAGAGGGAAGGAGTAGGGACCCAGGAATGCATTGCGCAGATGAGCAGAAGCGCCAAGGAGAGGGACTGTCATATGGGCATCCCGTGTCCAATCAAAACACAGCGGAGGAGGCAAGTCATCCCACGAATTCCTGCTGCTGTGCTGGTGCATGTCAAAAGCATCTCCCACCGTACAACTATGGGCAGGGTAGTTCCTCTCGCCACAGACTGGTCCCGAGGCAAGCAAGGGGTATATCGAGGTTACTTCTATCTATGCATATGTGTGTCTATAGGGTGGGTTATGCAATTGGGTTGTACGGCAGTGAGTGTGTGAAAAAGATCACGACAGGGAGGACCAATAGGAACGGTTCACGGATGTTATTGGATACATGGATATCAGACCGGTCAAACGCAGCACACACGCGTGCGCGGAATGCTACTCCCCTGCCTGTTTGCTCAAGAGGAGAACGGACAGTGTAGCAAGGAGTAAGATCCACGAATCTGTTGTGACACTGAAATATGGAAGACACGGAGGAGGACCATCGTTGGGCTTATTATACCCGAGTTTGCGTTGCTGTGTCTGCTCTGGCGGCCGTACAGCAGTGCCTCGCATGGAACAGGCGCATTTCCGCAACCAAAACCAAGGAGCGCCGGCGCAACTCTATCATCGACCTCAGCAAATGGCCTGGAGGAGCTCTGACGGTATACTTCGGCTCTCAGACGGGAACAGCAGAATGCTTCGCCCAGATCGTCGCTGCCGAAGGTATTGTTCACGGGTTCAAGACAACTGTGGTCGACCTCGAAGACTTCAACGAAGAGCAATTCGAGGGTGCCCACAAGGCTATCTTCATCATGGCCACGTATGGTGACGGGGACCCAACTGATAATGCCAGCGAGTTCTACAATTTGGTGGCAAACAAAGCAGGTGGTATGTCTAGTGAACGTCTCAGATCGCTGCACTACACCGTCTTCGGTCTCGGGAACACGCAGTACGAGCACTACAACATGGCGGGTCGGACCATGTACGAAAACCTCCATAAGCTTGGTGCCCAGCGCATGTTCGAGTACGGGGAGGGTGATGACGACCATGAGCTCGAAGAAGACTTCGAAGAATGGAAGGAGGCGATGTGGGGGGTCCTCGTTAAACGGTTCGGCGGCATGGGCGGCGTAGATGGAGTAGACAAAGCTGTGGACCTACCGTTCTCCGTCAAGATGCTTACCGAACATGAAGCAGCTGCCATTGCCTCGACAGAGGAGTCCAAGGCCGCTTGCTCAACAAGGTTTCATTGGCACGCGGTTGATGCCTGTGTCAGCATCAATCGCGAGCTCCGAGCTCAGGCTCCCGGGGTGGGATCTACGCGGCACGTCGAGATCGACCTCCAAGGCACCAGTGTAGGCTACCACACGGCGGACAACCTTGCCATCTTGCCCTTGAACGACGCCACCACGGCGGAAAAACTGTGCGCACAGCTTGGCTACGATCCAGACTCCTTCTTCATCCTCGAGCATGACGACAACCACAAGCCGGTGTTTCCCACACCTTGCACCGTGCGAGACGCGTTCCTGCGATTCATGGACATTATGGCCATTCCTCGCCGCAGCTTGCTGGAGCAGCTGACGCCTTACGTAGAGGACGACGCTGAACGCGAGGCCATGCACCTCCTGAGCTCGAAGGAGGGCAAGGAGAAGTACCACCGCGAGGTGGAGGAGCCTGGGTGGACGCTGGCCGACCTCATCCTGGAGAGGTTCTCTAGCCTCAGCATGACGTTGGATCACTTTTTGCACGTCGTTCCCCACCTCCACCCCCGCTACTACACGATCTCGTCGTCGTCGTCCGTGTCGCCGTCAAGGGTGCACATCACTGTGGCGGTGCTGGAGCAAGACCGGAGCCAGGGTCGCCTGTATCGCGGTATCTGCTCGAGTTTCCTCAGCAGCCTGGAACCTCACGATGGAGCTACGGTGGAGGGAGCCACCATAGACGGCAGTGGGTCGAAGTGCCGCGTGTTCGTGCGAGAATCGACGTTCCGGCTGCCGGCGGACTCGTCTATCCCGATCATAATGATTGGGCCGGGGACAGGGGTCGCCCCGATGCGCGCGCTGCTCCAGGAGAGGGCCTGGCAGAAGGAGCAGGGGTTGAGTGTGGGGCGGAACGTGTTGTACTTCGGGTGCAGGTGCAGAGACCAAGACTACATCTACAGGGACGAGCTGGAGGCATACCAGGCAGACGGGACACTTGACAGCCTTCGCTTGGCGTTCAGCCGTGAGGGGTCGTCTAAGGTGTACGTGCAGCACCTTCTCCGCGAGGATGCTGCTGAGATGTGGGGCTTGCTTGAAGGCGGTGCGTACGTGTATGTGTGTGGGGGTACTAAAATGGGTACGGATGTACACAGCGAGTTCAACCACATAGCTCAAAGTTGCGGGTTGATGGGGGTGGAGGAGTCGAAGGAGTATATGAAGGGCTTGCACGACGCTGGTCGATTCGTACAGGAGTTGTGGTCGTGAGTGAGTTTGTCCCCGACAGAGGTAGGGAGTTTTTAAGCTTGTTTTTGGGTGTACTCTCCGTGCGTATTACTGAACTGCGTGTGCATACACCGAAAAGTTGCACGACGTAATCGCCGTATGATTATCAAAGTTTTCTGTGAAATGGACATATTGTTGCCGTGGTAGTGTCCACGGTGGACGTGGGAGCCGCTTGATTCTCTGTTGAAGCAACGTACTCTGGTATTGACGGGGCGACACTAATAATAATCCCATCCCGCCCTCCTGTGTGTATCGAAGCTTCTTAACGGCTTATCGACTGTTTCGTTGTCATTTTCGTCGCGTGTCTGAATTCGGCGCCAAACGTGTGTTTCGATGTTCGTGACGTATCGAGTGCCCCAACTCACCCCCGTAGTCCTACAGTAGTCGTGGGGTAGCAACGCGAGTCTTTAGGTTGGGATGGTTGGTGGGAACCTTGTTCAATAAATGCATGCAGTGGTGCAATATGCAAGTCAGGTGAACACTGACTGTTTTTCAGTATTTTCTCACAGTCGTGATGGTGTGGGTTTTGGGTCTCGTGCACCTCTTTCCGTCCATAGAATGCGTGTGCGGAGAGCGACTAGTACTCGTCTCCGATTCTTCCAGGGTTCGACACAGGCAGCCGCAACATCAGACGACTTCGCAGCGGGTATTCGCATTTTTCCACAGCCGCTGCTGCCGTATCTGTAGTGACCTATGCTTTCGCAGGTGGTTGCAGGAAAGCAGGAAATTGAAAGCGGTTGCACCCGGGTGAGAGGGAGACGTGAGCATTGTAGTAAACGTGGAAAATATTCATTTATGGGTGTGACTTGTTTCTGGTGCTCCTTCGGGAAAGCCTCTTTTTTTGAAAAGTTTTCGCCTACTTGTTTTACGAAAAGACAGTCCATCATCGGTGGCTCGACAAGGTTTGGTGCAGAATATACAAAGTCTCACTTGGTCGTCGATACTCATGCTTGGTGCACGAGCTCATGAGCTACACGCCGCTTTTTTCAACCCTTTTCACCTAATAGCGGAAAAGATTGTGCTGAACCTGGTGCTGCCGTTGGTGGTTGTATTTGCACATGTTGTGTCACCACACCACTTCACTCGGGCCACCTAGAATGTATCCTCTTGCCACCTGCTTGCTGAATCATGTGTGGATGGTCTCACAGACGGCTCCGGCCGCGTGCTTTTTCTTGTAGCGATCGTTTGGCGGCGAGAGGCTTGCAGCCAAGCTCGGATGACGCTGAAACAACCGACATTTTCTCTTGATTTCCAGACCTCAAGGTTTGATTTTTTTGTTGCTCGCACCAAGTTGGCCCTATGCCCTCGCCCGAACCTCGGGAGCCACTGAGTGTGCTGGTGTGCTTGCGTGCTTGTGGGAAAGTCACAGGTGCTGCGTGAGCCGGCAGGGCTTACATTGGGGGGGGACAGAGAAGTATATGAAGTTACAAAAACCCGCTACAACGGGTTTACGAGCCCTCTCACTGATATTTTCTCTGATCATGAGAATATACTTCAATAGAGATGTTGAGGCGGCCGCACCACTGATCTTTTCAAGGTCTACAAGGACAACTTGCCCTACCGGCCGCACCGCGACCACCCATGAACCCTTCCATGACTGTCTGTGCCCACCACCCTGTCGCGGGCTGCCCTCATGGCCTATAGGTGAGTAGCTGTTGCATCTACAGAAGTACACTTGTCTCTTTTTGCTGCACTCTCTCTGCCGCACTCTCTCACGCTTCGAAAAAAGCTAGGCCCAAAGGAAATATCACAAGGAAAACTGATGAGAAACAGCACCGGGGGAGTTGGTGCACAACATTCCCTAGGCCCGATTAATCTCAAATGACTTCACCACTGATTGGGACCGGTTTCGATCGTACGCACCGTCTGGCCTCCCTACTAAAGCCAATGAAAAAAGGTTGTTGAAGTATGCCGTTCGAGTGGGGAATCGACCTGTGTACCAAGCTCTCGTCAGTATGATAGCAATCCCGTCTCGTCAAAACTTACGACCACAACTCCTGTACGAATCGACCAGCGTCGTGCAAGCCCTTCATATACTCCTTCGACTCCTCCACCCCCATCAACCCGCAACTTTGAGCTATGTGGTTGAACTCGCTGTGTACATCCGTACCCATTTTAGTACCCCCACACACATACACGTACGCACCGCCTTCAAGCAAGCCCCACATCTCAGCAGCATCCTCGCGGAGAAGGTGCTGCACGTACACCTTAGACGACCCCTCACGGCTGAACGCCAAGCGAAGGCTGTCAAGTGTCCCGTCTGCCTGGTATGCCTCCAGCTCGTCCCTGTAGATGTAGTCTTGGTCTCTGCACCTGCACCCGAAGTACAACACGTTCCGCCCCACACTCAACCCCTGCTCCTTCTGCCAGGCCCTCTCCTGGAGCAGCGCGCGCATCGGGGCGACCCCTGTCCCCGGCCCAATCATTATGATCGGGATAGACGAGTCCGCCGGCAGCCGGAACGTCGATTCTCGCACGAACACGCGGCACTTCGACCCACTGCCGTCTATGGTGGCTCCCTCCACCGTAGCTCCATCGTGAGGTTCCAGGCTGCTGAGGAAACTCGAGCAGATACCGCGATACAGGCGACCCTGGCTCCGGTCTTGCTCCAGCACCGCCACAGTGATGTGCACCCTTGACGGCGACACGGACGACGACGACGAGATCGTGTAGTAGCGGGGGTGGAGGTGGGGAACGACGTGCAAAAAGTGATCCAACGTCATGCTGAGGCTAGAGAACCTCTCCAGGATGAGGTCGGCCAGCGTCCACCCAGGCTCCTCCACCTCGCGGTGGTACTTCTCCTTGCCCTCCTTCGAGCTCAGGAGGTGCATGGCCTCGCGTTCAGCGTCGTCCTCTACGTAAGGCGTCAGCTGCTCCAGCAAGCTGCGGCGAGGAATGGCCATAATGTCCATGAATCGCAGGAACGCGTCTCGCACGGTGCAAGGTGTGGGAAACACCGGCTTGTGGTTGTCGTCATGCTCGAGGATGAAGAAGGAGTCTGGATCGTAGCCAAGCTGTGCGCACAGTTTTTCCGCCGTGGTGGCGTCGTTCAAGGGCAAGATGGCAAGGTTGTCCGCCGTGTGGTAGCCTACACTGGTGCCTTGGAGGTCGATCTCGACGTGCCGCGTAGATCCCACCCCGGGAGCCTGAGCTCGGAGCTCGCGGTTGACAACGACGGGTGCGTCGCATCCATGCCAGTAAAACTTGGACGAGGAAGCGGCGGCAGTTTCACTAACCCCAGCATGACACGCCGCTTCAGCTGCCGTCAGCATCTTGACGGAGAACGGTAGGTCCACAGCTTTGTCTACTCCATCTACGCCGCCCATGCCACCAAATCTCATCACCAACGCCATCCACATCTTCTCTCTCCACGCTTCGAAGTCTTCTTCGAGCTGATTGTCGTCATCACCCTCCCCGTACTCGAACATGCGCTGTGCCCCAAGCTTCTCCATTCCCTCGTTTGTGCTCTTGCCCACCATGTTGTAGTGCTCGTACTGCGTATTGCCCAGACCAAAGACCGTGAACTCGACAGTAGCAAGATAATCGCTCTCCAGTTCACCACTCTCGTTTTTCAACCACGTGGTGAACTCGCTGGCGTTGTCGGTGGGTTCGCCGTCGCCGTATGTGGCCATCAGAAAGATAGCCTTGCCCTTCTCCAAGAGTTCCGAAGCACTAAATTCCTCCAAGTCAACCACGTCAATGTGGAAGCCATGCCGCCGGCCCTCCGCAGCGATTGTCTGCGCGAAACTTTCGGCCGTTCCTGTCTGCGAGCCAAAGTAGACATTGATGGTATCGTTAGGTGCAGCCTCCTCTTCTTCCTCGATGTCCGCTTCGTCAGGTTTTCGCTTCGGTCGAAGAAAAAGCAAGCCGGGCACCAGAGCCAAGAGGCCAATATACGGCCACGCACTAGCCCCGCTTGACGCCATAGAACGACGAATGCTTCAATGCTGTTGGGAATGGACTTAGCTGGCGGGTTCCTGGATGAACTCGTGTAGCCTTCGTGGGTCTACCTGGCACACGCCTCGGACTCGTGCCTCTCATGCCGTGCCGCGAGGCTAATTGCGCCGCGTTGGCGGGTGTTCCAGCATGCAGGCGTGTTTCACAGCAGGGGCTGCCTACCAGTTTGAATTTTCTCAAGAAGGCAAGAAGGCAAGAAGGCAAGAAGGCCAAGGCCAGCCCACACAACCGCCGTCCTGCTGGGTGTTCCCTGGCGACGCGCAGCAGCTGTGAGGGAGAGTCAGCAGCACGGGCCATCATCAGCGTGCTCGAGGAGTTACTTACGCCGAATTTAGTGGGAGGCTCTCCTCCACCTGAGCCGATTTGACCATGTCGACCCTCGAAAAACACATGCTGAAAGAGCTGTTGCTCGTCTGCAGCGCGCTCGGAAGTTCAGAGGCGTCGGAGCACGGCGGTGGCGATGGGGAACCAGCCGTTCAACATCAGCGGTTTGTACGCGGAGAGAACTGTTTAGAGTGGCTGCAGGATCTCCAGAGGTGCGTAGATCCACATCGATTTCCACGTTTTATGTGTTGTGGCCGTGTGCCTCCGGCATGTAGTAGACTACAGCAGCACAGCAGATACAACGCCCTATTGGGTCGAGGAGGTGCAATATATGAGCCGACACACAGCCGACGCTGCGCGTTGGGCAACATGGGGGCGTTGTCAGTTCTCACAGCATGGTGACTCTCGACCAATTGTTTCCGAATATTGACCCAACCTCCGCGCCTGCTCTAATAAACCAGGGCGCTGCGGAGAGATGATGAGAACACAAGAGAGATCTGCATCACCCTCTCGTCGTGGCGCGTGGTGCAACACAAGCTAGTTCCTCTTATCCTGGAGTGTAGGGACGACGCCGTGCTTGTCAATACCCTCTTCAAGATCTACGTCATGCTCACAATGCCGCTGTCCAAGCAGTCCGAAGAGGCTCTGTCAAAGCCTATCAACCCCAAGGCGCAGGGTGATGTTCGGGACCAGCAGATGCGCCGGAGAGAGAACGCCATGTCCCAGCAGGTGGGCGAGCTTTACATTGAAGTTTAGGACCAGCTGTAGACACTCAGGTGATAATGATTATCCTAGCCCGTTGCCGTTGCTCGCTAAATTTATACTCCATCTTTGTCTTTCTTTCTTCTGATCGGCTGTGAAGATTGTGTTGTGCCGTTCGCGAAGGCAATGGCAGCCGTTTTGCACAACTGCTGGACTCACAACGCAAGACTGCAAGGCTATGGTCCAGACTTGGTTCGGCATGATACAGCCCGTTTCACCTCATGATTCGCTTGCGCCATCTTTTACTCATTTGGCAACGAGCCACCAGATGCAAACTGCAGCAAGTTTTTTTTGTGAGGAAACTTGATCGTGTTTGCCTTCAACACAGGTTCAATCGATCTTGCGAGGAGACTGCACACCAAGGTCTCAGGGCGCAGGCGGTTCAGACTTGACTGGTTTTGCACTCTTTGCTGGAGACGAGCGGTCGTGTTGTGTACGCCTGGCATCGACTTTGTACATTCCATGCGAAGTCTATCCGAGTGATAAACAGCGGTGTTGCGCTGCGTCGTGCGACGTGAGCAGTGCACTCGAGCTTTCTCGTTCCGGCTGGAATGCGCCAAGTTCAGTTTACTGGCTCCCAGACTTCGTTTTGAGCCCAAGACGACAACATCCGTTTCAATACATGTGGGGTTCCTCCGTTGACGTTCGCCTACTCACGCATGCATGAACCTCTTGCGCCTTGGTGATCCTGAACAGGCCGCTCTGCACGCGTTCAAGCGTGCTTTCATCTCGAAGGACGTCCTTTCGGTCGTCGTGGGAATGCTCGAGGAACCGCTCAGCCACACTGGAGTGGCTCGTACGGACGCGGACAACTTTTCCATCGAGTTGTGCCTGACGCTGCTGAGAAACGTCCTCAACATACAAGACCCGACTCCCGGTATGGCCACGTCGCTGGGTGACCACTACACCCAGATGCACGAGCAGCTCGTGGCTCTTTTCAAGGACGCTCTGCTTTTAGACATCCTGCTGCTCTTGGCACAGGACGTGCACGCGAGAGAGAACGCCAAGCTCAACCTCCTCCTCGTCGAGATTTTCCACTTCATCATCCGGGACCAGGAGCCCGGAGCAATTATCGCAGTTCACCGATTGCAGGCGCAGAGAGGGGCTTCGAAGGGATCCGCTGGTTTGCCTTCGCCAGCTCGACAGAGCGGGGGCTCGCTCATGAGCGTTCTGGCGAAAGAGAAGACTAAGCGGGGGCTTGGGGCTGGGCAGATGCACAGGTGATGTTTTGTTTTCAGGCTCGGAAGTGCCGTTGAAGCGGTATTGCTAATCCCATGGGCTCACGTGCACATACCGATTGTCTGCATTTTTTATTCACCCTACGCTCACTCCGCGGGAGGTGCTGAACGAGTGTGAAGCGTAACGTGCCGTACGTGTTCGTGCTCGCCGCAAAGCCAGACTGCAGCAACGGCAAGACAGTATTTGACTGATACCACGCGATTGACCACCCCGCCCTTCCTTCGTTTTGGGTATTTTCGCGCACAGCCGCCACGCTAGGTTTGGGGGGACGCTGCAAGTCGGAGGAGGTAATGGGGCAAACGCAAAGATGGTAGCCAATCCCTTCAAGGATCGCGTGGATTGTGTACCTCAGGCAACCCGCAAGAAGAAGAAAAGTGCCAAGACATTTACGGTCGACGACGTTTCAGGACACTCTTCTGGTCTGTCGGACAGGTGACGCGACGACGGTGCTAACTTGACGCTACTGTAGTACGGTTGAGTCCATTTGTACGCCTGGGCACTCCATGTGTTGGTCCAATATAAGTGTGGTCCGACCGAAATGTTTGTTGTTGTTGTTATCGTCCTATTTATTATGGCGACAGCCCCACCATGTTTCGTGATGAGACGTGTACTACACGTTTCAGTGTTTGTAGAGTACTACACTTTTCAGTGTATTTTTTCGTACAACCACAACCATCCAGGGTCACACAGGAGGGGGTAAACACCAGGGCTTTTTTCTTCTTTTTATTTATATTTTCGTGCCCCACTTTCCTCCTGCGGTGCGTGCTGAATTTTATTTTTATCGCGAGAAGGGTCCAACCATCCCTTTCCCTCGTCAACGGTGCTAACGTCGAAGTTTGGTACTCACGAGAGCTTTTTCAGCTATATTTCGCTTTCACCCGCAAATTTTGTTAATTTTTCACCCCATGGGGATTCGACCTCACGACCCTTGCGACTAGCGGTTTTCGTGGATACCACTAGAACACCGAAATGTGCACTACTTTTTTTCTTCGATCTCGTGTCATAACCATGTGTACCTCTTCCTTTGTGCCTTCGCTGCAACAGCCACAAAGCAATACTCGCCCGCGAAGCCTTGTACGAGTTCTGCTGCTCGTTCCTCAAGACGGCGTATGACCCCTTCATGAGAAGCATCAAGGTGAGCCACTCCAAATCATTTTACAGGACGATTAATGTAGACGCCGGTACGGATACTTGGACCCTGGAGGTTGTCTCGTAGTCGGTACCATGAGCTTCGAGGATATCATCATCCTCTCCACTCTTGCAGCTAGTATTACATCTTAGACCTTTCGTGTTCCTCGCTGACTTGCCAATCAATTCCGGCATTTCGTTTGGTCAGAACGAGTTTCGCATCGACTCGTCTCGGTTGCAACCCGAGGACAAAGGAATGATGTTCCGACTCATGGCTTTCTTCATGAGCTTTCACCACAAGCTCCACCAAGCTGCGGTAAGGGATGCTGCTGAAGCCGGGCAAAAAGGTGTCGACCTACCCAAGTTTGAGCTGGGGCACGTCCTGGAGACGATGGACCTCATGTCCTTCAACTTGGTACTGCGGGAGGTTGAGACGTCCATTACGGAGAAGAGCACAACGAGGCTTGCAGGGTGCGTGGCCGTGCTCAAGGAGATGATGCATATCGTGGTGAGTGTTAAATGGAGGTGATCTTGATGACTGGCTGTCGTAGTTATGTTCCGATATTTCTGCGGTTCGTGTCATGGGTGGCAACAGGGCACGCAGTGCATCGAATGGCATTCAGTTGTTGTAGCGTCTCGGAAGTGCTGGAAGTGCTCCATCAGTCATCCGTCTCCACGGCGTTGTCCACTTTGTTTCCTCCTGGACCAGCCTTGCTTGGTTCACTGGCGAGTTGTATCAGTCCATGTCTTTTCTGGCACTCACGTGCTCTTGTCATCTTGGCGTTTGACGTACCAGACGATGCTCAACGAGTCTTCCGAGAAGGCGCACCAGCTGGTGGCGCTGGGTCTCTTGGCCAGAATATTCTACGCGTCGGAACCCCTCGGTAGGTCTTGTGATGTTGTGTAGCGTGTTGTGCGCCTGTCAGTAGTCTACGCAGGTTTTTCCAAGTAAGCAAACATGCTGGATAAAGTATAGCACTTGCTATGTTGGGGTTAGGGTTGGGGTCTGCGTGCCCCTTGCCTGTTTTTTTTCGTGATGACTTACTTTCTTCGCATAGGCAGTCCGCGCCTATCCCACTTGTGCACGCCACACGATCCTGCTGCGCGATTATGTTGCCAACGTCGCCTTGTATTGCGCCTCGCCGTCAGTGATGCTCTCGGGTCTCTTTTGTTGGGATTATTTCAGCAATATGCACCCGTACTCTCCATACCCACCTGTCGCAAAAGACACGTCCACGGGTCCACCGTCTACGTCTTGAACGAATGATTGTCACTTTTGGAAAGCAATGGTTTCGGCCATTGCTCCACCAGTGAGCCATTGCAGGGCCATGCTACGGCCACTGAAGGGCCACCACAGCTGCAACAATCTCTGAGTAGTTGTATAGGGAGACGTTGTTCGTAGGGCACAACCCGAGCAGGTGCATACGAATCCAATGAAACAATGTGGTTCTAGGGCCACCACTGGGTTTCAATGCGTACGCGATGGGGTCATGGCATCGGGCGATGTCAGACGGCGTCACCGGTAAGCATCCGTGAGAGGCCAGCCAGTGTGTTGGGCAAGTATATTGATTCGGAGGATATCGCGAAATATCGTTGGTTGCGCCGCATGAATCCGTACGTTGACTATCGCTTGATGCCCACGCTTACCCTCCCACAACCGTTTTCAGACAAGCTCCACGACATCGTGCGCAACTGGCAGCCTGGAAAGTACACCAAGAGCTTCCTCTGCCATGTAGTGGAGCTTGTCCACACCACGCTCAAGACTCTGGAGTGGTACAAGAAAGATAACCACACACACATCGGGGGCGTCGACGTTAGCTCGACGGATGGGCCAGACGCGAAAGGGAATGTCGACAAGGCTGTCAAGGACCGCGTCGACTCTGCGAAGAAGTTTGAATTTGAGCGCTACTTCCGGAGACTGGCGACCAACTCGTAAGTGTGGCCAACGGTTCACTACAGGCGAATCAGACGTTCTAGTTTATACCGAACTGTGCAAGTTCCTTTGGTTCTCTGTGCTTCTCTGGATACTTGCTGAGGTGGTTCAAAAACAATTCCTTCGCTGCTTTCGTATGGATTAGTGCTTCCGTGTCGACCACCTGCCTTCCATTTGTTGATTTAAAACTCATCCAGGCATCTCCACGCCCACCTCTCTCGCCTGTTTTCCATGAATGTTTCAACAGCACTGTACGCATGTACAGCAACCTGCTGGAGCACTACGCGACCAACAGCGCCCGGACGAATCACTACATCCTGTCCTTCATGATGCGTCTGTCAAACTTCACGGTGAGCGTCGGTTGTGTCTCTGATTCCGGCGAAAAGTACTCTACTATTTTCACCTCGGTTGTGTCGGTGGGCATGCTCAGAGCGAAGAGCAGTGGGGGGAAGGTATCGTGCTGTGTGTACTTGTGTTGACGGCACGGGATGCCGTACGATGGCACCTTCGGGCCACAGGACAACGTCGACAAGTCGGTGTTGCACTTTAGCGCGTGTCGACTCATGCATAAAAAATGTACTATATTCTGGTGGGGTAGTGTGGCAAGGCTGCGACCTTCTTCACCATGCAATTTTGATGGCCAACGCCAACCCTCATCTCACGTTGTTGACCAAACGATGAACCCGTCAGGGAGACGCCCCGAAGAAGCGACGAGGGGAGACCACCGAACAGGGCAGTGGTCAAGCCAGCGACAGAGTCACCTGCGAGCCTATGCTGTACAACGTCTACACTCTTGGAGTGTTCCAGAAGGTGTTGGATGATCCTTTCACCCGCAAGCCTTCCTTCAAGCACCTCGTGCACTTCATCCTGTAAGTGGCTCCCCTGGTGTTCGGATCGCTGACCACAAGTCGCGTATGACGGATGCCTGACACGGGACCTATACGTGGATTTCATCGGTGCAGTTCAAATCATCCCGTTGTCGAATGTTTACGATTAAAACTCTTGACGACGTCTATTGGCACAGGTCTGTCGTACGGCATTTCGGCATTCTGGCGCAGAAGAACCACTTGGTCTTCGTGGAGGCTTTCTTCCAACACCCCCAACCTCATCCCTTCTGCGAGAGTTTGGTCAACGTCTACCATACCGCTAGCTCCGCCCATCCCGAGGTGAGAAAATACAGACCTGATTATAATATCATGGAACGCTGTTTAAACTCGATCTCTTGTGGTACCAAGCTTAGTCAGGCTGATTCGTCACGTTCCTTCTGTTCACCCCAAAATGGGGCTTTGTGGAAATGCTCGAAAATCGTCGAGGATGTCTTCGTCCGGCTAAGCCTTCGCAAAAGTCACATGCCCAAAACTTCGTACTCAACAACATGGTAGAATTCGACTGCTGATGCGTACGTTTAGGAGAAAACCCGTCGAAACATGATTGGTGTGTTTTTGCCCAGTATTTGGGTTGTGTGGTGGGTAGGTCACATGCGATGCCACAGCTGGGAATCATGTCAAAAAGCGGCCGAAGCTGCCTGTCGCCAAGAAGAGCGGCCTACTATGTGGGCCGCGTTGTCACTCTTTGAGTAAAAGAGACCTACAAACGTTAAAGGAAGCGTTCGTTCTAGAACCTGGAGAAACCTGGATGATTTTCCCCTTCTCCAAGAAAATGTGAAAACTTCCAAGACTTGGAGGACACGGCCTGAAACAGGTATCAACTTGTTCTGAAAAGAGCCCGTTGGGGTGTCAACCGTAGTAGTTCACTTGCCCCAGACCTATGTGAGTGATTCCGTCCTCGGTTGAAGCTTCTCGCTACCATTTCCATCCCGTTTCCCGCGTGTGGCTCATGCGATCGTGGTAGGACCAACAATCGAGGAAGAAACGGGCCGCAACTAAATCGTTGGATACGGACGAAGAGAGCGGAAGCGAGGGCGAGGACTATCAACCCGTCACAGGCAAAGCGGCAGAGGGAGAAATTGGGGGGGGCGACGACGACCTGCCTGGAGTCGCCGAGGACGAGGAGGAATGGGACGAGAATGCCCCAGACGCGGCCGACGAAGAGGCGGAGGCGGGTGGAGATGGCGAAGGAGCGGTTTCCGGCAGGAAGAAGGGGAAGAGAGACAAAGCAGGGCGGCGCCGTCGGGAGGACAAGAAAGACGCGAAAAAGGTTGCAGCTGGGGCTGCCAAGAAGCGGGCACCGCGCTGGTCGAAAAAGGTAACTGCTCTACATGTAGTCGTATGTGTGCATCATACGGTTGCCATGAAGGTGCGGAGACTTAAAATATTGGGCATGCGTCTTAGCTCTGCGGCCTCGAAGGATTTCTCAGTATCGCGCAATGTCAATGATTCCTGTTGAATCTGCAAGGCCACTGATTTCATTCCATTTGACGGCTGCCGACATCACCATCAGGAGGACGCCTTCCTGCGCGAGCAGTACCCTCTGTACGCCGGCTCCACCAGCGCGGTTGCGGTGCTCAGTGCGGCTGACGACATGGAGGTGAAGCAACGCACAGAAGAGCAAATAAAGGCTAGGGTGAAAAAGCTCGGTTTGTCGGCGGCAAGCGCAGCTTCACCAGGGGAAGACGGCGGCGAGAGTGCGGACGAGCCTCTCGAGGTACCAGGCACCGAGAACCGGGCGTCGAGTGGCGAGGAGGACAACGCGATGGACGATGTTGGGGCGGACAAACCGATGCACGTTCGAAGGCTCGAGCGCAAGAACAAGACGGAAAGCGACGACGATTCGGAGGGCCTCTTCAGCTCTACGGAGGTGTGTAAGCATGTTGACCCTTGTTTGTTCGACTCGCACTTTCTCCAGTGTTGTGTAGTGCTTTTGTCATTTGTTTACTGAGTATGGTTCTTGTCACCGGCATGTTCCATCGAGAATCGAAAATGTCTCTGATTGGACAACTTGGTCTTGTCGCGCGGCGGGATGTTTGATATGGAGGATTGTGTTGCGAACCGTAATCGACATGGAAATATCAAAATAATACACTCTACAGATCGATTTCGAAAATCGAAAGTGCGAACGGGAATGCTTGCCAGCTGCTTGCCCGACTCTCTAAAATGGAAGATGCCTTCATTTCGCTACTCATCTGGCCACCTACAGACCGCTGTGGTGCAAGCATTTACCTTGGCATGATGGCGGCATCCAGCAGAGCACAGCATACTCTTCGCTGAGTTCGCGGCGTATCGGCGCGAGACTTAAGATTTTCCAACCCGCCTGATAATCGCCGACACCCGGGACTATCGCTCGCCGATGCCCTGTGGCTCTCATGGTCATGGTGTTAATCATCGCAACGCACACGTTCGGGCATTTTTGTGTCTGGGTAGAGTTGTCTCGCTATATAAAATCGAAATCGATTGTGATTTCGATTTGCAGAGTTTGGCTTCTTGACTTGACGCGTCCGATGAAGAAGTTGGTTCATCGTGCTCGAAAGGTGAGGCATACCAACTCACGTACGTCGGTGTCTCGTCTCCCTGCTGATTTATTGGCGAAAACATTGCAGGATAACGACCAAGAACAGCCTGACCGGAGCGCACAAGACGCGACTTCGCCACAAGCCCTGCCCCGATCCAATAAACGGGCAATTTTGGAGGACAGCAGTAGCGATGAGGAGTAACCCATTGCGTTGTCTCCAAGACTACCAGGCTAGATACATGTAACTGTTGCCCAGGGGGGCGGTGCAAAGCAAATCAAGAGCTGGCCGCCGCCTTGAAGTCGTTGTTCCATACAGCAAGTGCCCCACCCGCTCTACAAATTGTACGGCGGAGGGTGTGCGTGTTTGTAAATTTTGTCAACCTGTTGTCCCAAACAGGACGTGCTCCATCCTTTCCACAAATGACGGTGCGGCGGTGTATATGTATACCCTCCGTCAGTCAACGACCTCGTGCTGCCTGCTCGGTCCAAAAAGTGTATCGCTCAGAGAGGGTGTATCCCCTTGCATGTTGGGTTGAACGTCATACGGGACAGCAGTGTGTAGCACAATGCTTTGATGGTGTTCATTTAATATTGAACATCAGGCTTGACGAAGTCTGGCTTGAAACCCCATACGGTGTATGGCGACAGGTCACACGCCCGTACGGCAGTTTTGCTTCTGCTTTTACTGGTCGCAAAAATACAACCAGCAAGAGACCTTCCTCCTGCCTCATGACAACCATAGCAAAACCAACCCCCCGTTACTTCAGTGCCACGTATTCGCAGACCCCGACTCCCTTCTTGACAAAACTGAGACCATCCTTTTCCTTCGCTTGAATCGACTTGAGCGAGTCAAAACATCCGCGAACACGGCCGATCGGCGTGACGGATACCGTGCGCCATCTGCCGGGGCCAAAGAAACCCCTTTCTATGCACGATGGGCGAAGCTTGCTCATTCTCCACGCCCGTACGGACGTTTAGCTTCCTCCTCTGGCACGGTACTACTGCTGCATTGTGTGGATTCCGGGCAAGCGAGGCGGACGAAACGGGCGGGAGACAAAAAGACGTGACTCAAACAAACCTCACGATATCGAAACATGTGCTGCGTACGCGTGAAAAATAAATGCACGTTGCTATCAACAACGATATGGAAGGGAACCCCCGTGGTTGGATTTAGGTCTCACGCCACACTAGCTACAGATTGGGCAAGGATGGAAATGACAAAGAAGCATCATGGGTGAGGGCTCAGGGGGGATTTCACATGTAAAATTCATTGGGTTGCCTTTGAACTTATTTCCTTCGACCACCCTTGGTTGCTTCAGTGAGTTAACCAATCGTCACAAAAACCAATTTACTTGGTTTGTATGCATAGCACTCAACAATAGCATGGAAAGTCGAGACCAGTTGTGCTCGGAAGTGGTGTGGCAGGGGTATGGCAGCAGAAACACGCTGCTGCACTGCAAGTACGTGTCGCTAGAAGACCCGCGCGTGACAATGCCAACAAATGGTACAATATACCGTCCAATGTTCTGCAACACTCAAAACTCACCTGAAATTTGCCGAGGATGTCCTCATCGCGGAACAAGCTGAGCTCCTCATCTCCCAGTGTCAAGGTCGTCCCGCCGTACTCCGGCAGAAGCACAGTTTCCCCAACCTTTACATTCACTTCAATCTTTGTTCCAGACCCGGTCACACGACCTGGCCCAACCGCAACAACCTCGCCCTCATTCGTCTTGCCAAGCTTACTGTCGGGAAGATAGACTCCACCGGCTGTCTGCCATGGCGACGCATGCACCCAGAGAAAAGCGGTCGGGAGGGATGTCGGGATGCAACAGACAAGCAGTGTGCGGCAGCGGAGACAGGGGATGCCTACACAGCAGTATACACCTTCGGCGTGGGGAATGTGCGGTGCGACACGTATCTACACCGACACGTTGCAGTCCACCAAAGCAATGGCAATATGGCAAATCGAGACAACACGAACTAGACTACAGAGGCAAGGCCACCACAACAAACAACCCTTGCATCACATGGCCCTCACCTGCGTTTTTGCTACCAGTCGCCTGACCAAGATACGGTCAGCCAGAGGTGCGAACTTTCTCGCGAGAGAGGCCTAAAATGGAGCCGGACAGGGAGGGATATCGGAGGGCTGTCAGGCACAGTGAACCGCGGCTCGAGAATCTGAGCTCAGTTAGGTGCGAATGCAACGAAGCTTGGCAACCATAGAGGGCTCTTACCATTATAGAAAAATTTCTTCTCTCTCGTGGCTGGGTGCTAGTGATCGTGGAGACTGGAGAGCGGAACGGCAGTCAGTGCTGGCTGCTGGCTGGGGCGGGGTGTTTAGGGGGTCCGCAGAGGAGAATGCTGGGCAAAGGTGGGGTGGCGCCGGGGCAACGGACACTCTTTGGCTCTTTGGCGTGGTGGATCGCACATCACATGATGCATGACATGGATGAGCATGTGTGAGCCCACGGAGCCTGACAGCTGACGACCCACCGACAATCAAAGAGCAACATGCTGCATTCGTTTGGAAAAACAAATACATATGATATCTCTCGTCAAGATTGATTCAACTCTTCTCGGGATGTTGTCTCCCTCTCAGCACAGCCTCTTACGTAACAACCTCCCAACTTGCCCACACATGACGCCGGTCGCGCCGGGGCCTAGAGGTCAACCGACCTTTTGCAAACCTACGATCGTAGAAACAAATACACCGAGAGGTGAGTAGACTGGCGCCACAAGAATCGTGAGGTGCTTTCAGGACGAGACAAAAACAGATCGCGAAAAGATTTTTGGCGAAGATTACGTCTCGCGGACGTGGGAGCCATCGTATGCATTCCAGGGTGCCAAAAAGAATACAAAAAAACAAACGTAAAAACTTGAACCCTCACGCAAAGTCACGGCGAGCCTCGAACAGAGTCGGCGCTTCTTCTTAAGTGGTTGCGGTATCTGTAACCTGGCAAAGAGCCTTCCAACTGGAGATTTTGGAACTTCGAACGGCCTGATCCAAGTCAGGATTCTACCAGTCAGTGTAGTCTAGTCTAGTCAGGACGCAATCAATCCGACATGCAGGGAAATGTGGGTGGAACAACACCGCCCAACCACTAAACTGAGCCCAAGCTAGCCTTCAATCGAACAGGTCAGGACAGTTTCAAACACGTACACATTTCACCAGGAACCAACAATTCCCAATTCCACCGGCACGTTGCGTGTTGATACGCATTTTCACAAAAGGCTTCGAAACTTTAACTTTTAGTTTACCAAAACATCAAATGCCTCAGATAGATCCTCCACAACAGACTTCAACACAGAGTAGCTTTTCACTTCGGCCGTAAAAACTGAAGCAGAATTTCAATCGGCCCTGTCTTTTCCGCCACAGTGCACAGCACTTGAACCTTGGCAAAGATTTTGATTTTTGCGTCAGTCCACTGGTGGGTGACTGTCGACGATGCAGTAAGGTGAATTGTTCCCTCGAGCTCGTCGTACGTCGCCGCGATGTCCGGTATCTTGTCGAGAAACAGCCGAGACGTCACTCCTAGACGTGGGATGTTAACCGTGAAGCTCTGCTCACCGACGGAAATGACCACGGCTTCCTCTTCAAGAGGATTGGACGCGACATGCACTGCCAAATACACCTGGCGAACAAAGCGGACGGACACGGCGCAAGAACATAACGATGTTGACCATTGACCCTTCCTTCGTCCCGTTTCGGAAACAGAGGCACTGGACACAAACGCAACTCTTGACAACCTGAAACCATGGATTCAAATGGAACGTTTTCAAGTCTGGGACATTCGTGAAATTGTCGACACCGCTGACCTCATCGCTGCGTTCTTGCGCCGCCTTCGCCGCCAGTCGTTTGTAGTTGCAGTGCTGAGCTGTCTTTTCAATGGCATCCACTTCGTATGAGCTTTCCACGGTCCCGTCCAGCGTTGCTGTCAGAATTCGATGCACCATAACGTCTGCATACCGCCGAATAGGGCTAGTGAAGTGTGTGTAGACGGGGATGTTCAAAGCATAGTGCCGCCAAGAGTCTGCTGCTCCCGCTGCCACATATTCCGCATTCTGCATGGGAATAGTTGCCATCATCGTGCACACCTGCGAGACAACATAGCAATAGTTGGTGAAGCAGCATCGTTACAAACAGAACGTGCACAACCGGCAGACTGCACCATAACATAGTTGTGGCTTGACACGCCACCTGCGCCTTGCTTGTAAATATTCAATGCTTGCTTCCGTCTGTGAGTACCCCAGCACAAGTCCAACCTGAGCGATTTCTTCGTCGTTGCACTGGGTACGAAGGCGCAGCAGGGATGCCTGGATCGATCCCGATGACGTTATGTCGATCTCGATGCCGCATCCAGCGAGAGTTTCCTTTAGAGCGTTCAGCCCTGGTACGTACGGCGAAGGTGCAAAAACACCCGGACCATGAGCACTCACGGTTGCTTTGCATGCGTGGATAGATTCCTCAAGTACATCAACATCCAGAGTGAGTATCAACACTTTACCCGAGCATACGGCACCGCATGAAACCATCTAGAGCCTGCAAGCGTATTTTTACGTTTCGTGGTGGTCCTCCTTAGGGAGATGTTTCCATCGAAAAAGCATAAAACGGGGGAGTCCGGGACAAAAATAGACACTGAACGGCCTTACCGTACCTGGTGAAATCGGCGGTGGATGCATCCGAAGAAATGCTCGGTCGTCTGCCCCTTCCACCATCTGAAAAACATCGCGTGTGAACGAACGCGAACTCACAAGTAAACGCATTCCCGTGTTGGGTTACGATGGATGGTAGCACCAGATTTACACTTACTCACCGATTCGTCTACAACAAAAACGCTGTCTACAAGCAAAAGTCCTGACCGCAGGAAGAGGCAGAAATCATGCAGCTCACGGTTAAAGCCGCAAATTCGAATGTCGTATTTGTGACGTCAGGTCAGGTACGCACGCACGAGAAGATTGCACACCACGGTTTTCTGTGTTCTCCTAGGAAAACGGTCGCACCTGTTGCGCCACCAGAAAATTCGCCAGAAGCATGTATTCCTGCATACACGAACCGAGCAAAAAATGGTAGTATGAGGGCCACCGATTACACCCTGTCGCAAAATTCTGTCCAACAGTCGGTCTTGAGTTGGAACGACTGTCGGACGGACAGCGGAAGCATGATATGTGTCAAGACCTTCCAAACAGAGCGGAAGGAATGGACTAACCTGCGGGCGAGAAATGAGATACGGTCCTAGTCGGAAAAGAAATGTCAATCCTCACCTCAACAAGTCTATTGCTGTCCCTGATTGGATACGACCCGAAATCAGCTGGGTTGCCGTTGTCGTCGAGTTTGAAAGTCAGCTTCGGTGTGTTGAGGGAGAGCGCACCACTCTCGAATCGTTTGGCTCGCCGCCTTTTAGCTAAGGAGTTCATCAGCAGAACATCCTGACAGACTTCACCGCAAGTAAACTCTGTCGGTCGCCTGGCAGAGGAAGAAAGCAGAGATAGGCATAACAATGGCGTCGTCAGGTGGAAGCAGGATACTTTCGGTGTGGAACTACCGCTGCGTTCTTTGTGGCAGTTGTTACCTGTTGCGGTCCCATAGCTCAGGTGATGTCGACGATGCGCTGTCGGGAAGAATGGTTCCCTCGATCATGTATTGAGCCGTCTGATAGTCTAGTTTGCAACATGACCGGATCACGGTTCGTCCGAACCATGCAGGCTTGTCGACGAGAGTGCCGTCAACGTTCATGCGCCAGATGCACGAGTATGTGAGCCGGTCCACTTGAGGGTTGAGGCTGCAGAGCTCTTCGCACAGCAGCGGCGGAAGCATCGGGATGGCTTGTTGAACGAGGTACACCGTGGTGGCTCGCCGGCGGGCTTCTCGGTCAAGGTCAGAGTTGGGCCGGACGAAGTACGTCACGTCTGCGATGTGTACTCCGATCTCGAACGTTCCATCAGCCAGAGGGGTTATACTCAGCGCATCGTCTAGGTCCCTCGCCCCCGTCGGATCAATCGTGAAGATGCGAGTTGCCCGCAAGTCGCGACGTTTGCTGATTTCTTCTTCCGGGATTTTCCACCTGGATCCCCTGATGTCGGCTCCGGCGTCGATGCCGTCCTCAGCGTTCTTTGGAGGTAAGAACGCTTCGAGGCCACGCAAGACGGTGCGAGGGAAATCTCCGTGATTGACACCTGCGGAGGAGGCCAAAAAACCCTTGTGGTGAGAATACACACCTTTATTAAGTATTGACAAGATTAATTTCAAGGCATACAACTGTTAATATGCACTCATGGCACTGGTCCCAGACGGTCAACTTGACTAACAACGAGTCCATCATGACAAACTTCCGTACCATTCTGACACAGTAATGCCTTGGTCTCGGCGTGTATCGCCCCTGCTTCTCCCACGAAGCGCACGTTGTGCCCCCACGGCAGTTTTGAAGTCGCAGACCAAGTCCCCTTGACACAGGCCATGAAAATGGAGTTTGCATACGCTCCCGGGTTGTCGACGAAGATTGACGGAAGCTCCCCTCTCGCTACAAGCATGTGGGGTACTCTTCGATCGGTAGGATGGAACATGACGTATGAATCCTTGTCGGATAGCTTGCCGTCGGCCTTCAATGGGCTCGACCATACCAAGGAGCCCATGTGATCTTCCTGGAGTCCACGGAGAGTCATGTGCGAAGCGATACGCGTGTGAAATACACGTCATTGGAACATACGACATGGCAGCAGTACAACGCATGCATGTACGCCAAGCTTTGGCAAACACCGAAACAGAGCAACGCACAGAACACAAGGTTTGCGGGAAGACGATGCACAGCCTGTCGCTCACCCTATGAGCGCTCTCCATGATGAACACAACCTTGCCGCGTGGCTGCAGATTGCCTTGTGCGGCGAGAACACCAGCCTCGCACAGGTTGTCTGATCGATTCCCGCCTTGAGCACCACCAGCGACTTTCGGCGACGGTCGCCACAGCCCGTCCACTGGAGGTGCCACTTCCGGTCCGTCCCATGCCGGACAAGATGTAGCACCCTTTGTTTCATCAGCACCCGCCGAGTTTTCTGTGATTGAAATCGACTCAAGAGCTGCTGCCAACCCCGCAATGCTCGATCGAGCCGGTGCTTGTTTCAAGGGCATCCATTCAGTCACTGGCGCAAGCTCGACTACCACCTGCGGTCAAGCATGCGACAGGCGGCTGAGACACGAATGTTTCAACAGTTTTGTGGCAAGCTTACACTCTGGAAACTGGGTGCCAGACTCAAAATGGCAAGATGGAAGAGCAGGTGTTTTGATTTTCGCGCAAGAGGGCTAGAGACGATGGATGCCAACACGGCAGTGACCAGAGAACAAAAATGAACAGAAATGAAGAAAAACATTTACACAAAGTTCCGACGGCCGACGGCGTACGGTTGGAGACTTGTTACGGAAAACAGAGGTGCCACCACTTGACCAGACGTGGCAGCGATACATATGCGGGATGTCACTGCGGTACCGTAATGCCGCGCACGTGCTCCTCACTACTGCAAAAATAAAAAACCTACCAGATCGCCTTCTTGTGCGCGATTCCGGGCCTTCTCCGATTCAAGGAAAATATCCGAGAGCAACACACCGCCATCTGCCGTGACGAACGCAGTTGACCTACGCCGTGCGTTGATGCGAAGTTTCCCTTTCAACAATGTGCCATCTCGCAGCCCCTTCTCCACATCCTGAGACAGTGCACAGAGATAAATGAGGCATTTTCGGTGAATGTCGTAGGATTGGTTGAAAGAGTTTCCAACAGGCCGCCAATACACCACTCTTGCGAATTACGCGAGCGATGCCAGTAGTAAGCCCAACTTTTTCCTCCCGTTCCTTTTGCTGAACCTGAGGTTTGTCCTAGACATGTGTATACTACACGGCAACTCTCTCGATCGCTCCATCCATCTTGTAGCCATCCAAGGCCATGGAAAGACTTCAAGACCGTTCGGGGGACTCAATTAAAAGCATGGGATTCCCCGTGTAATCAGTTTTCATTAGGTGAACCTATGTTTTGAGCTGAGCTCTCCAACTACGGCGGTAGCCACGTGCAAGGCTTGCGGCGGCAAACCGCCGCTACCTCTCCCTTGGTTGCTACCCACAACTGCTGGAGCTACGGAGGCTTTATGCCCGTGTCTACTTGTTTCAATAATACAACCTTCGCGATAATGTTATCGCTCAGCTGCTGTTTACGGCGCCCTCTATGACTGCTCTTCCACCAGATCGTATCGTCGCAGTATGTGGAGGCCCCAAGTTTCGCAGAGCGTGGGCTATTTCCTTTGGCGGCATGTGGCGAGGAATACAAGCGAGACCGATCGAAGTCAAGCTATAATAGGGTGAGGCTTCGTGGACTCACCATTTAACGTCCTTGTAGATTCTCAACAACTCACCGTCGTCGAGTGTCGCAGTGTGATCTCCAAAACAAAGCGATATATTATCTATTCTACGGCACATGACAGATCCCTACTCTTCATCTTGCATTTGTGTGTAGCAACATTATCCTGACTGCACAACAACTCTACATCTACTTGTAGACGACCACCTTTCATCAGCGGTAGCAGTAGTTACATGTACAGCAGTAGTAGAGACAAGGAACGGGGGCTGCTGTAGCAAGGTACCACTACTTTTCATTATGCTACTGCTGTACTATGTAGTGCAAATAATATATTATTGACCCTAGACTATTCCGTTACCACCAACATCGAACAAAAACACTCACCCTTTGTGGCATGTGGTCTTGGTAATTTTTTCTCCGGCGCTGTTGCCCCCTACCCGACGTCTGCGGCGCTTGTACAAGCTCGGTGTCGTTGGCGACATACAGACTGCCTCTACCGCGCCCTACTCTTCCGCCACCTCTACCTCTGCCCCTTCCGCGGTGGCCTCTTCCTCTTGCGCTCCCATTCATCGTGCACTGTGATTCACAATCTTGTTTCCTCTCGGTGGTGGTTGGTCCACGGTTCGTGTGACAGCAGTGAACACTGCCGTGCACGTGGCGCACTGCCGAGCGCCCAACTGCCGAAAGGTCGTACCGGTACACCGGTACATGTTCTATCCCCTCGTTGCCCTCCAAATAGAATCAGCAGTCCCCCCACGCCTGCTGCGGAGCTCCTCCTCTTTGTCTCTCCACCATCTCACCATCTCGCCATCTCCCCCCCAAGCACACGGACACCTATCTGCCCGTGTAGCACGCCAACAGATCGCTCAACATACGCTCTGGACGCAGCTGACTGACGTTGGCAAGCGCAGATCCGTGGAAGCTACGCTGCTGACGGCTGTGTGTGGATCAGGAAAGTTGGTTTGGGAGAGCTACATAACCGACAGGAACGCAAAACTCCACCCGCAGGAAACACTGCTCGCTCGCGCCTTCAGCTTTCTGGGAAGCACGCGTGCGACCCACAGCAACACAACCTATGACCAGCACAGGACCCCCTTCGCCCGCCACCAGAGTTCCGCCGGAGCGCAATGTACCAGCTCGTGTTTCGATGGAGGGCTCAAGGCGAAATATTGCCGATGACAGGGGCGAAGGTAGCTGCAGATTGGAAGAGACATCGAGTTAGACGTGTGCGAGGGTTACAGCGAAACCTTGTGTGTGCTCTTGTTCCTGCGCTGAATCTCCCTCGGCAGCGTAGTGGCACGGGTGCTTCCTATCTCTGGTTGAATACATGCCTGTCGACGTCATTCCTGATTTCCTCTCTGGCGGTATGCCGGCTTTTTTTCAGGAGCACGCTCCGGTGATGGTGATGCCACGAACGGGGCGAGCAGAAACCGAGGCCTGCGGCAAGACCACCCTGAACGCGGCGCGGCATCCGAGGACGACGACAACGAAGACTCTAAGGCAGACTCCGACGGCATCCGTCGAGGCCCGCTCTCTTCAGCAAGCGATAGGCCGAAAGGTCATGCGACATCCGACAGAAAGGTGACGAGACGTTGAGAAAGGCAACTTGGCAGCAGCAACTCGGTTTGATTTGTCGGCCCCGGTGGTTACGCAGAGTAGAGCGGGTCCTTGTAGTACACCTTCTAAAGATTGCAGCCAAATCTATCTCGGGGAGTGAATCGTTGCAATTGGCAGGTGGAAAGCGATCATTTCGTGAGTCAACAACATATGAGGGAAGAGACTGCTGAGTTCTTCCTTGCCAACCCCATCTAGCACTGCTGTGTAGGCTGTGTAGTCTTAATCCAAGATAAAAAATGGCCAGCGGAAAAGTCCCTACTTGAACATGCACATAATTTTTCCAGTACTTATAGACACCATGGAGGAGCGGCACGCGCGTTGGCACGCTCACATATGTTGCTGCGGCCGTGCTGTAGAAAGCTCTGCAGCTGCAGTCCGAAAAGTCTGAAAAATCTGGGTCCATACTAATATGGGCGATTGGGTGGGTCTGTGACAGCACGTACGCGTACAGCAGTATGGACCCAGATTTGCGGGCGTTTCGGACCGTGATTGCAGAGCTTCCGACAGCACGGCCCCAGCAACACAATTGGGCATGCCAACGCGCATGTCGCTGCTCCATGATATCCTCTATGCATACGAGTGAACATGTCCAGGTCGGGACTCCGCAATGCGATGAGCTTTCTTTCACCACCGGCCGTGTCGCCTGTGTTGTCTTGAGTGTAGACTTGTGCAATATGTTGTCTTGGTCTGAGAAGGTGTGGAGGTATTGCAGTGGTTCGTGGTACTGCTGTATGATGTTGCAGACAGGCACCAACCGCTGCTCTGTGTGACAACACCGGATTTTTTGTTTGTTGCGCCACACTTCCCGACTGGTCTTCCGTGTCTCGTGTGAACATCGATTGGCAAACCCTAGTACTAATCTTTAAGGCAAGCACCGCAGGGGAAGGTGGGACGAACAGGAATAATCCCAGTGTTACCTTGCTCCTGTGTGACCCGGACTGATAAGTATGCGTCAAATATGTTCATACCGAAAGGTACGAACTGGCGCCAGAACCAATGGGACGAAAACATACAACTCGCACACAGCAGCAGTAGCGCGTACGTGGACTCGTTCGTGCATCACTTGTACTACGATCTTGCCCCCCCCGACCTCAAGAGCTCCTATCCTGGTTCACTCAGAAAACTTACCTGGGGTGCGCTTTGAGTTCGTCCCATCCCCCACGTGCATTCATGGAACACCTACACATCCGTATGATGTGGTTACGGAATGCGGAAAGAGGATCGCTGTTATGTAGGTACTGGCAGCGTACGTGTTGCGAGTTGTGCGGCTATGTCCACGACAACCTGCCATAGGCATGAAGGGGCCATCTTTCTTACTGCCTGACCCCTAACAGTTAACCCTTGTGCTCATGCAACTTTTATCGCCTCTTTCCGCAATGCCTAATTTACAGGACGAGTTCCCTCTGATTTCTGTGCCTCTGGACACATGGGTTGGGCGGTTCGTGCGCATCACCACCCCGAGACACAACGGCACAACAGGCCTCGTCCACAGGACAGGCAACGGCTGGGTGAATCTGCAGACCGCGCTTGGGGACGTTGCCAAGCGCGCGTACGATCTGGTTGTCATTCCTGAGGAGAGGGCCAACATTGGCAGCATCGGTGGTATGCTGAAGGCGGACGCAGCTCGCGGCAAAAGATACAGAGGAGGCCCAAAGGGTGAGTGCACCCTGCTTGTCGCTGCGTTTGATAATCGCCCGTCCTGCTGGAGCCGCAAAGAGAACTGGGTTGTTCAATATTGATATGCAGACGTCTTATGCGCAGGTGGGGCGGCCGTAGGCAGCAACTCTGGATCTGGAGACGAAAGGAAGGGTGGTGGTCCGTCTCGTAATCGCAGCTCGCGCACCACGGCGCGCACTGCTCACTCCAGTTCAGATTCCAGCGGCCAGGTAAAGTAGCCGTTAAATCTGTGTTGCGTTTTATGATCCACGACGTACTGTGTTGCGAAGCCTGGAAGCAACTGCGTGCGCGGCCACGTTTTCTTTTCTTAAAGCTGTGTCTGTTGCAGCATTGTAGAACATGGATGATACCCTTGATAGGCGAGTTCACGTTGGTGCACTTCCAAATGCCACTCGACCACATGAAGCTTTTAAGACGACGCCAACAGGCAACCCGAGTTGCTTTGGTTCACATCGTGTGCCAAAATATGCCAACCTTCGCCAGCTAGGATTGCAGATCGGTGTTGTGGCCTGTCCGTGATATTCTTGACCCTGTGATTTTTTTCATGACATCATTTTTTTGTTTTGTGCATGGATGTGTTTCTGCTTTCCAGGAGGACGATGACGGGGACGAACATGGCAACGGCCGCTCCACTCGCCGCAGACGAAGGGCTCCCATGGATGACGATAGCGATTTTGAGGACGCTGACCAAGGGGACGACGAGGATGATGATGGAGACGACGACCACCGCTATGACGGTGGGGCTAAGATGAGAAACGTGTCGAGGGGCGGTGGCAGGGGGTTCCCTGGTGGAGGGAGGAGTCGGACGATGGCGAAGGGCGGGGGTAGGGAGAAAGGGGACAGGTATGGAGGGGGAGAACCTGTAAAGTCTTCTGGGAGGATGTCCATCACGTTCACACGGCAGGATGGAGGTGGCGGTGCCAAGCAGAGGGGAAGGGGCGGTGAGTACGACAGGATGAGGGAGCGTGAGCGGGGCGGCAGGGGGGAAGCACTCAAAGGTGGAGCCGGCAGGGATCGGGATGGAATGAAAGGAGACAGCTTCTTACCGATCGGCAGGCACAAGGAGAAGGACTCTGATGTTGGAGGCTCCCGCGCCAAGAGAAGGGACGTGATTTCCCACTGTTCTGCTGGTGACTCAGAAGACAAAGTGGGAGCGGGCGGCTCCTACAGAGAGCGTGTGGACCGCTCGAGCAACAAGCTCGTTGCCGCGAACAAAAAGGTTGGGCGCTGTGTTGGCTCTGCCTCTAGACGTAGCGAGGCACCGCTGGGTGGTCGAAACGCCATTTGTACCTGTCATTTGATGCTATTGATGCTTGTATTGCGTGGCTGATGGATTGTATAAATATGCGTCACCGCCCGTTGTTCTACCGTTAGGACGAGGAGGTGATAAAGTCGTCATGGGTTCACCAGATGCAGAAGGCGAAAGAGCGGCCGAATCTGGTGCATTGGCGCGATGAACTAGTGGCTATCACGAAGGACAGCAGCGAGGACTTTGAGGATGCCACACTTAGCGTGGAGCTCATGAGGGTGCGGTGCGATGTGTGCTACCACGAGAAGTCGGTGAGTTCCTTCGGTTTGCATGGAAGTCAACAGCTGTGTTTGGCTCTTTTGTTATAGGGGTACTCCACGACGTTGGCACCCCTAACATGGCACATGGAGACTGAGAGAAGTATTATTCCCGAAGTAGAATGTTTGATGTGTTTCATGTATTGGGCATACATTTTGCAATACGAAACCAACGTTTGGCGTCCTACCAACAGCCCAACCCTAAGCCTCACCGCAACCCACGCCCAAACGCGGCTGTATCGCGCGTTCTGGACGACGAGGAGAAATGGCCTATATTGTATTGATCAGCCTTTGTCTGGTAAGGTACGGGTGCCAAATAGAGGCGGTAAAGGCTACTGCTTTGCCACGGTTGTGTTGTTGCTAATTCACCAGAGAGGACGTTTTCGGAGGATAAGCGTAACACACGGCGACCGTTTCAGTTATGGTTTTTCGAACAACTGCAGAAAATGTTGACCAAGCCTTTTCCTTGCCGCTCAATAGCCCCTGCCTTCGGTGCAAAATTCGTACGTTTATTCCGCAGGATGGCGACAAATTTTGCTGGAACGAAAAGTGCTGGATGTCGCCTGTTTTCTCTGGCTACTGCCACACAGGCGCGAATGACGAAGTCATCGCGCCGACCCCTGTACAGCAGAGTGCGGGATACATAAATACGTTCGGGAGGGAGACCCTCATCGACCCGGCGTTGACCAGCGCCCTGCAGGCACCTGTGAAGGTAGATTCTTCTAGATTGGCATCCACCTGTTCGTTGCAAGGTATCACTTCTGCGTACTGCCGGCCAACGCATATTTTTGTAGAAAAGACGACAGCAGTCCATCCTGCTGAGCAGTGCTCAACGTGGACATGACTCCCATTTTTTTTGTGTCTTTTGATGTTGTCATGCTCGTTTTACGCTACGCGTTGATAAATCTGGCAGTTTTTGTGCAAAACCTTTCATGGTCCTCTGCTGGCTGCACAGATTTGTCCAGAGCTCGGTTTGGCAATCCTGCACTAGCAATTCTTTCGATGGTGAGACAGTAAACTGGTCCTTACTTGCCGCCGTCTTGGGCGGTTATGTTAGGACTAAGAGCCATCGACCAAGCATCACCCGGTCGCACCAACCAACCCACACTACTGTTTTGACTTGTTTTGAATCAGTGGTTGGAAACCAAGCGGAAGAGGAAGCTCGAGGCACACGAGGTGTTCTCGGAGGACCCTGCGCTATACCGCTGGCAATGCTGGGCTAGCCTAAGCAAGAACCCCAACTCCAAAGACCCCACATTTGTCGAAGACCCAAGGTTCCGAGCTGCAGGGGTAAGAGCAAACGCTGTGCGTCCGTCAGTTTTGTGCGAATGTGGTTGAAAGTTGTGCCGAGCACCTCTGGGTGTGCAGGGAAGTAGGTCTCGGACTCCCGTCTGTACATATTTTGTCCAATCTATACAATCGAACGAGCCTGGTTTTGGTCTTGTTTCAGCCAACTACGCCATAAGTCCAGTGTCGCGACACGTTTGCGGATTCGGGCGAACACGTAACCATGTTCACCACAAGCATCCATGTCTTTGCATGTGTACCGTGTCTTGCAGAGGGGGGACAGTGCTGACAATGGTCGGAACGTGTCGAGTTCAAAGCCATCGCCCGAGAGCGGTGGAGATATGGTCCGCCACGACGAAGGAGATGAGATGCACATGGACGAGTCTGCCTCTGGCAGAGGTTGGGCATGACTCGAAGTTGACGCGCTGCACAACTTGCGTCTGTTGCGAGCGTGTGGATTAAATGTTGACATTCCGATCAGGGCAACTGCTACGTACGCATTTGAAGTCTTCATGACCCTTTTCAGGGTGCACACGCTTTTCTTGTACTTTGTACACAAGAGCAGTAGACATAATAGACAGCAGTGACAGGATAACATCGGAGTACATCGATGGTGTTGCCTTTAAAAAATCAAATTGTAGGTTGGTTGTTCCAACATCCCGAGAGCGACATGGGTGTGGGTTTAGGTAGCCGTTCCACAGGAAAAACAGCCCTGGCGAGGATAACTGAGGGATTTCAAAGACCGTGCCCGTGTTCGACATGTGCGCATCTTGCTTGGGTGGTCGTCTCTGCAAGAACGGACGCTAGTGTACCTCTTGCAACGTTGTGTGCACTTTGCTTTTTGAGCACAACGATGCTTGCCACGCGGTGCGCGACAAGAATGAGATCGCGGGTGGTGTTCATTTTACGCGGCGAAATTGATAGATATCTAGTTCCACCGTCAGCAGAGTGTAACAGCAGCAGAGGGTTCGTATACTCTTCCTGGGGGATTAAACGCGTTGAACAAGCTCTGGTTGACAGCAGTAGCAGCACTCCCAAGCGTTTTCGAAACACCACCTGTTCATCTACCGCTGGACGAGTTAACACCAGTGGTATGTTCCGCAAGAAAAAAAAAGCAACGCAACATGGAACCATGAGTTTAACGCAACTACGTTTAACGCAAATACGCCAAAACAAAATAAATTACCCTGCCTGCCTGATAGTCTACCTCCCACGAGCCCACCATACCAGGTTGAGCAACAGGAGTAATAAACTCCTTTGAGCAGTTGTTGGCGCAACGTGGATGTTGATGCCAAGTTTTTGTTCAGAAAATGTACCTCCCTAGTGTTATACGTTCTACACCCCATTGACCTCTCAATAGGACAACAAAACTTGCGACGCGAAATGCGTCATCTAAGATGCTTCCGCGTCCCACCCCTCTTTACCCGATGACACCAAACGACTTTGGTTCTGAGCGCCAGTCTACACCTTTCGGTACACTTGATGTATCAGACGGTACTGTGATGCTGTGATACCGTAATTGTGAAAAAAAATATTACGGCTTACGGCTTAGTCTGGACTGTTACAGGTCCCGAAACCATCGTGCAACAAGAAAGCCTATAAGAAGCCGGACGCTTGTTCTTGTCGAGAAGTTTCTTCTCGCCGGGTCCCTTCGGACTGCAATTTTGCGCGCCAGCTTTCACGTTTACGGCGCACGTGCCACACGAGCCACCACCTCCACAGTTGTAGATCTTCCCCTGCAATGGTCATGTTGCAAGCGGTAGAGCCAACGTTAGTACAACCTTCCAAGAGGAAACGCGCGTCCGTCCACACGTACGTTTCGGCAGCAAAAAAAGCCACCGGAACAGATTTAACTTGGCGTCCACCCAGCAGCTGTCTCCATTTAACTCGGCACCTACTTGGCGTCTTGTCTATAATCGAGTAAATTTGGAATTACGCCGCTTTCTTCTGGGCACCGCAGTAGAACCAATCAGCTCACAGACCAATACACATCATGAGCCGGGAGACTGGGAGCTGCAACTTGCGCATACCACACGCCCACAGCAGGATAGAAGCAGCAGAGACACTCCGGTTTCCGTGTGTACGAAGTTTCGTAACGTTAACCCACACTTAATGGCAATCATGAGCACGCAGTAGCACCACCGAGACGACACGGAGAGCTTAGAAAACGCGAGGAAATAGATCACACACGCATTTTCATGTCGAGCTACAGCGGTAGTACCCACACCCTGGGATGCGTGTATTTAGTTTCTACATCGTCTGCACGCCCGCCCTCTCGCCAGATCACTTGAAGTAACTTGATGATGATGATGCCCTGGCATCTTTGCATCTATTGATTGGTATCTGCTTTCTTCGTCTTCGCTCTCTTGACTCTACATTGTATATTTTTTTTTTTGAATGAACGCCCCAAAGCAACCGTCATCATATGTAATCTCGTTGGCATGTTGAGCAACCCGCACGGCAGCAGATCTGCACGGTGATTTCTTTCTTTGCTGCCTCAGTGACGACACCTCTGCTCTGGTTTCTCCTTTCCTTCATGTATTCGAGGCGCAACATTGTGCAAGTGTGTGGCCCACAGATAAATGGGTTTCACACGTGTATTTGCGGGCTTCGACCGCGTAAACAAACTCGAAAACCTCGGTCCCGGTACCTTAAAAAATTGGCCCACGTTTCAGGCAATCAAAATATCCGGACAGTGGTCATTTTTGATGTGCTATGCGGCCAGCACCACTGGGTTCTCGCCTCCCTCCGAAACAACCATACCATACTTCTCGGATGTGCGGGTGGGCCCCACAAAGCAGGGGTCGTACAACACACCTCGTGAGTGCTACGTATCTAGAATTTTCAAAACATGAGGTTTTGGTCTAGAGCGCCACAGTACAGCAGTCGATGGAGAGTTACGAACTCTCTACTCTTGCGACGAGCAAGTTGTCCTCACGTACAGCAACGACAATGGAAGTAGGAGCACGTGTAGGACCACGTGGACAGCAGTAGGACAGGTCTGGTGGAACCAAAGAGAGAGGTAGCAAGGAAGTGAGCTGCGAGGGGTGAGGCCGGACAGCCATCGGCCATCAAGATCATGAACGGAAGTTCCTCCTCACTGATGACAGAGAAGGCATAGATGCGTCGAGTCGGAGGGATTTCCGATGGCGCTGGACGTTACAGACATAGAAGGAGGTTTGTTGGTTCAGGAGACACAAGTCCCACATCACCCCCGCAGCTTATTAGTGGTGATAGAGCTCGCACTCCACCAAAACTACCTACCAAATATGTGAACTTTGGGCCAACAGAAATACAAACATGTTGACATAACACAGAAAAAATTAAATTGTACCATTTAATTTAAGTGGACAACTTTCTTATCCTAACTTTTCACAAAGTTATGTGGACGAAGGACACGACAATGACATGGCATTTACTTTTACGTACAAATGTACCGTAAGAGTCGGAGAGATGGCGCCCCCGTGTTAGCGTTTTTTTGTAGCGTACAGTATTTCTCCAAAACTAGGAGGGTGCGAACACCAACTGATACCTCTCAGGAAAGCCCTCGACGAGATATTTCCAAAACTACCCTTTTCGGCAGTGGTACCCCCCTGGTTGTGGAGCAATACGCTTCAACAAAAACGCTAACACGGGGGTGCCATCTCTCCGACTCTTACGGTAATAAAGGTGCACCACAAGCACGGGACATTTACTCTCCAGCGTAAATGTGACGATGTACCTCAGGTTCGCGGGCTTGCAGAGAATCAAAGATTCAGACGGACACCATGCTGATCGTGGATGGTGGAAATCAATGCTCGAGTGCGCGAGTGTCTGGGATCGTTCCATATTTTCAGGCAGTCTATGTAAGCCCCTCTCGGAAGTACGGTAGAAGTACATGTTTTGTTTGCGTGGGGGCAGTGTAGCACATCGCACCAACAACTTGGGTCCCTTTCCATGCACCAGAGATCGACGCAAGGCAACAGCAGAGTGCAAACTATTTCAGGGCCATGTTGTTTTAGTCTAATGTACCTATGTACGTATTTGGTATGACGTCGTATTTAGGACAACGAAACATGATCAGAAACGAACACGTACTGACTGACACGTACGCATGGGTGTTTGCAGGATTTACGCGAAAAGCACCTACTTTTTGTGCTCTATTTCAAGGACCTTCCTTTCGCTAACCTGCAGCGGGTAGATGTCAATTTTGTTGTCCATCAAAGCCTTCCTCAGGTTCGTCTTGCCCGCCAGCGTGAGCTCCGTTTCCTTGAACCCTGTCTTCTGTTGCACCTTCACCACGATCCCTCCAGCAGCCTTTTTCTTGGCACCTCCGCCGCCGAAGAGCATCTGCATACCAGAGTGTGACTGCCGTCGCACATTGAGCGATGACGATGGAGCCACTACGAAACCATTTGATATCTGCAGCACAGCTGCAAGAACGATGAGCGCCACGAACAAAAAGGACTTCATTGCGCAGTGAGTAACAGAGAGAGAGATGGAGGCGTGGTACTGCGTGCGTGCTGTGACATGAGGTGACCAAACAAGGGGGGCACACCAATGATAATTGTGGTGTGCTAGTTGGAGGGTGTGCCATAAAAAATGGAAAAAGCTGTGGGGGGGTGCGGCATCAGGCATCAACCCATCTCCTCTCTTGCGTGCAACACATACACGCGAACGACCCCCGCGCGAGCTGTTATTACCTCGTGCGAGCACAAGCTTACGTCAGGGATCAAACAGAGAGGCCCTAAGCTTCCCGCGATCGTTCAATATGGTTCAACTGGCACGTACGTTGGCAGCCCTTGTGGGATCGGCAGCATGTGCATCGGCTTTCATGGGCCCGGCCGTCACCAGCTTCAGCGGCGTGCGTGTGGTTGACAACGTGGACGCCGTGGTAGCGTCACCAGCGCGTCGCTCGGTAGTTACCCCAAGGATGGGTGGGAAGGAGAACGCCATCAGGTGCAGTTCCTGCTGGTTTCGATTGCTCGCCCCCGCGAGTAATCGTTGTGTATGTTGATGCTGGGATTCGGCGTATAATCTTCGTCGTGTGGGTCACGTGGGGAGGGGGGGGGGTACATACGTTTTTTCTCTCACGAGCACCTTGATCCGTGTTCATGTTAGCTTCTTCACGACATCAAGGCCAGCGTTCCCGGCATTGTGATGCCAGTCAAAGGGCCTTGGACCCCCCTCGTCCGTAGTGTTTTGGTTTGAGGGTTGCTGGAATTGCTCTACAACAGACCTAGTTTGCTTGACGTTGACGCACCAGAAATTCTGATTTTGTCGTGGTGGCACGGGCGTCTCGTGCGCGAGCGGCTTGGGAGAGATAAACTTACGTTGTACTGCTACACTAGCTGTGGGTGTGTTTGCCAGGGAAGATAGAAGAGAGAATAGACGCGTGCTGAACCTGTCATTTCATCGAGTGACTACGTTCACTGCCTAAATCGTATCTAGCTTGCCCAACGCCTCACGCACACCCTGCCCTGTATGCATACAAGACCATTTGACTTACTTTTGCAGTTGTATTTTGTGTGACGTTGCGTCGGAAGAAGAGCGAACACGAACAGCTGCACGTGCGAAATTCTTTGGTGTGTCTCCTCAACCCCCCCCACAGCAGTCCTCCCCCTCAAGTCTTCATTACATCATAATGCGTGGGTTTATCTCGGAGATGATGTAGCAGTTTGTTCAGCCGCTCGAATCAAAGTATTTCATCCACTTGAATTTTACTTCAAAAAAGTGTACACGCGATTAACGGATGCTAATTTTTTTTTTTTCTTAATATTTTGTATTCATTGAGTTGTAAGTTGAACCTTCTCTCGCTCAACTCTCGACGTCACATCGTTGTTGCTCAGCAAGAGCATGCATTGTCGTGTATTCTTCCTTGCATTGCTCACCATGCTCACAATGAAACCCGAACAAGTCGAAAGGTTATCTTGGTATCGTTGATATGCTGCTCGTTTAATGTATCTAAAATACGTGTAAAATACGTACGATCAACTCCCACGAAACATGAATACGAAAATGCGTTTCGAGGGAGGCCGCAGAGGGGAGGAACCCTGACTCTGTCTAAACCACATGTGTGCGAAATCATTGAGGAAACCTGTCGGATGAGAATTCAATGCTCCTGAAGTGTTGTCATTGTTTAATAGTTGATCTTGGCAGTCGTGTCGAAGGTAAATCTTCCTGCTTTTTAAATCCCTTTTTCTAGGTGCCCGAGTTTTGGATATTTGCTGTGTACCTCCTTCCCCTCGCAGCCAGTCTGCCTGGCAACAGACCCAAGTTGTTTTGAGTATATGGCGAGCTGCCGCTGTAAGGGCGCATGCCTGGTCCCTCGCTAATTCAGAACATGCCTTTGTCTTTCTGGGCACTTGTTGTTCGAGCCGAGGATGCTCAGTACATGGGTACACTACACTATCCTTACCACGTAATGCTGTTACCGTCTGAAGGAAAGAGAGCCGCCCTGCCGGCGTTACACTTGACTGTTACCGAAAATCTTTTCTAAGACGGCGGGGATGGGCTTCGCCCATCGGGTAGGAGGTCAGCCAGTGCAATCGACTGGTTTGAGTTCATAGACTTTTGGGTTTTTGGAGAATACACGTTGATCACATTTTTTAAAAATATATACCTACTTGTACGTACTTGGACCACATTTTTTAAAAATATACCTACGTAGTTGGACATGTTTGTGTGTTGCGATATTTACGCTTGCACTGGCTGTGTCTGAACTCTCATGTTCCGGTACTGGTACATGGCCACGGAGTGTAAGGGCAGCACTAGTATTATGTGTAGGCCTGGGTAGTTTGGCGCAATTGACTTGACATTCTTTCCGACTGAGCTGTTGTTTGCTGCCGAGGGGACGGAAGGGCCTCATCGTTCATAATGCTTACAAGTACAGGATTCTAGTTGCCATGGCCATAAGTTTGACCGTCGAACGTTGGTCGCGGTTACAGTTATATACTGTAGGACACAGAACCACTTCCAGCTTCTCATCAAAATCTCCATCCCGGATGCCGTTGCGTTTTTCCTGGCCATGGTTCGTGTCGAGCTTGTGGGATTATTTTGTGCCAGGAGATGCATGATCAACTTGTCTTTCAACTTGCCGTGCAGCACGTGTTGACCTTTTTTTCCCCACCGGAAACCTCCACCTGAATCGGTCCACAGGCAGCGCATCGTAACCGTGAACAACACGAAGAAGATCACCACCGCGATGCGACTCGTGGCTGCCGCCAAGGTTCGCCGTGCGCAGGATGCAGTGCTTAGGACTCGCCCTTTCTCCGAGACCCTGCAGAGCATTTTCGGCGCCCTCATCGCGCAGCTTGGCAAGGAGAACCTTGACCTGCCTCTCCTCAACGCGAGGGAAGTTAAGAACGTGTTGCTGGTCGGTCTCTCAGGTGACCGTGGCCTGTGCGGCGCGTACAACTCGTACGCCATCAAGAAGACGGAGGCTCGGGGGAACGAGCTCACCGCGCAGGGGTACAACGTGGAGTACGTCACCATCGGGAAGAAGATTTCCCAGTACTTCAAGCGCAGGTCCGACACCTACACGGTGAAGCGGGCGTTCGACTGTGGGCAGGCGCCCAACGCCGCCGAGGCATCGGCTATCGCCCAGGAGCTCCTCTCCGACTACCTGTCGGGCGAGTTCGACAGCGTTGAGATCGTGTACACGAAGTTCGTGTCCCTCATCGCGTCGGAGCCCTCCATCCGTACTCTGCTACCCCTCTCCATCCGCGGCATTGAAGACGAGACGGACGAGATCTTCCAGCTCACGACCCAGGGCGGCAAGTTCACGGTGGACAGGGAAGAGGCCGAACCCGTTGAGAACGCCGAGATCCCCCAAGACCTGATCTTCGAGCAGGACCCCATCCAGATCCTCAACTCCATCCTCCCTCTGTACCTCGACGGCCAGATCCTCCGCATGCTTCAGGAGTCCGTGGCGGCAGAGCTCGCTGCGCGAATGGCTTCCATGGGGGCTGCTTCGGACAACGCCGCCGACCTTGCCAAGCGGCTGTCCCTCCAGTACAACCGTGCCCGTCAGGCGAGCGTCACCCAAGAGCTCCTCGAGATTGTTGCTGGCGCTGACGCGGCACAGTCGGGTGCCAAGTAGATGGACGTCTGATGGCATCTACCAAGAATTGAAATGGAATAATGATGAGGAGGATGGGCCACCAGCACGGCGGCACTGGGCGCTTTGTTTTCCCGATTTTGGTCAGGATTGCTGGCTGTCGTTATAATGGGGGCGTGCAACATTAACATCGAATGATCCTCGTTCCAAGTTGGGGAGTAGGTTACGAGACTTTGTAACGGAGAAGAGAGTTTTGTGTCGCGGCGCAGGAGGGCTGGCGAATAGAGAGATTTTCCTTGACATTGCTATGATATTGAAGCATTTTTGGGACTTTCAGCTCCATAGAATTACTGAACACGCTCTTACAGGCGGGTGGAGTGGTTTGTGTTTTCAATTTTTGGCGGGTTCCCGTGCTGTGGATGGTGTAGCTTCGCCTCCGCTCGAAATAGAGTTTATGTGTAGCAGAGATATGGCAACGGCAGTTTGTTTCTCCCTGCACCCGGGCGCCGGCCAGCATCTATGAGATGCCGACCAAACGTCATATTTAATGTCTTCCTCTCGTTGTCGTAGTACTGCTGTGTTCAACGCGTCTGTTCTATGCGGACACGTGCGCCGTTCACATGCGTTTAAGCTTCCCCCCTTTTACGAAGCCTTCAACGATGATCGATCCACAATTTCGCGCAAGTCCTTGACCTCCGCCTTGGTATTGACTAGCTCGTGCTCGATCTGTGCGATACGCCGCTCGAGGAGTTCAATGGCGGATTGTTCGCTTCCACTTGGAGGCGTTCCCTGACTCTCGCGTAACCCTCGGCTTGCTCTTCGCGCGATTCCTCCGTAGTTCCCGGCGAGGGCGCCCTGCTGGCCAGAGTTCAGACCTGAAAGATAGGGAAAAACCGTTTTGGGTCATCCACTACATACACGCGGAACACGAAATACTTGCTACTGTAGCGTTCAGTCTTCGTTTACCGAAGACTTTGGTTTCGCGTATTGTCCCCACTAAATGACCGGTGTATCGAAGGATAAAAGGAGCGGGACAACCGCAACCCAGGGCTATATTGTTATCTTCGTTACGACGTATATGCGTACGTATATCTCTCCCGCGCGCCCCTGCCCGCCCGATACGTGTTACTGTACACGACACACCTGACTCGTCGCGTTGTGCTCCAGAAGAATGTCCCGGCGCCGTCTTGCTCTTTCTTGACGTCTGCCATCAACGAAATATTAAGGCATAGGATTCTGGCAAAGTTGAATCCTGGCAGTCAAGGTCAACGCTACGAATTTGAACGCACGGCGCGGACAAAACATTTGGCCATCAACGCCTATACTTTAGGAGGTACGTTTGAGAGTTACCGTCGACAGGAGGAACGTTTTTTTTTGTTACTGAGCGTGGGGCTGGCTTCGGCCACCGTCGCACTCTCAGTTGATTGGCCGGTTCCGGAGGGCAGTGATAACGATATGCCATAGTATCATCTCCACACAAAACGTTATCGATCAAGGAGGGGCGGTAGTGAATATTATTAGGCCCGCGGAGAAGGGTCTGCAGGAAGTGGAGAGACCATTCGATGGAGACATTTCGGCGGTCAACCAAAATGAACGGTGGCGGCGTCCTTCCGCCCAACCGGCCTCATGACGACGACGCTTGTTGCACAACAAATACAAAATTGTAATACAGACAGATATTTATTGCATCTAAGCAGCAATAGTACAAGACCTCCGCCACTCTCGCTCACCCTGGGTCTGTGCACTGTCGTTGTCGGTAGTTCGTCAGAGGAGGATAGCCTTGCGGCGCCGACACGTTTTGCTGGTGATGATGATGTGCAACTTTTTTGGTGGATGATCAGCCTGCAGTAAATACACGTGCGTATAGCAACATCGTCAGGGACACGCGAAGAGGATGTGAGGGGGGGGGGGGATACTCACTCATAGTCGTGCATGCCGTAGTCGTTAGACCATTGACCTCGTATCCCTACAAAGCCGGGGGGGGGTGGGATCACGTATTTACGTGTGTGTGTGTGATTGCTCATTGATTGGTCGCTGGTAGGGAACTTTGATCCATTCGCAGTGTTCACGGGGAATGTAGGACCTTCGGGTAGACATGTACTGTTTAACCGGGTTGTCTACAATACGTAGACGGCTGTCTGTGTAGATATATACATGAAGATATGAAAAATACTCCACCAGCCCTTCTTACCTTTCCTTTAGAAACGTTCTCCCGCAATTCGCACATGCCTCCAACGACTCTGTGTTGAAAACCTGCGTAGCAGCTTCGTTCTGTGCTTCAAGCGACCCTTTGCCACCCAACGGGTCGCCTGCATCTGGTTCTTGCGGCAACGGCTTGCGCTCAGCTGAAAAAAGGCCAAGTTTTTTTACGAACGGACGGACGGAAGTTTACATAGTATACACAGACCGGTAAGTTTAAGCCTCCGCGCGAAGATAGGTATTAATAGTAGGTAGGTGCGTTCGAAACGGAGAGCCTACTATAACATTCGTACAATAGCCCAACATACATAGTCTATACATAGGCTAGAGGGCGCCGGGTGCAAAACGATGGGCCTACTCTCTATCCTGTATGCATGTATGACGTCGAATGAATGCAATAGACATTGCTTGCAAGCTCACATTTAGGTAGGCGCTCTTGCGTTGCTTCCCACTTAGCTTTGCATTGCTTCAGGTGGATCTCGTAGGATGAAAGTCCGTATCCCCTAACAGAAACCGAGAGCGAGAGTGACTGCCATAAATATTGAAGATATTCATAGATATGCTACAAGCATGTCACATCCATCCTCTCTTGCGAATCTCGTCTTGACGTTATGAGAAAACTCTGCAACAATTCGCTCTCTCTCAACAACATGTTTTCTTCTTTCTGTATGCGACCAACATGTTCAGAGAGAGGAGGTGGAATAAAAAGCAGGCAGCACATTTATTTATTTATTGCCTTCTTTTTCGCGAAATAGTATACATACTACTACTGCTGCTGCTGTAAATGGTATTTTTCTACGATGTATACTGTACATACACATACATATCTTCCTCAAAACAAAAGACGCAGGGCTTGGGAATAACTGCCAAGAGATTGTTGTCAAAATGATGGTCAGATTAATGATGGTAGCGAAAACAAGGAGGATAATAATGAATGGTGAAAGTCCTAAACGAACTCGAGTACATGGTAATAGCCTGGGTAGACGCGTGCAGTTTCTTCTGTTGCTACCGTTTCTGCCTTTGATCCGAAGGATAGTTTAGCCCCCCCCATGCTGCCCCCTCACGGGGTCCCAGTTCATGGCAGATAGAAGTAGTGTTTTGTGTTTTCAACCGCACTAACTGGCGACGTCTTTTCATTGGTCAGTCGGTTAGGGCGGTCGATGCTAATAATAAAAATACATATACAGCGCGTACTACTGTACTGTACAACTGTTCTATTCTGCTATAGAAGCAAGCGCAGAATGCTCACCTGCCACACACGTAGCATATCCTTACTTTTGGCCCCCTCCCTTCACCCCCACCCCATGCTGCGCTGCCGGATTCCATGCTTGCCTTGCTTGCCTGTCACTCACAACGTGAACGACACCAACATCTCGGATCCTTGCCTCGTATCGGACAGAACTCTGAGGAGGAAACAGATCACAGATAAATGGTAGCATTCAAATGTATATGATAGATTGATTGTAGATAGATGTGGGTGGGATCGATGATGGATCGTGAGTGAGGTGGTGGTGGATGGAGTGATTGATGTTGAGAACTCTGAGTGGTGTACAGCAGTATATATACAGGTGCATACAGTACTTGACTTATCGTACCACCCGTGGCTGACCCCGCTGCATGATTCTTGTATTATTCGTTTCAGTGTGCTTCACCTTCGAGCAACGGTAAGAGGAAGGCAGGGTGGGAACCTGAGTCGAGAATGGTTCCGCGCACCGTCAGTCGTCAGCGGGATTTTTTCGTACAAAATTCCGACGGAGCGCGCAGAAATGCGAGAAAACGGCGGTTTCATTTCATTTCACGTGCGTTTTCGCACATGCACATCTCTCTATATACATTCTGTAGGTCCATAATACAAGCGAACGGGGTTGTTTCCTTGAAGTTGCCTGAACATCGTCTATGTATTATCAGTAGTCTATTCTATGCTCTAGAAAAAGAGACTGACGCTGACGAAAAGACGAGTTGAGTATAGGTCTTTGTTCGTCAGTATAGATAGGGTAGCGCGTTCAATCAATCAATCAGTCAAACAATCATATCAATAATAATATGTGTATTGGATCATGATACAGAGATACGAAGTAGATAGACAGATCTAATGAAAACCATTAATTAACACTGCTTGTGTAGTGGCACTCATCACGCCCCCCTCACGGGGTCCCAGATGACCTGTTTTCAGCCGCACTGAGCCCGCGACTGACGACGTCTTTTCGTTAGTCAGCCGGTTAGCGCCGTCGATACTCCTAATAAAGTTACCCATCACACACAAACGAAAGGTTCCATCATCACAGAAAACATTCTAATACACTTCTAATGGTATTTGTGGCGGAATCACGAATACAAGGTGTCATTTCTTAACAACCATTGTTTATTTGTGGTACGGAGAGTTCGTGTATTCCGCAACACGTTCGCTCTCTCCTGCAGGCGTCACTGAATCAGAAACAATTTCTTCAGCCTCCGCTTCCTTCATTTCGTTGAGAGCTCTCGGGTGGAGGTCTAAAACACCTCATACAAACAGATCGGATCTTTCAACAAGGAAAACATAACAAACTTCAAACACGCGACGCTATACTGTGAGACATATTTAGAAAGGGTGGCGTGCTCTTCCCAATCATGTTTGCGGGATTTCAGGGAGGGATGACCTCACTCAGTACTTTATATCGAAAACAATTGCTGGGCCGTACGGGGTACTGAATGGGGGTAAACGGAGAGGGCCCCCTCCTCCATGATCACCCCCCCCCCCCCC